TTTAAAAATAAAAATTTAATTTTTTTAATTTAATATTAATAAAATAAAAATTTTAATTTAAAATAATTTAATATTTTAATAAAATATTATTAATAATTTTTAAAATATAATATAATAAAATAATAATAAATATAATAAAATAAAAATTTTTAAATAATAAAATAAAAATAATAAAAATAATATAGGAAACAATATAAAATAATTTTAAAAATTTAAAAATTAAAAAAGTTAAATGTGATTTTGGGCCTAGGGTTGTGGGGCCTAGCCGTTGGGGGCCCAAGTGTTGTAGGCCTAGCTGTTGTGGGCCCTTTAACTGTTTTTGGGAATAGTGTTGTGGGCCCAGCCGTTGGGGGCCTAGCTATTGTAGACCTAGCTGTTGTAGACCTAGCTGTTGTTGGCCTAGCTGTTGTAGGCCTAGCTGTTGTAGACCTAGCTATTGTAGACCTAGCTGTTGTAGCCCTAGCTGTTGTAGGCCTAGCTGTTGTAGACCTAGCTGTTGTAGGCCTAGCTGTTGTAGACCTAGCTGTTGTAGGCCTAGCTGTTGTAGACCTAACTGTTGTGGGCCTAGCTGTTGTAGGCCTATCCGTTGTTGGCCTAGCTGTTGTAGGCCTAACTGTTGTAGACCTAGCTGTTGTAGACCTAGCTGTTGTAGGCCTAGCTGTTGTAGGCCTAGCTGTTGTAGGCCTAGCTGTTGTAGGCCTAGCTGTTGTGGGCCTAGCTGTTGTAGGCCTAGCTGTTGTAGGCCTAGCTGTTGTAGGCGTAGCTGTTGTAGGCATAACTGTTGTGGGCCTAGCTGTTGTAGGCCTAGCTGTTGTAGGCGTAGCTGTTGTGGGCCTAGCTGTTGTAGGCCTAGCTATTGTAGGCCTAGCTATTGTAGGCCAAGCTGTTGTGGGCCTAGCTGTTGTAGGCCTAGCTGTTGTGGGCCTAGCTGTTGTAGGCCTAGCTGTTGTAGGCGTAGCTGTTGTAGGCGTAGCTGTTGTAGGCATAACTGTTGTGGGCCTAGCTGTTGTAGGCCTAGCTGTTGTAGGCCTAGCTGTTGTAGGCGTAGCTGTTGTGGGCCTAGCTGTTGTAGGCCTAGCTATTGTAGGCCTAGCTATTGTAGGCCAAGCTGTTGTGGGCCTAGCTGTTGTAGGCCTAGGTTTTGTAGGCCTAGCTGTTGTAGACCTTGCTGTTGTAGGCCTAGCTGTTGTAGGCGTAGCTGTTGTGGGCCTAGCTGTTGTAGGCCTAGCTATTGTAGGCCTAGCTATTGTAGGCCAAGCTGTTGTGGGCCTAGCTGTTGTAGGCCTAGGTTTTGTAGGCCTAGCTGTTGTAGACCTAGCTGTTGTAGGCCTAGCTGTTGTAGGCCTAGCTATTGTAGACGTAGCTGTTGTGGGCTATCAGCGTAGATAGTCTGTGTAATACAAGTGTTTGTTCTGAGGTCGTGCGTATGTTCCAGAACACTGATTTTAGAATGTAATCAATGTTGAGGAATGCACATGATTAGTTTTTTGGGAAGATTGGTAGTCATAGTGATATCAAGAGCTGCTATCTGCCAGGGTGACGGAAAATGCTACTGTTTCCTAACATGATACACCTGGAGTTTACCTGGAGAGAGTTCCGGGGGTCAACGCCCCCGCGGCCCGGTCTGTGACCAGGCAGACACTTCATGTAGTCCAAATATTTTTTGTGTGCCTGGCTGTTATTTGAATCCATCTTGACTCACTTGTCTTATGAATTATATGTTCTACGTTGGTTTACATGAGGCCACCAGTAACAGCCTGATGATCAGGTTCTGATCCACCACGAAACCTGTCATAGACTGTGCCACAAGGGCGTTGACCCCCGGAACACACTCCAGATATACTTCAGGTAGAAACAGAATTGAATATTAAAATGGTATAAAATACCGACAGGTTGTTAGGTAAGACACATATGCAACAGTTAGATATCTTTATTTCGAAACGTTTCGCCTACACAGTAGGCTTCTTCAGTCGAGTACAGAAAAGTTGATAGAAGCAGAAGAGACTTGAAGACGATGTAATCAGTCCATCACCCTTAAAGTTTTGAGGTGGTCAGTCCCTCAGTCTGGAGACTGACCACCTCAAAACTTTAAGGGTGATGGACTGATTACATCGTCTTCAAGTCTCTTCTGCTTCTATCAACTTTTCTGTACTCGACTGAAGAAGCCTACTGTGTAGGCGAAACGTTTCGAAATAAAGATACCTAACTGTTGCATATGTGTCTTACCTAAAAACAGAATTATTTTGATCACTACGGTGCTATTTGTGATGGATGAGTTCACGTATCCTAATCAGCACTACTAGGTATACTAATTTTTGATAGTTATGGGACAGTCACGAAATATTATTAGGATTTTTTTTTTTCCAAAGTATCTTAATGGTTCTGTTGTGTTGTAGAACTGAAACTGGTTCACGGTAATCCATCAGTGATATTATGTACGGTAAATACATAATTTTGTCAGTTGTAACATTTGCACCGTAGTCCGGACTGTCTTACAACAGTTCAAAGAGCTTAAAGCCTGTTTTTTATATTAAATTATTTATAGCTGTTAATGTACATGGAACAGTAATACCTAGATATTTACAGGACACATAATCACTAAACCTGCCAATGGAAATAAATCACTTTGACTTAATTTTTGTTATCCTATGTAATTACACATATGTTACTGTGTTTGATAATTGTACTCGTGTGTATCTGTACCTAAATAAACTTATTAGTTTTTATTTTTGATGGTCCACTTTTGGGTAAGCTGTCAGTGGCCCTTAGGACCCTTACCGAGAAGAAAAAGCAATGTTAGCGGAGTAAAGGAGTGCTTACTCTGGGAGTAATTTAGTTTAATACCTTTATTATGCATCCCATACCCAGTGTGGATGGTAGTCAAAACATTGCAGGGGCATATAATGGGTCCAGGGACTGAGCCACTAAGTTTTGTTAAGTGAACAAGCTACGGTGATAATGAATTATAAGGAGTAAGACACTTGGTTCTGCTGGGGTTTTAAACAGGAGTCCACCTCATCTAAGTTGGGAATTTAATGTTCACAATTTTATCCGGAGGATATTTTGTTTCTATTCTCTTATCCGCCTATTGTAAGCTGATTTGTATTGCAGTGTAAGCTGTTTGTATCATTGCTTAGTTAATCTTAAGTTAATTTTAAGCCTGTCCATAATGCTCTGCATACAAGGCTTTTGACATGTACACCCAATCACTATATTTCTTTGTACAACTATATATCATGTCCAAATAAAAAATAAATAAATAGATAAATAAATATTTAATGTTCATGTATATAACTCAGTTCACTTTATACCTATTGTACCTTTTTTCACTGTAACTGATTTTCACATATTTGAGTTACTAAGTTGTATAAAATACACCAAAAATCATAACTGATTCCTGATGTATCTCATAGCTAAGCTTTAAATAATACGACATTATAAGGACCCCAATGAATATAAGTCACTTTGACCTTTTTTGAGGTTATCCTGGATAATTCCCACATATGTTACTATGTGTCATAATTATAATCACGTAAATTTGTATAACTGTACTTATAGGTACCTGTACCTAAATAAACCTTACTATGTTTGGGTAATATTGCTCATCTTGTTCCATTATACACTGAGACACATAGGTGACTACCAATAAGAACATCTGTCTGGCGCTCGACAGACGGAGGATCAAGCCTCCACCACCACGTCTTGTGCTGAATGACCCACATGGGCTTAGCGCTTAACGCGAATTAAACAAACATCCATTATAATCCATTATACTGCCTGTATCTTCACCAAATGCCTTGCATATATTCAGGAAATACTGTGCATATTAATTAAGGGGCATGTAGAGAGAATGGAGCGAAACAGAATGACTTCAAGAGTGTATCAGTCTGTAGTGGAAGGAAGGCGGGGTAGGGGTCGGCCTAGGAAAGGTTGGAGGGAGGGGGTAAAGGAGTTTTGTGTGCGAGGGGCTTGGACTTCCAGCAGGCATGCGTGAGCGTGTTTGATAGGAGTGAATGGAGACAAATGGTTTTTAATACTTGACGTGCTGTTGGAGTGTGAGCAAAGTAACATTTATGAAGGGGTTCAGGGAAACCGGCAGGCTGGACTTGAGTCCTGGAGATGGGAAGTACAGTGCCTGCACTCTGAAGGAGGGGTGTTAATGTTGCAGTTTAAAACTGTAGTGTAAAGCACCCTTCTGGCAAGACAGTGATGGAGTGAATGATGGTGAAAGTTTTTCTTTTTCGGGCCACCCTGCCTTGGTGGGAATTGGCCAGTGTGATAACAATAATAATAAATAAAATTAATGGGCTTTCTGCGTGCATACCTAAATGTCATTCATCTTTGTACACACGTTGTATCATGCTGAATTGAAGTATTATTAGTACACTTAAAATTGTACTGTTGTCCATTTAGCTACCACTCTTTCTGTATATTTTAAAACTCCTATTTATGAACCCATGTCTAGTTATTAAACAGTTTTTAAGCATTAGAATTAGTCTGCCCGAAATGCACTGCACGATGGTGACTTTCTTTTGTACTTAACAGTATTTTATTACATGTACCAAGTGCTCTAATGGAAATAAGTCACTTTGCCTGACTTTCTGGGATTATCCCAGGTAATTTACACTATATATAATAATTGTACTTATGTGTATCTGTGCCTAAATAAACTTATTTATTGTAAGCTAATTCTTTCTTTAATGTTAATGTAAATAACTCAATTTACCTCATTCCTAGTATATCTCCATTTATTCTAACTGATTTTCACACAGCTGAGTTAGTTGTTTTAACTTTAAGGTTTAAATAATAAGATACTACAAGGAGTCCAATGGAAATAAGTCACTTTGTATGACTTTTTGGGTTATCCTACGTAATTTACACTATATATGCTAATTGTACTTGTGTATACCTGTGCCTAAATAAACCTACTTATTAAATTACATTACCTACATACTGCAGATGAGAAATAAATATATATATGTAAGTGACATGAGGGAGCCATAATGACCCAGTAAAACGTGAGTTCTGGTGCACCTTAACAACCCCAACAAGAGAGAGAAGAAACTAGTTCACTTCCTCCTCAACTTGTCATCAACTCCTTGCAATCTTTTGCAATAATTAATCAATAATGTAACCAGGATAATTGGTTAGTAAAGTGAGTTTTTGGCTGCTTCTCACGGTGAAGAATTGATATGAATCTAATTCTTGTCCTCCATTAATTTTATTTTTTGGTGTGACGGACATTTATTTTATTTATTCACAAGTACACGTAAGTAGAATTATAAGTAGTATAAATTACCGAGGATAAACCAGAAATGTTAAACAAAGTGACTTATTTCTACCTTGAGGACATTTGGTTCAATGTCTGTAATATTCACGTCCCCTGAAGGGAGGTTCCTTGACGCTGGTGAAGGGCTCTTGATCCAGGGAATTAGATCTGTGTTCCGGTTCCCTGAATTGACCCTGAATACCTTCCATCCTCCCCTCCCCACATAAGCTGTATAATCCTACGGGTTTAGCGCTCCCCCATGATTATAATTATAATAATATGCATGTCATCATCATATGTGTCTCCTCAACCTCTCACATGTAAAGTTAACTTTGTAAAGCAACAAAAATACTGATTTTTTTCTGTTTTTTCTTGTATAACAGGAACACACGAGATGTGGTCTCGGACCGGGCCGCGGGGGCGTTGACGCCCTGAAACCCTCTTCAGGCATACGTTCTTTTACCTAGGACCCCAGTGGAAATAAGTCACTTTGATTTTTTTGGGTTTATCCTAGGTAATTTACACTACGTATGATAATTGTACTAATGTGTACCTCTACCTGACCAGCCGGACTGTGGCTCGTACGTTGGTTTGCGTGCAGCCAGCAGTAACAGCCTGGTTGATCAGGCTCTGATCCACCAGGAGGCCTGGTCACAGACCGGGTCGCGGGGGCATTGACCCCTGGAACTCTCTCCAGGTAATACCTAAATAAACTAACTTGTTTGCTTACAAAAGACTAACATGTGAAGTGCAAATTTAGAGAATGTTCAAAATATCATTTACGTATAGTGTACAGTACAGTATTTTTTTTCCGAGTCCAGACAACTGCCACCATACAATGGAAGGAGAGAGTGGGACAAGTGTGGAGGTGTTGGAGGAGGTGTTCCTAGAGACAGCAATAGAAGGTGCCCCATACACTGACAATGGCTCCATCTATAACTTGAATACTGTTTTGGAGGATCTGGTGAGTAATGGACCTTTACTGAAAGCCGTAAAATAAACCACCATATGTAACTTTTGGGAGATTTAAAACTGCTGTATTATTAGCTAGACTTTTTTGTGGTTGCATTTTGTACTCAATTAATACTTCAGTGGAACCCCTTTGCTTTACAGTTATTTAGTACTATGATGACACAGTTTGCCAGCTTTCTATTAAATATGGCTTCGTAATTCTTAACCCAGAATTCCAACAACAATGAAATGTGTTTTTTTCTAGGATATTTAATAACATTACTAATAATTTTGCCTTACATTGCGCAATGACTACTTTGTTATGTGTAAAATCTTTAATTATAAGTGCATCATTCTTCCTTCAGAATAATCCTGACCTGGGGTACCTGGTACTTTCCCTGCTAGTGGCTATATCCTGGTCAATCTACATCATTCTCTTCAATTCAAGGGTTCAGGGAAGCATTTTGACTGCCATCCTCCGCAGATTTGTGAAAAGCGGTGATCTAACAATTGGTGAGTGTGGTAGCATATTACATGTGAGCCCTTCTCATTGGAGTTTCTGCTATGTAACTCATAGCTTACTTTTGCTTTGACAGAGTCAAAGGAGTCTAGACATCCTACATACTGTCATGAAAGTAATAAATTTATGTAAATAGTACTGCGACTGAGCCGCTGACCTCTCTGGCAGAAGCTCACATCCATTTCCACTAGACTATAGATGTTATAAGTCTTCAGAATAATTTTTTATTTAGATACCAGTTTGTGAAGGCCTCATTTTGTGCCTAAACAGTAAGATTAATGTAGCACGAGCTTTTCAGTCAGTATAGATTATGTATTCAAAATTTCAGACCATAAAGTGTGATCTCACATAACTGTACAAGCAGCAGTTTTATGGGTGTTGGAGTATGTGCAGTAAACCCCTTATTTACACGCAGGTTATATTCTTGAAAATTGGTGCATAACATACAAGAACATAATGTGAAGTAAAAAATATATGGGGAAAAAAGTTACATTAGACACACTTCAAAATTTACCAAACAAATTTTTTCACTATTGTTCTAGATGAAAATTTATGTGGGTGTCTGGCTGAGACTGATGACTGTCGCTCTCGTGTGGATGGGTTACAGAGTCTAGTCAGTAGTGGGTGATTGTATTGGTGTTATGTTTTGTTCAGTAGGTGATAGTATTGGTGTTAGGTTTTGTTCAGTAGGTGATTGTATTGGTGTTATGTTTTGTTCAGTAGGTGATTGTATTGGTGTTATGTTTTGTTCAGTAGGTGATTGTATTGGTGTTATGTTTTGTTCAGTAGGTGATTGTATTGGTGTTATGTTTTGTTCAGTAGGTGATTGTATTGGTGTTATGTTTTGTTCAGTAGGTGATTGTATTGGTGTTATGTTTTGTTCAGTAGGTGATTGTATTGGTGTTATGTTTTGTTCAGTAGGTGATTGTATTGGTGTTATGTTTTGTTCAGTTGGTGATTGTATTGGTGTTATGTTTTGTTCAGTAGGTGATTGTATTGGTGTTATGTTTTGTTCAGTAGGTGATTGTATTGGTGTTATGCTTTGTTCAGTTGGTGATTGTATTGGTGTTATGTTTTGTTCTGTAGCAGTATAGAGGTAATCAAATTTTTTTTATGAAGACAGCTGCACCTTTTTTTAAAACTTTGAAGCTATCCATTGCTGAACCTAAACTGGTGTGAAGACTCCCTTTTCACACAGTTTTGTAGTAGGATAGGATTTATCTGAACATTAAGAGGGGCCTCATTCTTTGTTTTTTTTCCTTTGATAAAGTTTCTCTCTCTTATTTATCTGTAGTGACTTCTTTTATACATGTGTAGGTGGTGCTCTATATGACTTAATTAACTTAATACGTACATGAGATTTTATTTTTCCTCGTCATTTCTAGTTGTATGAATGGTTGAATTGTTAACACACAAAATACATTTCTAGATCAACAAGCAACCACATTTATGATGTACTTTGTTAAAAACCTTCATCAGTTTGAAAAAAAAAAAATCACTTAAAAAATTGGTTTAGGTTCTTTTGAATGCCATGGATCTAACATTTTTCCCATACATTATTTGTATTTCAGTTCGTAAATTTACATGAAGCACTGTGTTATATGAGGTCTGCCTGTATGTACTGTATAAGTTAAAATTTACCAAATTAATTGGAATTTAATAAAGGTTTTTGAATTCTAATTAAAGATGATTAATTATCTTTAATAAAATGAATTAGAATTAATTATAAGAAGTAAGTTTAAATTTTCCAGATAATGATACTGAAGTTGATTTTCACTATACTCTTGTTAAGTGAACACAGACATCGTACATAATTGAATTTTTCCCCCTTGCTTTTTTTAGGTTCATTTTCCTTGTCTGTGCTGTCAGGCAAGATTATGTTTCGTAATGTTGTATATGTGACAGAAGATTACAGCCTTCGCATTGTTGATGGAATCCTCAAGTTTAGATACTGGCTGCCCTATGTGAAGCGGGAGCTCTCAGAAGGTGAAGTTTAATTGTAATATTATAATCATCTCTGCAGTTGTAATGTTAACATTTGGTGATTCATCTCATCAATATCTCCTTCATATTCTTAACAATTACCTTGCTATACTTTTAGGCTCACTTGCCCCTTCAAGGAAAAAGTGGAATATACATATGCCAGTTCATAGATAAGTTAGTTTTTTTTTTTCCAACACATCATCCATATCCCATCAAGGAGAAGGGGTTACTAGTCACCTCTTAGGACATGCATGGTTTACAGAGGAAGAATTCTTTTCCACTTCCCAAAGGAATAAGTTAGGTATATTAAGTGATTTTACATTGTTAATATTTTAGCAAAGCAAACATTAGTTTTAGTGCAGAGTAAAAAGACATCAGAAAAATTTACATTACTTAATTTTGCGATTTTCCTTATAGAAGGACTAAGGTTTTGCAATTTTTAAGTTATATTTGTATTTCAGATATGTCACACTGTGATCATAGAGTGTGGCTTGAACTTAATGGGCCAGAACTTCATATCTACAATCGGTCACATTTGTACAGCAGATTAGAAAAGTCATTTGGACTGGAAAGTCAGCTTGGGGTCATGAGTAAGACTGGCAAGAATGAGGATGAAGTAACCACTGAAAATATGCATAATCAGAATCACGACATGAGCTTCTGGCAGGATTGGAGAGACCTTATTCCTGTCATAAAGATCGACCTTAATATGGTGAGTCCTCTTTTTAAGTTTAATTGTAGTCTTGCTGAAACAGTTTATTAAAGGAAGGTTGACCCATGACTAATAAATGGCTAATAGAATATTATATATATTCTTCTTTCAACGCACTGGCTGTATCCCACCAAGGCAGGGTGGCCCAAAGAGAAAAGCGAAAGTTTCTCTTTTTTAACTTTAGTAATGTATACAGGAGAAGGGGTTACTTGCCCTTTGCTCCCCGCATTTTAGTCACCTCTTATGACATGCATGGCTTATGGAGGAAGAATTCTGTTCCACTTCCCCGTAGAGAATTATATATTTTTATTGCAGCACATTAATTTTTAATATACTGTATGTTTTCCAGAATCCTCTGCTCTCATACTCAGACATAGTATGTCAAGCTTATTGTGCTATTTTGGGTTAATTGTAGTACTGGTAGGTCATCTAACAGACTTTTTATTTTATTTTTTTTTCAACAAGTCGGCCGTCTCCCACCGAGGCAGGGTGACCCAAAAAAGAAAGAAAATCCCCAAAAAGAAAATACTTTCATCATCATTCAACAATTTCACCACACTCACACATAATCACTGTTTTTGCAGAGGTGCTCAGAACACAACAGTTTAGAAGCATATACGTATAAAGATACACAACATATCCCTCCAAACTGCCAATATCTAACAGACATACTCGTATAATACATACTGTAGTTTGTTTTTTCACCTATCCAGCTGTCTCTTTCCAAGGCAGGGTGACCCAAAGAAAACACACTGATCATTCATTCAGTTGCTGTCTTGTCAGAAGTGTGCTGACATCACAGTTCAGAGTACTCTCCAACTGGAGCATCCCCACCCCTTCTGCAGCGTGCAGGCACTGCCCTTCTCACCTCCACGAATGACTCAGTGGTTCATTAATTATTTATTTTTAACACACCAGCTCTCTCCCAAAAAGGCAGGGTTTATTATTATAAACATTAAATAAACTGATGACCCTTGAATAGCACGGTTGTCATGGTCCTGAAAATGGTGTGTTTTGTTCAAAAACAGAAAAAAGTTGAATGAGACATGCAGCATATGGGAATATTTATTGAGGAAAAGTTTTGCCACACAGTGGCTTCATCAGTCCAATACAAAGAACATTGTAAAGAGAGGAGGAGTTTGAGGTAATCAGTTCCTCAGCCTGGAATTGGACTGATTACCTCAAAGCCTTCCTCTCTCTATACCATTCTTCTTTGTATTGGACTGATGAAGAAGATTCCCATATGTTGCGTAAGTGTCTCATTCTTCAACTTCTCGGTTTTCTAAACTACTTAGCACACACACACAAGAAAGTGCTATGTAAGTTGAAGAACATGAGGGAAAAATAGTTCCTTGCTTTGGACCTACAAAAAAGCCATTGTAGATATCATTCCTTGTTGATTTAGAAATACATGTTATGTACCAAAATCTGTAATACTGTACATTAAATTCTTAGTTACTTAATAAACTTGTTTAACAAGGCCAGGGAAAAGCTGGTGTTCGATGCAGTATGCTGTGCACAAATGCAATTGTCTCTGAGAGCTAGCATTATGTAATGAAGCAATGTTCTTATTATAGTTCTAAGGCAGTGTTCTTTTTATGGTTCTGAGGCAGTGTTCTTATTATGGTTCTGAGGCAGTGTTCTTATTATGGTTCTGAGGCAGTATTCTTGTGATGGTCCTGAAGCAGTGTTTATCATGGTGTTGAGGCAGTGTTCCTATGTTACTCAAGAAACAGTGGTTATCATGGTGTTGAGGCAGTATTCCTGTTACTCAAGAAACAGTGGTTCATGGTAAGTAGAGTACTTCATGCTTCAGAGGCAATATTCCAGAAATGTTGTGTTTAGAGGTGCTCTTGAAGCAGGATGTGTGTTGCTTGCTTGGTGTTCCGGCAATGGCACACTTTTTTTTGTCTTTCAGTAATGCTATCACAGTATGGTATTAATCACATGCTTTAATGCCATTTCAGTGTATTTTATGCCTTTAAATATTATATATACAGTAGTTGATATACAAAATATCAATGTTTTAGTCTTTTTTTTTGGCAACATTAGTAGATTTTCACAGATGGGAGATAATTTGTTGGACACTCAGTTTTAAAGGATATTAACACTGCTAATGAAAATTTTCTACTGAATAATATTCCTAACAGGCCAGGTTTGTATTTGGCAACCGTCTGGTGGCATCGACGCTGTTGCTGACAACTGACAAAGCAGAGTGCAGCTACACAACCAAGCCAGCAGCCTGCTCACTCGACCACTTCATGCAGGTCCTCACAACTAAGGCAGAGAACTTTCGGGTATGTCATCTGTGACTGACATTTATTAATAAATACTACAGCTACTTCTAATGCAGAATTTTATTGGTCTAATAAATCATTTATCTCACATTAACAATTATGTAGTTCCTTCTTTTTTATGTTGAATTATTAAATTCTGTGTTTTGTACATAATAACATTTATTCTTGAAGTGCTGTAGACCTTTGTTAGTTGTGGAGATGCTGTATATATTCCTGAGGTATCCTTAGCAGTAAATAATATGCAAAATATTTTCTTAGCTTGACTACTCATGTAAAATAAAGATTTTCTGACAGCCTTCATGATGAGAGCAAAGATGTAAAAGTAAGCAAGAGAGAGAGAAACAGAGACAGAGAGAGAGAGAGAGAGAGAGAGACAGAGAGAGAGAGAGAGAGAGAGAGAGGGGGGGGTGAGAGAGTATGCTCCACTTTCTTGGTTTGCCTGCCCCCCCTCTCATCTGCGACTGCTTGACAGAGTAGAGAACAGAGCAAGACGTCTCATCTCTCGCCTGGACCCATCCTGGATAGATCTGTCATTTCAGCAGAGCCTTCAACACAGGAGGGATGTGGGTGGCCTTACTGTTATGTACAAGGCCAATATTGTCACAGTACCACACTTGGATCCACTTCGAGGACAGCATGAAACAAGCTTTTATGCCACAAGACTGGCAGAAAGCAGCAACTTCACTCTGGCTGTACCCTTCTCCAGAACTTCACTCCATCTGAGATCATATATACCCAGGATGACTCGTGTATGGAACACATTCGTACAGCATAATGATGTCAACGAGATAAAGTCAGTTGATCAAATGAAAATGCTGGCCCACGGATGGCTCCAACTTCATCCTGTTCCCTACTTGTATGTCTCATAACAATAAAAATGCTTTCAAATGAGCTGATGTAGGTAACAGCTCTTAGCTTGCCAATAAAGTTAGGAATCCTTAACCTGTAAATAGCTTGTCAATAAAGCTAGGGATCCTTAACCTTGTCAAACCATGTAAAAAAAAAAAAAGAGAGAGAGAGACAGAGAGAGAGAGAGACAGACAGACAGACAGAGAGAGAGACAGACAGACAGAGAGAGAGAGAGACAGAGAGAGAGAGACAGACAGACAGACAGACAGACAGAGAGAGAGAGACAGACAGACAGACAGAGAGAGAGAGAGACAGACAGACAGAGACAGAGAGAGAGGGGGGGGAGGCATTCAGGGATGAGGATAAGAGAGTCTTTTATGTCAGCTGCTGTGGCCAGAAAACCTGCAGTTTTATCTCCCTTCCTTCATTCTTTGCATTTATAATAAAAATATAGTGGTACAGACAGTATTACTGTATGAAAAGTGCTGAGTATATGTGTAAGTTTATAGTTAATGTTGTTTTTTTGAATATAATTGAAGGTTAGGTTAACACTTAACATCATAAAGTTAATCATTGTAGCCATGCTTGCCACCATCAGGTTCTCTCCTTCACCAAAGACTGAACACATCCTATATAGAAATTACCCATTCAACAGGAGACCAAAATCCTTTAATTAAAATTTCGTCAATAAAAGATATTCTTTTCGGCTTAAGCTCTTGGAAATTCTTCTTCATCCTAATGCATTTTAGTCTGAGTGCTTGTGAATTTCTTGAAAGAACAGGTGTTCAAGAATAAAAAAAAATCCATATTATTAAACTTTCTTCTTCTTTCAACAAACCAGCCACATCCCACTGAAGCAGGGTGGCCCAAATAGAAAAGCAAAAGTTTCCCTCTTTAGCTTTTGTAATGTATACAGTAGAAGGGGTTACTAGCCCCCTTGCTCCCGATATTATTAATATAATAATAATATAAATTTTGTTAGTAATTATTGCTTTTAATGAAAAATGTGGACAAAAGTCATGTTAGATGCCTGAGAGTGAACTGCCAGGACCTACTTAAGGGCATTTGAGAAAGTATTAAGAAAAAAAGCTAGAGAGTTGTTGCTGCTGCTGTTCTATAAAAAAAAGATAATTTGTGCTGTGAGTCATGTTAAAACTGCCAATTTAATATATTTGATGTGTTAAATATGCTAAACAATTTGCTCAACTAAACACATGTTAATGACTATCAATATTCTTATTCTCATTACTTGTAATCATAATTCAACCTTAAAGAAATAATTGTCTCCTTGTTTGTACTATTTCTAATGTCCAAATTTATGTTTGTATACCTACTGAGTAACCTATATCTAGGTCTTAAGTAGTCTGTAAGCATTATTATTAACCTGTAATAAATGCTCTGCATGCTGGTTAGTGGCTTTCTTTGTGCTTAACAATTTTTTTACATGTAAAACTACATTTTGTATACACAAATAACCCGCACATAAAAGAGAGAAGCTTACGACGACGTTTCGGTCCGACTTGGACCATTTGCAGTCACACTGTATACTGCAAAAAGAAATAAAGTTTGTTTTGTTTTGCGTTCTCCCAGGGATGTGGTGGACCATTATTACTCAATATAGCATTAAGCTGTGGTTGCCATATAAATTTCTCATATAACTTTCTTAACATGTAATGAATTCATGAAATAAATTTTTACCACCAGGTCATCCTTGCCCCAAGTCCAAAATATACGGGTGTTTTGGATGAGCCGCCACGGTATATGGGGGAAGGTTTTGTGGTGATGTCATCAAATCTAGTGCACTTCTATTATTATGTGGATGAGCCAGGTCCAGTGCCAGAGCATCCTCAGGTGAGCTGTTTAGTCAATTGTTCCCTAATTCATTCCAGTGTAATGCAAGCATCCTACTATAAGGCTACATCATTCTTGGTTAATGATAACATTCAAGTTGATGATGTGAACATAACTGAGGTCTTGATTATGTGTACCCCATAACCTAGGAGTGTTAATATTTATCACTGAGAGGAAGATGGGCATATAGGAGAGAGTGAATATATGTGAGTCTAGGATGTCAAAAAGAATACTGTACTACCCACATCCAGATTTGTCTAGCCAGGTGATTTTCCTGAATCCCTTCACAGATATTATTTTGCTGACACTCCATCAGTATATCAAATCCCAAAAACCACTTTTCTTATCTCATAACAGTCTATATGCTCACTTAACTAAGATTTGTTAATGAGAACATTGATGATTCATTCAGACAATGCGACTCCCAAATGGCGACGAAGTGACTGCTTCAGCCCCTGTGTGGGGTCTAGACATTAAGTGTGCAAAGGGCACCAACCTCAGCTATGGTCCCTGGGCTGACCGCCAGAGAGAGCAGCTCTTTCGCTTCTTTTTCCCACAAGATTATCAGACAGCAAAGGTGAGGTGAAAATCTGTAGTAAACTGTTGGGAATTTAATTGTGCAGACTTGGAAAATCTCTCATACTGTTTCTGTAGTGTTCCATCTGTTTTTAGCCTTGTTTGTTCCATTTCCAAATTAGTAAAATTCTCATAAGACACCACAGTAAATTGCCGTAAACTCTTTCATAATGTAACTGTACATAGTTCACTTTTGGCTTAAAGTCATTGAAAATTTTCAGCATTTCTTTCATAAAGTTTTGAAACTTGATTTTATGCTGTATTAATTTACTAGAAAGCTTCCCGTCACACACACACTCACACATCAGAAAAAAAAAAAAAAGAGAAAAGTTTAGATAAAGAGAAGAATGAGAGAGAGAAGCAAGAGTGAGAGAAAAAGAAAATAAAAGATAGAAGACAAGACAATGGAATTTGTTCCAAGAGGAAGTAATAAATGCTTAGAACCACTGGAAATTTTAATCTATTATGATGTAAATGCTGAAGACGGCACTATACATAGCTCTGCTCCCGGAGTTATAAAGAAGCAATCACAGATAGGTCATTTTCCTTTCCATTCTTTCATGCTCATAATTTTTCTTTATGAAAATGACAGAAATCATTAGTTTATTTTGCCTTAGATGCCAAATGCCCCGGTTCCTGGAGAATTGCGGCAAGTTCAGCAGTTTGACCTGCGCCTCAGCATACTAACTGAAGCCACAATTGATATTCTTTTCTCTAAGGTATGTGTTAGGGTTTTGTTCTTTTTCTTTAATGGCATTTTTTATTTTTATTTTATCTTGACGAAGGTCTCCTACCTAGACAGGGTGTGACCCAAAGAAAACATTCACCAGTGTTCACTCAGTCGATGTCTTGTTTAAATCCTTTGTTCACTTGGCGATAGCCTCCCTCCCTCCTTTCCTCCTGCATATTTGAACCTCAGCCTCACTCTCTGCATAAGAATTCTAAGCTGCTTTTAGTAACCTTCCTCTTCCATACATTTGCCACGTGGCTCTGAGACCTGGTCATGGGGCGGGCTGCAGGGGCGTTGACCCCCTAAACCCCCTCCAGGTATACTGTTTCCATAGCATATGAAGTTTTTAGTACCATATTTATTTAATGATAAATATTTGCTATTACTGAATTGTCAATTTTTTTTTTTGTACTTTTTCCGAGTTACTTATTTTTTCATACTCAAGTTTGTGATCTCAAACAAATTTATTTACATTATTTATAATGTATGGAATACATGTTGCAGGAGAAAGAAACTAATGCTGTGCACATGAATGTTCAAAGAGGTTCCTACTTTGAGATGACACTTCCTTGGACAATTCACGAGGATGGTTATGTTACCAAGATAAGAGGTCAGCTGTTCCATGTGGATGCATCTACCAGTCTGCAGGTGTGTGTGTACTCACCTAATTGTACTCACCTAATTGTGGTTGCAGGGGTCAAGACTCAGCTCCTGGCCCCGCCTCTTCACTGATCGCTACTGGGTCCTCTCCCTCTCTGCTTCCTGAGCTCTGTGTGTGTGTGTGTGTGTGTGTGTGTGTGTGTGTGTGTGTGTGTGTGTGTGTGTGTGTGTGTGTGTGTGTGTGTGTGTGTGTGTGTGTGTGTGTATTATTCAGTGTTAAAATCAACTCTACTTGTAAAGGTGATGCTCCATTCTACAATATCAGTGGAAAACATCAAATGAAAATTTGTTTGATTTCTTATTAGTTCATAAACTAAAAAAAAAAAGTCATTTAGTAAATTGCTATAGATTTAGATTTTTTTTTTTAACATCGGCTGTTTGCACTGAGGCAGGGTGACCCAAAAGAAAGAAAAAACACAAAAATAAAGAAAAATTTTTTTATTTAGATATTTATTCATAAAAATTAATAATATATGCAACATAAGTGAGAAAAATTACATTTTAAATACACTAACATATATGATGTTACAGTTTTGAACTGTATTATTGGCATGCCTCTGGCAAGAAAGTAATGGAGTGAGTGATGATGAAAGTGTTTCTTCTTTTTTTGGGTCACCCTTCCTCGGTGGGAAATGGCCGATATGTTAAAAAAAAAAAAAAAAATTTTGACAAGCCCATATTACACAACATTTGCGGCAAGTCTTACCAGAAGTGCACAGACATCACAATTGAAATGACCCTCTGAAGTGCAAGTGTTGCACAGAACTCAAATCCAGATAACAAAATGTTATTGAATCTTTTTACAGACGAATCTCCAGCTAGCGTGGCCATGACGAACTCTAGCTCAAGTCCCCTCAATGCCGTCAACATGACTCACGAAATCGAAATGACACGATTGCAAACAAACCATACAACGGGTGGGATTGAACCCGCGGTCAAAGAGTCTCAAAACTCCAGACTAGCTGGTCCAGTGGCTAACGCGATGGTCTGGAGTTTTGAGACTCTCTGACCGCGGGCTCAATCCCGCCCGTGGTATGGTTTGTTTGCAATCGTGTCATTACGATTTCATGAGTCATGTTGACGGCATTGAGGGGACTTGAGCTAGAGTTTGTCACAGCCACGCTAGCTGGAGATTCGTCTGTAAAAACTTGCATTTGTGGTCACAGTGGTGCCTATGCTAACGTTATTGAATCCTTGCATAAATCCCTTCACAAATGATACATAAAATCCCTGAAAACCACTAGTCTTCACTTACCCCAATCTTACATGCACACACATTACTTCTGAATGCTAAAGCCTCATAAAGGCTCTTACTGTCACCAGCATGTGACTGAAACTCCCTTAGTTATTACCTCACTGTTCTGTACATAAAATAGTTATTAGTATTTTACATTTCTTATTTCTCCACAGTACCGTAGCCTGCTCGAAGCCGAGACCCTGGACTACGGGGTGAGCATCCGCTATCCTCGTGTGTGGAACCACCACCAGACTTGGAATATGCAGTTGAGCAGTAGCAAAGCAACTTACCACTTCCTCTATGCACATAAAGAATTCTTTCAAGGTGAAACACCACTACCATGTCGTATCAGTGTATAAGGCTTTTCGTAATATACAGGAGTCATTACTATTTTTGTCTATGGCGAAAAAAAAGGCACGATACACAAATAACCGTGATTGGAACAATACACAATAACCTGTACATAAGAGAAATAAGCTTTTGATGTCATCATAAACTTCTTTTCTGCTCTGTGCAGGTTATTTGTGTATTTATCTGTGGTGCATGGGTGTGCCAAGTGACCAACAACCATCACTTGGTACCACAAACATTATTATCTGGGGTGCATGGGTGTGCCAAGTGACCAACAACCATCACTTGGTACCACAAACATTATTATCTGGGGTGCATGGGTGTGCCAAGTGACCAACAACCATCACTTGGTACCACAAACATTATTATCTGTGGTGCATGGGTGTGCCAAGTGACCAACAACCATCACTTGGTACCACAAACATTATTATCTGTGGTGCATGGGTGTGCCAAGTGACCAACAACCATCACTTGGTACCACAAACATTATTATCTGTGGTGCATGGGTGTGCCAAGTGACCAACAACCATCACTTGGTACCACAAACATTATTATCTGTGGTGCATGGGTGTGCCAAGTGACCAACAACCATCACTTGGTACCACAAACATTATTATCTGTGGTGCATGGGTGTGCCAAGTGACCAACAACCATCACTTGGTACCACAAACATTATTATCTGTGGTGCATGGGTGTGCCAAGTGACCAACAACCATCACTTGGTACCACAAACATTACACATTGCCAGCAATTTTAAAGTGATAAGAGATTGGCCTGGGGACTTATCAAATTAAAAAACTATTGTATTCCCTACTCCATTAAATACATGCTGTGTAAGTTATATGTGATTGTATATAATGTTTGTAGGATGACTTGGAAGATGTATAAATGTGTAGTGAAGGGGAGGCAGCTTAGGGAAGGTTGGCGAGAGGGGGTAAAAGAGGTTTTGTATGCGGTGGGTTTGGACATCCCTCAGGCATGTGTGAGCATATTAGATAGGGGTGAATGGAGGCAAGTAGTTTTTGTGATCTGATGTGCTGTTGGAGTGTGAGCAAGCTAATATTTATGAAGGGATTCGGGGAAACCAGTTAATAGGACTTGAGTCCTGTAGGTGGGAAGTTCAATGCCTACTCTCTGAAGGAGAGGTGGGGATATTTGCAGTTTTGGAGAGGCATCAGAGCTGTAGTATCAGTGCACCTCTGGTGAGACAGTGATGGAGTGAGTGATGGTGAAAGTGTCTTCTTTTTCAGGTCACTTTGCCTCAGTGGGAGATGGCAAGTGTATGAAAAAAAAAGATGTGTGGTTTGATACATTACAACTCTGTATGAAATTTTTGTCAAGCCCATATTATGCACAACATTTTGAGTAAACCATAAAGCTAAAAATTTAGTGAAGTTACATTGTTTGATTACACAGTTTGATATCATGGTGAGTATAGAAGGTCGAATGTCATTCAAAACAGCAGTATGTGCAAATAATGCTATTTTTTATTAATCACAAATTATGTGCAGTAAATTAATTTTCAGATTTAATTGAAGACTGGTCTACACGTGTGCCCCCTGACTTGCTCCACTTTGTGCCATACTCTTGGAATTTTGTCCTTAAACTTCAACAGTTCGAGCTTGTTACTCTTGCTAATGGATACAACTGGGTGGATTGTTCCTCACAACATCAAGCCAACGGTAAATAGTGGCTTGTCTCTTCCTTTTTATATCAGTTACATATTTAGCTGTTTTTTATCTATGTTATGTATAAAGAGAAGGATGGTCCAGTTTATCATCAGGTTTAGCACTAGTTCATTCATCAGGTCTAGCACTAGTTCAGTCATCAGGTCTAGAACTAGTTCAGTCGTCAGGTCTTGCACTAGTTCAGTCGTCACGTCTAGCACTACTTCAGTCATCAAGTCTTAGCACTAGTTCAGTCATCAGGTCTAGCACTAGTTCAGCAGTCATCAGGTCTAGCACTAGTTCAGTCGTCAGGTCTAGCACTACTTCAGTCATCAAGTCTTAGCACTAGTTATCATCAGGTCTAGGCAGAATTTTTTTTTTTCCATCTAACAATTAGCTAGTATCTTTATAGGAGATTAAGGGCTTGGGGAAAGATAGATAGGAAGAAAAAGAGAGAGAGAAGGAAGGAGGGAGAGATAGATATGCTCTGCTATTTATTTTATTTTTTAAGTGAAATCTTTTGATTGTGTGAGAAAAAGAGTGTAGTTCAGCAGCAGTAGCGTGTTACGTGGTTAACACAGAAGTCCTTATGTTAGAGCAAGAAAGTAACATAGGGTGATTACAGGTGGGCTGATATTTCTAATACCTTATTACAAAAGAATTGTTACTGCAGGTGATGCATGAAATATAATCTACACTTGACTTCTTTTGTATTAAGCTTAAGTACATAATTAATATGACTCAGCCTACCAGAATAACAATCTCATGTCACTTGCATTTTATTTGTGTTTACTGTGCTTTCATTATATTTGTTTGCAGCTGCTATATATGAGCTCTGTGCTCATTAATAGTAGTTACTCCTGCAAAATTCTTCCTTTTGTCTGACATGGTTAAAAGATTTTTGTAAGAAAACAGTAAAGATGACACACTGTTATGCTTTCTCTTTTGTACTTTTTCTCTTGTGTCTTCTCTCTTGTTTACTTTCTAAAATCACTTGCTCAGCTCTCTCTTGATTAACCCGTAAATGGTCCAAACGTATATATACGTTTTTTCAACATTTGAAAGTATGTAAAAAAAGTAGATCTTCTTTTTGTTTTTCTACATTTGAAAATGTGTAAAAAACTTTGATCAACTTTTTTTTTTGTTATATTTGAAAATATGTAAAAAAACTTAGATCTACTTTTGTAGCACTACACATGTGAACGTAGATCTGCTTGGACCGCTTACGGGTTAATAAACTTAAGGAATTAACACTGTGTAGTCATCCTTCACCTGTAATCATCTCATGTCATCCTTAGTTTATTTGACATCCTTCCATATCACTTTTTGTTTTGTTTCTCATTCCTGTATACTACTTTCCTTTGGTTTTTGCTCATGATGGAATGTCAATGTAATGAGACATAGATGAAAATGGAACTTTATTGTGAATAATGAAAGGTGTATGCAGAAATAAAAGACGAGTAATTTTTAGTATTTAGTGTTTGTTATTTAGGCTTTGCAGTTTTATGTAGTGCTGTGCTACTTATGAATTAAGTGTTTTTCATGATATAACATAATTATTTAAAACCGTACATTAGACAAACAATTTACTAAAGATTTCAGCTGACAACATTTCTTTCTCACTTGACTACTGCAGTGTAATTTATTTAATCTTGTATATTACTTGGGTGTCACTATTTAGCTTTAGATTTTTTTTTTGTTAGTTCAGCACTATTTCACATTAAACATGCTTCACTATTATGGTAAAATTTTGACACTTTTTGGTTTTATATTAAAATATTTCTTGTATCTCTCTGAAATTTTTGTGCTGCTTCCCATGATGCATTTATTAACAATAGTATTTCTTCCATCAGCACATGTTGCCTTTTGTGGGGAGCTGTTTGAACTGAAATTCTGTCTACCATTCGTTGACTTTCTGCCTGAGACGGTCCTTCTCAAGTTTGCAATTTTGGCTGAAGCTGTAGACCTCAGTCTCTATCTTCCACCGTCCAACACTTCACGCAACATCATCACAGCTCTGGATCGAAATGCCAAATTGGTAGACAAAGAAAACAGACCTAAGCAACTATTTTCTAATGATAAATGGAGGAAATTCTGCAAACTCAGGTATGATAAGTATCATGAGAATATTAAGTACAGTAGTTAAAACATACAAACAGTGCTTGTAAAGAAGAATTGAGTAAATAAGAACATTAGAGTAGAGGTTCACTGTAGGCCGCCTGGCCTATGCTGAACAGGTTCTACTCACACCCTACCACTCTTATTCATATTTTGTCTAATCTATTTTAAAAGTTTTTCCGAGGTTATAGTGATGCAGCTAAAATCTCTCTCTCATACCCAAAATTTTTAAGCAATATGGACTAAAGTCACTTCTGGGGCTCTGCTGGGATTAGGGGCCCCTGAAGCTTAAGCTTCATAGTTTCATAGTAGATCCACCCCTGATGAGGTCTCCCCTGTGTATTGTGTATCACATCCGGAACAGAGTTTGGTTTTGACCCCAGCACAAGTTACAGTCTAAATGTTTTCTGGAGGTGGGAAGTACAATGCCTTCACTTTCAAGGAGGGGTTTGGGATTTTGGCTGTTTGGAGTGACATCTAAACTGTCATACCTGGGCACCACTGCAAAGACAGTGATTGTGTGTGAATGATGGTGAAAGTGTTTCTTTTTTTGGGTCACCCTGCCTAAGTGGGAGATGGCCGACGTATTGATAAAAAAACTAAGATTGATTTATTCAGTATTGTATTTATATTTCCCTAGGTAGTAAGTTGGTAGACAGCAACCTCCCAGGGAGGTACTACTGTCCTGCCAAGTGAGTGTAAAATGAAAGCCTGTAATTGTTTTACATGATGGTAGGATTGCTGGTGTCCATTTTTCTGTTTCATAAACATGCAAGATTTCAGGTACATCTTGCTACTTCTACTTAAACTTAGGTCACACTCCACATACATGTACAAGCATATATATACACACCTCTCTGGGTTTTCTTCTATTTTCTTTGTAGTTCTTGTTCTTGTTTATCTCCTCTTACCTCCATGGGGAAGTGGAACAAAATTCTTCCTCCGTAAGCCATGCGTGTCATAAGAGGCGACTAAAATGCTGGGAGCAAGGGGCTAGTAACCCCTTCTCCTGTGTATATTGCTAAATTTAAAAGGCGAAACTTTCGTTTTTCCTTTTGGGCCACCCCACCTCAGTGGGATACGGCTGGTGCGTTGAAAGAAAGATTACACCAGACATTCACTACATCTAGTGACCATGGCAAGAACAAGAACTCTATGGCCAATAAAGGGTTGTCCTTTAAATTTGATGAGTTTATCCAGGTGTATATTTAAAATGCTTTCTTTGTCACAACACATTATTAAAGCTGCATGTACTGTAATGTATTGTACCAGCCGTATCCCACTGAGGCATGGTGACCTAAAAAGAAAAACGAAAGTTTTTCTTTTTAAATTTAGTAATCCCAAAGAAGATATATGACATAATTTGAGGGAAGACCTTGATGTTGCAGTGCTGGGTGGGTGGACTGTTGGCAAGTGCCAGAGCTGAGGCTGGACATAGGCTACACTTACCATCCAGTGCCTCCCCTAGGACCCTCACCTCAGGCTAATGTTTCCACTCCAGAGAAGGAGGAGCTGCTGCTCTCTCCCATCAGGGCTCCTCATCGCAAGAAGTCTCCCATGGAGATTATAAAGGTAAGATTTGTGGAAGGGAATGTATTATAAAGAGAAAATCTGTGGCCCCTTGCTCATTGTGCACAAAAAGAGAAAGAGGAGATACAATAACCACATAACTTCATAAGCATTATGAAACATTAGAAGGATTCTCTACTAAGAGTATCATAACTGCTCAAGCAGTCTTGAATAATAGCGAGTAGAGGGCTAAACAGTTCTGACTTTTTGTTTCCTTTTTTCATAACTAGTTTTTCCCCCCCAAAAAAAGATGCATCCAATTTTATAAGTGTTATTTTTATGATGCAACAGCTCTAGTGAGTTTTTCTTCCCTCCAGAACATTACTCCTGAGCAGTTTGATCCAACATCAATGACACCAGACTGTTTCAGTGTTGATCTTCATATTACTCAACCATCCGAGATCAAATTATATGGATCTATTCTCCGTCAGTTCATACATCTCAAGGTAATTCTGCATGAAAAACCTGATTATTGTTCATTATTTCACTGCTAAGCAGTGAATGAAAATGTGTTTGAAGTGTTGAAGACTTCTTTATGAAGGAGAGTTTGTCCCAAATTTTGTCTGTGACCGTGGGTTTCAAACTTTGGATTATCATGGATAGGTAAGTTAGATGAGAGCAAAATTAGATCATTTAAGTACTTTTTACAAGAATTAAGAATATTTTAGAAAGTTGCATTTAGCGAGATCATTAGAATTTTGAATGAGGGAAAGATGTAGAGTTAGTATGGGTATAAAAAACAAGATTAGCATCGATTGTTCAACAATTAGTGTTTTTCTAAAGTAATAAGAGTATAAAATTTGTATGTAACAGTCAAATCATGTGAAATTCCTTTGGCATGTCCCAAGGTCCCATCAGATATCATTTATATTCTTATTTGAAAAGCATTAAGTAGATTACGGTGGACCCCCGGTTTACGATATTATTTCATTCCAGAAGTATGTTCAGGTGCCAGTACTGAACGAATTTGTTCCCATAAGGAATATTGTGAAGTAGATTAGTCCATTTCAGACCCCAAACATACACGTACAAACGCACTTACATAAATACACTTACATAATTGGTCGCATTGGGAGCTGATCATAAAGCGGGGGTCCACTGTATTTAATTGAGTTATCTCCTTGAAGGGAAACTACCAGAGTGAGTGTGGTGTCACCAACAGTTAGGGAATGATTATAGTCTAACAGTATGTTAGTGGATATTGTCAGAAGGATGGCAAAGATATATGAAATACTCCTATAGTAAGATCATCTAATGATTAACCTCCAAGTAATTTGTGTATCACACTGATATGTCCTAATAAGACAAGATTTTAATTTGTTTTACAACAGCTGTCTCCCATCAAGATAGGGTGATCCTAAAAAGGAAACATTCACCATCATTCGTTTTGCCAGATTTGTGCTGACATCACAGTCAGCTGTATCCCCCATCACTGTAACATCCCCACCCCTCCTTCAGAGTGCAGGCACTGTCCTTCCTATCTCCAGGACTTGAAGTCTGGCTAACTAGTTTTTCTGAATATCATCATAAATGTTACTTTGATCACACTCCAACAGCACTAGATATGAGGCATTACACAACAGGAAAGAACAGGCAGTGCCACAGCCATAATGTGGGTTAGTAAACTAATTGATTCCTTAATGTTTCATCTGTTAGTGGGAATGTGTAGAAATTGTCTTATGCATCTGTAAGTTAGGTTCAGAACCCCATAACATAATATGTAACTTAAGCTTCTTAACTCCAGTCTTCTCCATGCCTGCCACTTTCTTTATTGTATAAATTTGGTGCTTATTCTATTCTGCTATTCAGCGCCTCATATACTGTATACTGTATATATATAAAGCATTCAACAGTGTTAAAGAATGAACTAAGGAGAAATGGATTTGCTACTTTTTTTAGTTGAATCTTCTTTGTTTTGTTATTACACCTATTTAACCCGTAAACGGTCCAAACGTATATATACGTTTTTTCAACATTTGAAAGTATGTAAAAAAAGTTGATCTTCTTTTTGTTTTTTTACATTTGAAGATGTGTAAAAAACTTTGATCTACTTTTTTTTTTTGTTATATTTGAAAATATGTAAAAAAAACGTAGATCTACTTTTGTAGCACTACACATGTGAACGTAGATCTGCTTGGACCGTTTACGGGTTAATGACCAAGTACAATATCATTTGAGGGATACTGTGGGATTCTTATTTGGGCTACACATCCTACAGTTGACACATTTCAAAATGTATGTTGATGTAAATCTAGATTTCTCCATGGGGAAGTGGAACAGAATTCTTCCTCCGTAAGCCATGCGTGTCGTAAGAGGCGACTGAAATGCCGGGAGCAAGGGGATAGTAACCCCTTCTCCTGTATATATTACTAAATTTGAAAGGAGAAACTTTCGTTTTTCCTTTTGGGCCACCCCGCCTCGGTGGGATACGGCTGGTATGGTGAAAGAAGAAGAAGTAAATCTAGATTCAAATACAGCAGACCCCCGCTTAACGATGACCTCCCAATGCGACCAATTATGTAAGTGTATTTGTGTAAGTGCGTTTGTATGTGTATGTTTGGGGGTCTGAAATGGACTAATCTACTTCACAATATTCCTTATGGGAACAAATTCGGTCAGTACTGGCACCTGAACATACTTCTGGCATGAAATAATATCATTAACCGGGGGTCCACTGTACTGCACATGTAGCCAAATCAAACTTGCATTTACCTCCTCAGTGTTTGTGTAATCCTACTGTTTCTACTTTTTATTTAATAAAATCTAGAGTAAGTTGCTTAACTTTTGAGCAGATAAAATACTTCATTATCATGGTACAGTGCTTCTGTATCATGGTACAGTGCTTCTGTATCATGGTACAGTGCTTCTGTATCATGGTACAGTGCTTCTGTATCATGGTACAGTGCTTCAATATCATGGTACAGTGCTTCTGTATCATGGTACAGTGCTTCTGTATCATGGTACAGTGCTTCTGTATCATGGTACAGTGCTTCTGTATCATGGTACAGTGCTTCTGTATCATGGTACAGTGCTTCTGTATCATGGTACAGTGCTTCAGTATCATGGTACAGTGCTTCTGTATCATGGTACAGTGCTTCTGTATCATGGTACAGTGCTTCTGTATCATGGTACAGTGCTTCTGTATCATGGTACAGTGCTTCTGTATCATGGTACAGTGCTTCTGTATCATGGTACAGTGCTTCTGTATCATGGTACAGTGCTTCTGTATCATGGTACAGTGCTCATGTATCATGGTACAGTGCTTCTGTATCATGGTACAGTGCTTCTGTATCATGGTACAGTGCTTCTGTATCATGGTACAGTGCTTCTGTATCATGGTACAGTGCTTCTGTATCATGGTACAGTGCTTCTGTATCATGGTACAGTGCTTCTGTATCATGGTACAGTGCTTCTGTATCATGGTACAGTGCTTCTGTATCATGGTACAGTGCTTCTGTATCATGGTACAGTGCTTCTGTATCATGGTACAATACTTCTGTATCATGGTACAGTACTTCTGTATCATGGTACAATACTTCAGTATCATGGTACAATACTTCAGTATCATGGTACAGTGCTTCTGTATTATGGTACAGTACTTCTGTATCATGGTACAATACTTCAGTATCATGGTACAGTGCTTCTGTATCATGGTACAGTACTTCTGTATCATGGTACAATACTTCAGTATCATGGTACAGTGCTTCAGTATCATGGTACAATACTTCAGTATCATGGTACAGTGCTTCAGTATCATGGTACAGTACTTCAGTATCATGGTACAGTGCTTCAGTATCATGGTACAGTACTTCTGTATCATGGTACAGTGCTTCAGTATCATGGTACAATACTTCAGTATCATGGTACAGTACTTCTGTATCATGGTACAGTACTTCAGTATCATGGTACAATACTTCAGTATCATGGTACAGTGCTTCAGTATCATGGTACAATACTTCAGTATCATGGTACAATACTTCAGTATCATGGTACAGTGCTTCAGTATCATGGTACAGTGCTTCAGTATCATGGTACAGTACTTCTGTATCATGGTACAGTGCTTCAGTATCATGGTACAATACTTCAGTATCATGGTACAGTACTTCTGTATCATGGTACAGTGCTTCAGTATCATGGTACAATACTTCAGTATCATGGTACAATACTTCAGTATCATGGTACAGTACTTCAGTATCATGGTACAATACTTCAGTATCATGGTACAGTACTTCAGTATCATGGTACAGTACTTCAGTATCATGGTACAGTACTTCTGTATCATGGTACAGTACTTCAGTATCATGGTACAGTGCTTCAGTATCATGGTACAATACTTCAGTATCATGGTACAGTGCTTCAGTATCATGGTACAGTACTTCAGTATCATGGTACAATACTTCAGTATCATGGTACAGTGCTTCAGTATCATGGTACAATACTTCAGTATCATGGTACAAATATTTCCCAGTATCATGGTACAGTGCTTCTGTATCATGGTACAATACTTCAGTATCATGGTACAGTACTTCAGTATCATGGTACAATACTTCAGTATCATGGTACAGTGCTTCAGTATCATGGTACAATACTTCAGTATCATGGTACAGTACTTCAGTATCATGGTACAGTACTTCAGTATCATGGTACAGTACTTCAGTATCATGGTACAGTGCTTCAGTATCATGGTACAATACTTCAGTATCATGGTACAGTGCTTCAGTATCATGGTACAATACTTCAGTATCATGGTACAGTACTTCAGTATCATGGTACAGTACTTCAGTATCATGGTACAGTGCTTCAGTATCATGGTACAATACTTCAGTATCATGGTACAATACTTCAGTGATGAAAAAGCTGTATTGAACTATATCTTTTATCTTATAGGAAAATATTTTTGGTGAAGATCAGAAGTTCACTGATATGAACCAGACACATATAGAGGAAGACGCTCCAGCTGAGCTGAGTCAACACGAGGAATCCAAATCCAACAGTCTGGTCGAAGAAAAGAAGCCAGAGTTTGACTGTCGCAAATATCGCCAGTTTAGGGTCACTGTTAATATTGATATAAGAAATGTTCTTGGTCACCTGGTTAAGGTAAGTAGTCATGTCTCCCTTAGTTGTTCTAGCCTCTTATATCATCATCAGGTTCAGCTCTTGTAGTTTTCTATGGTGTATTCATCTTAGTTCCAGGACTAATCTTGTTGCAAATCTCTGCACTTTGTTTGTTTTCTTGATATTCTATGTCAGATGTGAGTTCCACCAGGATGGGGATACTTGCTCAAAGATGAGCTTGAGATTCATCATATATTGCATTGTAAAAGTTTTTTATTATTGCATTAATTTTTATCATTGTATCCAACTATTTTTTATTAGTTATGAAGATGTGTGGAAAAAATTAAAGTGTCGAGGATAATGGTAATGTTTTAAATGAACTTTTCCATAATCCAAGAATGAATTATAAATCTAGTACTAGGCAACAATAGGCTTTACTATTTCAGTAAATACAGGATATTTCTACTTTGCAATGGTGCAAAATCAATTACTTTGGAGACGAAACTTAAGATAATTACCCAGTATGAATCTGACAAGTCCATAACTTGTATTCATTTATTTACTTTTCAGTACTGATATTTAGTTACAATAACTATTTGTTTATTTACTTATTCTGTGACAGTAGTTATTTATTTATTTATTTATTTAGCATATCATATTCATATTTGACTTATAATGTTTTCAACTTATGATGGATTTGTTGGAACATAGTCCCATCGTAAGTCGAGGAACACCTGTATTGGATTGATAATATTTATGTTCAAAATAAATACTTTGCAGAGTATTAATGCACAACATTTTAAATGATCTTAAGAGTTTTATTGGGATTCTCCTCTTGCTGCTTGGCCCAAGTTATTTACACTTTTAATTCCTAAGAAGAGGGCTGTTATTCTTGCTTCAGGACTGTACTGAGAATGATCCAGCATGTCCAACAGTAGCACTGGACCGGCTGGTATTTGAGATGGATAAGAGGTACATGGAGACAATGCTACAGGTAGTGGTGTCACCTCTCATCCTCATCACTTCTGACACCAGCCACTCCAGACCGCCAGCTCATCAGCACCTTCAAACTGGGTTTCTTATGTTATCTGGCTTGCAGGTACTTATCATATTCACTGGTTAGTTTAATATGTTTATTATGCACCCCATACCCATCCTGTGGGCGGTAGTCAAAAGATTACAGAGGTACATAATTGGTCCAGGGACTGGACTCCAAAGTTTTGATAGCTGAGCAAGTTACAGAGGTAATGAACTCACAATTTACAAAGGTAATGAACTCACAATTTACAAAGGTAATGAACTCACAATTTACAAAGGTAATGAACTCCAGGTAAGTCTGGTCACAATCATGACAAGTTACAAAGGTATTTACAGATTACAGAGGTACGTAATGGGTCCAGGGACTGGGCCCCCGAAGTTTTGATATTCACTGGGATTGATTACTTTATTGTATACGATACTTTTTTTCAAATTTTGGGTATTGTATTTCTCACCTACTTTTAATTATTATTCTAAGAATCATCATCTACATGGTCAATTTTAAGGAACCCAGTATCATGCTGATATGTTTACACCTTATACAATGGGCTCGGGGATGTGTCTGAGAATTGCCTCTTCTTCTCTAGACTGACTGAGCTGTGTGCTGATGAGGAGAAATCATTTGCAGGAAGATTCTTTCCTTATGTAGCTCCTAGAGTGTTCAACTGGTTGCCAGTGTCTGTCAAGAGTCAGCAATCTTTGCCTTTCCTTATGTAGCTCCTAGAGTGTCAACAGGTTGCCAGTGTCTGTCAAGAGTCAGCAGTCTTTGCCTTTCCTTTGTAGCTCCTAGAGTGTCAACAGGTTGCCAGTGTCTGTCAAGAGTCAGCAGTCTTTGCCTTTCCTTTGTAGCTCCTAGAGTGTCAACAGGTTGCCAGTGTCTGTCAAGAGTCAGCAATTTTTGCGTTTTCCAGTCTCAGTTGAAAGCACATCCGTTTTCTAGAGGTTATGATCATGCTGTCGCTCTTGAATATCAAAAATAGAAAGTCACAGTACAGTGGCTGGAGCAATACACAAATAAACTGCACTTAAGAGAGGATCTATCAGACTGAAACATTGTTATTTTTTTCCCTCTGCTAAATTGTTCTGGATAACCTATCTGTTGTTTACCCTGATTAGTCATCTTGGCAGATATAACTGCATGAATTTCTCAAGCTCTCTCTTCACAGTTAGTGATCTAATTGTAATTTCCCACACACAGTTTCTGCCAAAAAAAAAAAAAAATCTTTGGCATGAACTAAAGAAAAAGTTTGTTGCTGATCATGTACCAAACCGAAAGGACTAAAAATGTAATGAAAGCAAACGGTCAGATTACCAGATATTAATGTTTTCTGGTTTGCCAGAAGAACGGAGTAACTTTTTTTACACCTAGGCATTCCCTGTAGACACCTCGATTCCCACGAAACGATGAAGAAAAAATATCAATCATTCACTCATTCACGTCTTCAAGGCATGCCGAACTACAGTTCAGGATACTGCGAATCTTCACACCTCCTTCATCTAAGGAGGGTAACTTGTAGTTGTGATATTGCACACTGCCTTCATTAGTTTCAGGTCCAGTGTATAATCATAACAAATGCCTTTAATCTTTCCATCCCTCAGCTCTTATTCTGGTTAACCTTCTCCTGAATTGTATATGTAATAATTAGTATCATGATGGAGAAATCTTCACCCCTGCTTGAAGAAATGAAAGAATTCTGATTAATTTTTTGTTTTGAATTGAACACTGCTTTCCTTGTTTCATGATGTATCGGTCACCCATGTTCAATTGGGAATTAATCCTGATTCCTCAGACTCCTTCATTCTTGAACTCTAACTCTTAAATTGTAAATGTGTATGCAATTAGTAATGTTTGTGGAGAAATCTATGTGAGCCACCCTGCTTGAAAATGAAAAAATGAAAATGAAAATTTTCTGCACTATAATTTTTTTTTTTTTTGAGATGTAAACATATTTCCTTGTTGTCTGTAGATGCGGGGTCACGCCATGTTCAGTTCTGAGGAACGTAACCTGGATGAGGAGACTCTTGAGTATGCTTGGCTCGTTGAGTTAACCATCGGTACTCTGAGTGGCAAACTTACAACACCACAGGTTTGTCGAACCAGTTGTTATTTATGTATCATAGACAACGGTACCTTCAACTAACAGCTTTTCTAACCAGTATGTATCTGCTGGGTAATTTTTTTGTCTATAAAAAGCACTACCAAAGGTGAAGGAAAATACAGTTCTCACTCACGATCATTTATTTTTCCTCATTACTGCTTATTTGATATGTATGATTTTTATTTTTTACCATACAGAGTACAGTTGTATGTAGGAATGGCATAATACCAAAGTTTTGCAGATACGAATGCCAATACTCAATTTTAGGTTGATATCATTACCATCAAAATTAAGCAATGCCTATTGATACTGATACCATCAAAATTATCAGATATCATTACTTTAGTTGGGTGCTTGAAACATATTTTTTGATCTTATTCATGCTTGTAGATTGGAGTAAAGTGAACAAATTTCTGCTATTACATACTAACGTAAGGTTAATGATATTCTATAAAAGTCATTTCCTAATATATTTGCAGTAAGCCCTCCTATAATGAGCCATAATGTTTGTAACTTTCTTGCAGTGAGATTCAGAGTATAACCAAAAATTTTGACATTGTGCAAAAATATTGATGTTATGAGATTAAAGTATGAAAGAATCGAGTAACAGGCAAAGATTGTAACCTGCTGAAAATAGTGTCAGAGTTCAGTGTAGCTAAATAAGATAGAAAAGTTACTGAATCTGCGAATTGATAAAACAAAGAAAGGGGCAAGAGCCCCTTGGAGACTGTATATATAAGCAAGCAATTATTTCCATTTTAGACTTAAACTAGGCTTAAGTTTGCCTGAAATGCTCTGCATAACACTGGGCTTTCTCTATACACACCTAAATGTCACCCATCTCTGTACAAACATTGTATTGTGCTGAAATAAAAAAAAATGGTTAATGTTGCATGCTAACTTGGCTGAGTATCAAGTGACTTTTTCTTCTCTACAGCTACAAAATGTAATAACATCACTGGAAGCTTTTATATTCACTGTTGAAGACTTGGAGAACAGTCTGAGACATCCACGACCACACATGTTCTGTTACCATGGCACTCCACAGCCACAGTGCCCTCACACTGTCGCCGAGCACTTCTGCCCTACAACCGACGTCATAAAGTACAAGATGGTACGAACTTCTGTTGATGGCCTCTGTCTTAACCTTGTGGAAAGTGGCACCATCCTTAGCATTGAAGTAAGTTTGTGCTTGTGCTGTGTACAATACAAATGTTGTGTTTTAGCGAGACATGATCATACTTTAGGTAAAAGGAGACATGTGCAACTAGTGCAACAATTTATTGTATAAACATTTAAAAATATACTAAAAATGTTATAAATAAATAATGCAAAGGTGACAGTAAAACAATATCAAAGATAATTCACGCAAACCCTCTACCAGTATAGTAAGCGCCTTGCTTAACGACCAGTTCGTTTACTGACCTACTCTTAGGAACAGAACTCCATCATTAAGTGAGGCGGGACTGTATATGATAATATTTCTTCATGCTTACCTCAAATTACCTGAGTGTAAACATCCATAGCTTTCTGAAGTTCGTCTTTGTCCTTGTAAAGACACTCGGATATTTTTACTGTTCCAACTTTAAAGGAAGTTTCTGCAGGGAATGAGATACAGTATAAAAAATATATAGACAAAGATGGTCATCATTCATTGTAAAGTAATAAACAGTTTTAAAAACTGTTTACAAGTGATTTAACCTTAGTGATTACAGGGGACCCTGGAGCCAATCCCTTGTGGATACCAAGGGATGACTGTATCTTTCAGTTTAGTTCTTACATGATGGTGAGTGCTGTGTCGTATGAAACACTTTTTTTTTTTTATCTTGCATCTGCTCAGTAAGATTTGCAGGGGAGCTTATACAAAAATAGGAGCATGTTTATTTAAAAATTGAAATAAATATTAAATTGTCTAGGTAAATAGCACTAACGGAGTAAATAAATGTTGAAGATTCTTTTTTTTTTTTCAGATCTACCCAATCCGAGTGGCAACATGTAACCTTCATGGCCAGCACACAAGGTCTGGTATCACCGCCCATATTCAGAACATCAATGCAAGAAATTATATATGTGCCCAAGATGGACTCAAGGAGGGCGCTGGCCGAGGAGAGGCAGCGTCTATGTGTGGCACATCGGCAAGTGGTGCTGGCTGCCCAGGGTTAACAGATGTGTACTCTGATGACGTATGGTTGGAGGCAGCAGCAATTACACTTGGCCCTGTGTATGTGGATGCTGCCACCAGCATGGATGTTCTTCACCATGACATGCAACTCATACAACACAAGTATGTACAGGAGGTTGCTAAGTCCCTTATGTACAGTCTTCACTAGTGTGGGCAATAAGCAAACACTGAATTTGTCTTGCCACATTAGTTGATGCTACACAAGATAATTAGGTCACTTGTGTGCTGTCTCCTCTGTTGAAACTCGCACTTTTACAGTGTGGCAGGTCCTCCTTTAGCGTGGCATTGCTCAGAGCATTTTGTTGTAATAAATGCTACAATCACATGCTATTTAATGAGGTCTGATGTATTAAACACTGAAAGCAAAATATTAAAAGCAGAACTCTGCTCCTGTGATTTTTAACCCTTTTGAGGTTGGTCCCATTATTCTACTGCTTTGAGGGTAGTGTCGGTCCTGTAGTACTATGCCATGAGCTCAGCTCACTTAAATGAGCTGTGAGCAGTAAATTTGGGCCTAGATATGAGAGAATGGGTCTATGCCGTCTGGCTGTCTCCCATTGAGGTAGGGTGACCTGAAAGAGAAACACTTTTACCATCATTCACACTATCACTGTCTTGCCAGAGGCATGCAGATACGACATTGATTGCTGCATTGTGTCTGCTTTAATGAGCTGCAAATGTAGGCACTAATTCCTGTACATGGCAACATTCACATCAAATGCAGAAATTTTTAAATTACATTATCCTGTATGTTTGTGAAAAATATCAAACTTCTTTCCTTATGCTGTGTAATATATAGCTATGCTACTCATTTTCTTTGTTATTATTTTCATTTTCACCTGCTGACTTTCATTATCACTAGCCCTTAGGTGCCATGATTAATGTTATTGATGAGTTAGTTACATATAAAAGTGAGTTAACATGTGTTGGGTATTAACATCTGTACTGTAGCTTGTAATGTTTGTTTTGCCAGTATTACCAGTCCTAAATATTTTTCCTACTCTCTTCATAAATACTTGGCAGTTTACCCTTGTATGCTATGAAGAGAATTTAAAATTATTTTTTTTCCTAGGTTTTTGAAGTTACATGATGAGAAGACAAAGAGGCTATGGTTTCTGTGGCCACAAGAAGCCACGAAGGTGCCATCACATGTATTTGGAAAGTGTGGCTGTGTTGGTGGCTGTGCCTTTTTTGGTAACAACAGGAATGGCTTAACATTCTTCAAACCTAGCAAACAAGATTTTTACTCTGGTGTCAATGTTGCTCACCTCAGGTAATTTTACTCTCAGTCTTAGCAATAATTTTGATATTTGGAAGTTGGATAATGCATAATCAAATACCATATTAAATTCTTTCTTCTTTCTTTCAACGAACCAGCCGTATCCCACTGAGGTGGGGTGACCCAAAAGGAAAAATGAAAGTTTCTCCTTTTAAATTTAGTAATACGTATATGCAGGAGAAGGGGTTACTAGCCCCTTGCTCCCAGCATTTTAGTCGCCTCTTACGACACGCATGGCTTACGGAGGAAGAATTCTGTTCCAGTTCCCCATGGATCATATTAAATTATATATGTAAAAATTATTGTAGACATAGGAGGTGGGACATTATCATCTGTACTACATAGTAATCAGTACATTAAACTAATTTTCCATAACTCCTTCATAATGTAGTCAGATGTTTGTGGTGACATGTCTTCTTCATGTCAGACTTGGCTGATTACTGTATGAAATTTAGTTGATTTCTGTACATAATCTGTTTTGCTGAAGTTGCTATTAGGTTAATGCCTGTTAACCAAATTTAACCAGTTGTAACATACATTAACATCAATCTAGGTAGTAGGTTGGTAAACAGCAAACGCCCAGGGAGGTACTACCGTCCTGCCAAGTGAGTGTAAAACGAAAGCCTGTAATTGTTTTACATTATGGTAGGATTGCTGGTGTCCATTTTTCTGTCTCATAAACATGCAAGGTTTCAGGTACATCTTGCTACTTCTACTTACACTTAGGTCACACTGCACATACATGTACAAGCATATATATATACACACCCCTCTGGGTTTTCTTCTATTTTCTTACTAGTTCTTGTTCTTGTTTATTTCCTCATATCTCCATGAGGAAGTGGAACAGAATTCTTCCTCCGTAAGCCATGCGTATTGTAAGAGGCAACTAAAATGCAGGGAGCAAGGGGCTAGTAACCCCTTCTCCTGTATGTAATACTAAATGTAAAAGGAGAAACTTTCGTTTTTCCTTTTGGGTCACCCTGCCTCAGTGGGATACGGCCGGTGTGTGAAAGAAATAAAGAAAAGATTAACATCAATAATTGCAATAATAAATAAAGGCTAGTCTGGATGGGGACAAATTGCACAAAGTTGACAGGTAGAGAAAAAAGATGCAATTGCAGAGAGGAACCTGAATGAGACAATTCACCTATGAAACAAGTGAAGACTTAAAAAACATGTTTTATGGGTAAAGTGTCTGAATAAAGTTCCTCCCTGCAACTGTGTAAAGACCAGATCCTTTAGATGCTAAACCAGAAAATGGGTAATTATGATGAAGACTGAGGAAGCATGATAGTATAAAACTGTCTCCTTCAGTGGGTGAAAGTTGCAGTAAAATCATGACTGTTCACTAAAAAGATAGGAGACAGGAATGTAAAGTTAGTCAGTTAATAATGAAATTTAGTGTAAATGGCATGAACATGTTAAAATTGAGGTCATAGTATTTTTTTGTAAAGTTGACAATTCATTTCACATTTTGGAAGAGTTTGAAGCTAATCAGTAAATAGATCCCACTGTACAATACCCATTCATTCTTCATTGGTAAATGATGTAGAAAGACAGACTACTTTTATTTCAAATAAAGGTAAAATTAAATCTATATCAAAGAGAGAGAGAGATATAAAATTAGTATTTTGTGTCAGGATATTTCATAAAAATTAGTTTTAATCAGTACTATACTTTCTTTTGCTTCAGAGTAAATGAATCGATGGAAGGTCCAGGTTATGGCCAGAGTATCTTACAAGATGATCAGTTGGTGTTCAAGGCCGGGGCTTATTGCGATCTTTCTCACACCCATTATGATGCAAATACTGGAACCAGCAAAGACCAGTATACTTTAAGTTCAGGATATGTTAAAAGTGCATCTCCAGCCACTCCAGCAGATGTACATGCATCACGGGGAAGCAGCTCACTCCACCACACCTCTGACACACATGCTGCTGAGAGACTCAATCCCCGTCACAGCTATCATAGAGAAGTGTCAGTTACAAGTCACGACTCCAACCCTCATGTAACAGAAGTAGAGTCCAAGGGATCTGGAGGTCCTGGGGACTCGAGCACTCTTCGTGCCACAAGTAAAGATGTTGTGTTGGGGGTTCCAGGAGCAGCAGAGGGACTCGCCACACCTGGTAGCCTGTCTGATCTGCGACGATCTGCTGACAATGTAAATTCTAGTCGACAGAGTAAGATGCCATCTAGTCTATCATTGCAAACAGAGCTACCGCTCCATGCTGCTAGTGGACACAAGCTTTCTGTAAGTGGGATGAGAGAGTCCAATTCAAGACAGTCTCTGGCTAGTCAACACAGTCTGTTGGCCAGTGTACAAAGAACTGTTTCTGTTGGCAGTGAGACTCAGTCTGAGGCCTTCTTCTCTGCTGATGAGGACCAGGTAAGTAAGGTGAGTAACCTTTCATACACAGTGTGTATTTAACATCTGTTAGTGTATTAACAGTCATCATACCTCTTATTCATCTGTGCAGTGTGACTTCTGGAACACAGTGTATACTCAACATCTGTTAATGTGATGTACGAACTCAAATGAAAATAAAATCACAGAGAATAGATTGATCTGTATATTTCAGTGTCTGAGGTTGATTTTTTTTTTTTTTTTTTTTTTTTTTTTGACATTGGCCATCTCCTGCCAAGATAGGGTGACCTGATAAAGAAGAAACACCTGCACCATCATTCATTCAATAACTTCCCTGCCAGAAGCATGATACATCACATCTCAGATAGTCTATCCAGCTGCAACATTCCCACCTCCAGAATTCAAGTTCATCTAATCAATTTCCCTGAATCCCTTCATCAGTGTTACCCTGCTCACACTCCAACAGCATGTCAAATAAAAAAAAAACACTTGCCTCCACACCTATCTGACATGCTCACTTACCCCTCTTGGATTGACTCATGAAATTTTAATAACACGATTGTAAACAAACCAAGGAACAGGTGGGGTTGGAACCGATGGCGAGTGAGTTGTAAAACTCCAGATCACTGCATAAGCCACTAGACCAGCTAGCTGTAATAAGATTCATCCAACTAGGTATATTTCTATACACCATAGGGAGGTTAGCATGGACCCCACTGTGACCACAAATGCATGGCTGTGGCAAACTCAAGGTCAGGTCCCCTCAAAGGTGCCATCATGACTCACGAAATCATACCAGTATTCCATACATTTGCAACACCTACTACATTGCTCCCCTGTCTACCCTGTCATATGCCTTTGATACAGTTGATCACTTTGTATTAAATGAGACCTCTGATACTAACACTACCTTCCAGAGAGTTGCATGACTCTCAGCTTGCTAAGATATTTTACCATCAACACCTTCACTATTCTCTTTGTATTCTTATTCGGGTTAGTCTATGGCTGCTGAATTTTTTTTTAACACCGACTGTCTCCCACCAAGATAGGGCAAGGTAGGATGACCCAAAAATAGAGGAAACATTTATTGCCTGCCATTCATTTCATGCCTGTCTTCCCAGAAGCATGTTGACATAACACTGCGGATGGCCCACTGAATTGCAACATTCTCAACCTTCCTTTAAGTCTCAAACTGACTCCCTTCATATATTTTGTGTTAGTCACACTCCAACAGCATGTCAGGTCACAAAAGCCATTTACTTCCACTCCAGTCTAACATTCTCACATAAGCCTGCTCAAATTTTTTTTTTTTTTTTTTTTTCAACAAGTCGGTCGTCTCCCACCGAGGCAGGGTGACCCAAAAAAAGAAAGAAAATCCCCAAAAAGAAAATACTTTCATCATCATTCAACACTTTCACCACACTCACACATTATCACTGCTTTTGCAGAGGTGCTCAGAATACAACAGTTTAGAAGCATATACGTATAGAGATACACAACATATCCCTCCAAACTGCCAATATCCCAAACCCCTCCTTTAAAGTGCAGGCATTGTACTTCCCATTTCCAGGACTCAAGTCCGACTATATGAAAATAACCGGTTTCCTGAATCCCTTCACTAAATATTACCCTGCTCACACTCCAAACAGATCGTCAGGTCCCAAGTATCATTCGTCTCCATTCACTCCTATCTAACACGCTCATGCATGCTTGCTGGAAGTCCAAGCCCCTCACCCACAAAACCTCCTTTACCCCTCTTTCCAACCCTTTCGAGGACGACCCCTACCCCTCTTTCCTTCCCCTATAGATTTATATGCTTTCCATGTCATTCTACTTTGATCCATTCTCTCTAAATGACCAAACCACCTCAACAACCCCTCTTCTGCCCTCTGACTAATGCTTTTATTAACTCCACACCTTCTCCTAATTTCCACACTCCGAATTTTCTGCATAATATTTACACCACACATTGCCCTTAGACAGGACATCTCCACTGCCTCCAACCATCTCCTCGCTGCTGCATTTACCACCCAAGCTTCACATCCATATAAGAGTGTTGGTACTACTATACTTTCATACATTCCCTTCTTTGCCTCCAAATACTATCCTTAATTATTTTTTTTATTTTTTTATTAGCACACTGGCCGATTCCCACCAAGGCAGGGTGGCCCGAAAAAGAAAAACTTTCACCATCATTCACTCCATCACTGTCTTGCCAGAAGGGTGCTTTACACTACAGTTTTTAAACTGCAACATTAACACCCCTCCTTCAGAGTGCAGGCACTGTACTTCCCATCTCCAGGACTCAAGTCCGGCCTGCCGGTTTCCCTGAATCCCTTCATAAGTGTTACTTTGCTCACACTCCAACAGCACGTCAAGTATTAAAAACCATTTGCCTCCATTCACTCCTATCAAACACGCTCACGCATGCCTACTGGAAGTCCAAGCCCCTCTCACACAAAACCTCCTTTACCCCGTCCCTCCAACCTTTCCTAGGCCGACCCCTACCCCACCTTCCTTCCACTACAGACTGATACACTCTCGAAGTCATTCTGTTTCGCTCCATTCTCTCTACATGTCTGAACCACCTCAACAACCCTTCCTCAGCGCTCTGGACAACAGTTTTGGCAATCCCACACTTCCTCCTAATTTCCAAACTACGAATTCTCTGCATTATATTCACACCACACACTTAATTATAGATCTTTATAAATAGATCAGAAAAAACTTTTGAACCAATCATACAACTCTCATGTACCAAAGTGCTCCTCAGCTTATGATGGAGTTACATTCCGACAAACCCATCGTAAGTTGAATGTGAATATGATATGATAAATAAATAAGTAAATAAATAACTACTGTCACTGAATAAGTAAATAAACAAATAATTACTAACTAAATACCAACATTGAAAATTAAATAAATAAATAAAGTTTATCCTATCAATAAATTTGCAATACTGTAATGTACAAAAAAAGTTTTACAGTTTTATCGCACAATCATAAAGTTTAAATGTCATAAGTTGAACTTTCGTAAAGTGTGGAACACCTGTTTCCCCCCCCCCCCCCCCCAACAAGTCGCCGTCTCCCACCGAGGCAGGGTGACCCAAAAAAAAGAAAGAAAATCCCCAAAAAGAAAATACTTTCATCATCATTCAACACTTTCACCACACTCACACATAATCACTGTTTTTGCAGAGGTGCTCAGAATACAACAGTTTAGAAGTATATACGTATAAAGATACACAACATATCTCTCCAAACTGCAGGTGAAACACCTGTATGCTCTTTTAAAAAATAAGGTTATGAGGGTAATAATTAATGCTGCTTTTGATCTGTAAACCAGATGACAATTGTTGGCAATGGGGAAGGCACGTTGTCACGGGTGTCCTCGCAGCTGAGTCTTCCTACAGTGCCAGAGGACCAGCAGCAACCACAGTCTCTCACTGATTGTCACTCAAGTGAGACATCCACACCACCCACTCCTCACCATGACTCAGCTATGCTCACTATAAATTCAAATGGTCATTACAGGTTAGTAAACTTGTAATTTTGTTCAAGTGTGTAATGAATACGATAGTATTAAAACTGGTTTAATATATAACATTACAGTATTTAGTTTTTTGTATTAAAACTAGTTTAATATATAACATTACAGTATTTAGTTTTTTGTATTGTGATAGGTACATTGATGTGATTTATTTGTGCAGTAAATCGGTTACTTCCGCATACTTGCTTCCTCATGCGCCCTCATTTCCCCTTCACTCTCTACATAAGGATTTTAACCCTTTCACTGTCCAGACCCCCAATCTGAAACTTGTCCACAGCGTCCAAGAATTTAAAAAATAAATTTTGTTATTTTTTCTTATGAGATGGTAAAGAATCTTTTTCTGAAGAAAGAATTGACAAAATTGCACTTTCACGAATTTTGCGGTGTCAGTGATATTTAAGCATTGGCAAGTTTGCCAACTTTGAGTCCAATTGGCTAAATTCTTAGCTATTTCGCTAATACGTCTACCATTTTAGCGATTCAGCACAAGAAATTGCCCAGTCAACTATTTCAGCTATCCAATAAAGTGATGAGAAATTGGTAATTTGGCCAATTTCACACAAATTTCAAAATATTCCAGTTTCAAAATAGGGTCCAGAATAAACAGTGCAGGCTTTCCTGGCACTAAAACAATGTTTCCTCTGTCCATTAGTTACAATCCAAGGCTTTACACATGAATTTCATTTTGATTTTTTATTCACACAATTTTTATTCACACAAAAAATGGAAGATTTATTCTTATGTATTATATTGTAATAATTATGTACATAATATCAGTACATTTGTGAATGCATATTAGACCCACCAGTTGACGTTTATTGGACACTTGATGTGATTTGTTTACTTTTGTACGGAGGCAAATATCAAATATTTCCACCACTTTGAGCTCAATTTCAAGCTATTTTCAGTCCCAAAACTAATCAAAACCATCTCTCTTCCTGTAATATATCTTCCATTCTATCAAATGAGACTAAGAAACTGAGAATACAACCATAAAAACCATACATAATGCACTGCAAAGTTGCTCTTTCAAACCTTAAAAGACGGTCAGTTTTTTATGCACTGCTTGCTGCAAGATTTTTTTATATGGTGCATATTTACCATATCAACACATTCTCTTATATCTAGGCCCAAATTTACCGCTCACAGCTTATCTGAGCTCTTCACATAGTGCTATGGCTATGCCAGTGAACTGAAAAGTGCAGTTCTGTGGCACAGTCAGCAAAAAGGTTTAAAGCATGAGCCTAAAAGCCATAACATTTAAGAATGAAACTTATTTTCTTCTGAAAAATACCATGTGCTCAACTATGTCACTCTTTGTCTATATAAAAAAATTTCCATTAGAATGTTGCTGCTTCCATCAATCCTGGAGTAATGATGTGTGAATATATTACTGTATTTTTTATACCACCAGTGTTGAAGAGGGCCATAAATGCCAGTCGATCTCTTGTAGTAGGAACAGACACAATAGTTCCAAAAGTATGAGCAACAAGAGCAGCAGCTGCAGCAGTAGTGGACAAAGTCCATGTCTTGACCATAGCCAAGCATCACTCATACATTCAGTTGGTTCAGAGTCTTGGAGAGCATGGGAGAGTGATCGTCCACCAAGATCATTGAAGAAAGCAGACAGGATCCAGGTACTCTGCTTGGTTTAGCATTTCTATTTTTTAACACACTGATCATTTCCCAACAAGGCAGGGTGACCCAAAAAAAAAAAAAATGCTTTAACCATCACTCACTCCATCACTGTCTTGCCACCGGCATTCTGATAATACAGTTCAAAAAGTGCAACAGATCTCACTCCTCCTTCAGAGTGCTTAATGATATTTTTGAGGTGGGAGCCCTGGGATTACCACCTGGAGTATGTTATAACCTTTTAACTGTATGGTAACTTTTCTTAGCCTCAGTGATGGAGTGAGTGCTTTTCTTAGCCTCAGTGATGGAGTGAGTGCTTTTCTTAGCCTCAGTGATGGTGTGAGTGCTTTTCTTAGCCTCAGTGATGGTGTGAGTGCTTTTCTTAGCCTCAGTGATGGAGTGAGTGCTTTTCTTAGCCTCAGTGATGGTGTGAGTGCTTTTCTTAGCCTCAGTGATGGAGTGAGTGCTTTTCTTAGCCTCAGTGATGGAGTGAGTGCTTTTCTTAGCCTCAGTTGAGTTAATTGTATTCTTATGCTCAGTACAGGATACATTTCACCACCACTCGCTTATATTTATTTATTATGCCCAGCATTGGCTGGAAATGTGACAAAGTTCTGAGACTCTTATCATGCTTGCACTATAGTGTAAACATCGAGTATTGTTGAAGTGCCTGTGTGTCACTGGCCAACAAAACAAGTAAGTAACAGCATATAAACTACAACAGCAGAAACTTAAACTGAGTGCAAAAAGAGTATACGGTAGACTCTCCTAGGGTGGAGTGAAATGATTGTCTGGTTCTAATGTGAATGTGTCATTCTGTGTGGGGTCTCAAAGGGCCATTAGTTGTACTACATTTTTCGAAATCAAAATTTTCCCAAGTACTTTTGATCTCATAAATATATGTCTCATTGCTATTAAGTTAGGTTTGTGTTTGCTTCATCCTGCCTTTACTCTGAAGTGGTTCTAAGCAGATTGTTTTATGCAATTAAGCCCATCAAATTTGCAGGCCTCTTTGGACTGTAGTGGAGACAGCAGCTCAGAGGTGGGAAGTGTCTCCAGCACCTCATTTATATCAGCAGTATCATCCCAGGAGGACATTGCCCTGGTAGACCTACACATGCAGCTTAATAAGCCTATCACTGAGTCACCTCTGCTCATGTCTTCGTACATCAACCATATGACTCAGGTAGCTGCATTGACCTTATCCAAGGATAACATTATTTCTAAAAAAAATTTTTTTAATGTAAATATACATGCAGGAATATGTTTAATTCATTTTTTGTTTATATTAGCCAAGCTGTTAATAGTTGCAAATACTGTTGCTAATTGTAGCACTAGAAGACAGAGAGTTAATGGCTAAAATGATAAATAGTGTGTCTACATGTTCCACCTTGGATACAAAAGTAGACTACTGACAATAATGGAGATATGAACAAAGTACAGTACAAGCTTTTATTGTGATGACTCAAGAAATCGTAATGACACGATTGCAAACAAACCATACCCCGGCCGGGATTGGACCTGCGGTCAGAGTGGCTAACGCAACGGGCTGGAGTTTTGAGACTTTCTGACCGCGGGTTCAATCCCAGCCGGGGTATGGTTTGGTTTTTATTGTGATGTTATAGTCTGGAGTAAAACATGACACTAGAAGTTTGTTCTGCACCTGTGTGTTTTCCTCATGCTCCATCATATTCTAAAAATAGTCAGGGTAGTCAAGATGTTGGTACAAGTTGCAAATAAATTTAAACTAATAAAAAATAATATAATATTTAACTTTGATATTTTAGATTGGTGGTTCATTGCTATCTGAGTCTTGATGTCCTTCAAATTCTCATATCACAATTTTTCTCATAATCTAGATTGATGTCTTTATGTTCACTTATGATCCATAACTTGATCTTCAAGTGTACACGTATGTTATTTCATATGTCAAAGCAGTGAGATATGTATAGAATCTTGCCCAAATGCTTTCACGAGGAGCATTTCTTGACATAATCAGTACACTTAGCCGTGTTTTTCCAGCTTCGATGCCTCAACTGGGATGCCCCAATGCCAAGCTTCCAGTCCAGTACCAGCCAACCCTCTGAATGCTATACTCCTGTCTTTGAGAAGATTAGTGAAGGATTCACTGCTATACGAATGGTGGAAGGCGGAAGGCATGGCCCATCACGGTCGCCTCCCCCAGTATCTGGTCGCACCCCATCTCACCCTTATACCTGGGACACTCCCATATTCACTTGGGGAGACATACAAGAGGATCAGAGTCATGAAGACCTGCAGGTATGTCAGGGGACAGTATATGTCAGTGCAGGTATGTCAGGGTGCAGTATATGTCAATGCAGGTATGCAGAGTGCCCCGATGGGCAAGTTTCCTTACACCTGGTGCCCCTGTCTACCTAGCAGTAAATAAATACAGTGGTACCTTGAGTTATGAACTTAATTCGTTCCAGAAGGCTGTTCGAGTGCCAATACCGAACGAATTTGTTCCCATAAGGAATAATGTAAATTAGATTAGTCCGTTTCAGACCCCTAAAAATACATTTACAAAAGTACTTACAGAAATACACTTTCATAGTTGTTCGAGTTGGGAGCTGTTCGAAACTCGAGGTACCACTGTACTTGGGAATTAGTTGACTCTTGTGGGTGACATATAGAAGGTGGTATTATTATACCTTAGTTTTGGCTGGGCTTTAAAATGAACCAAGGTTGAGTGACAGCTCTTGGTCCTTAAACTGAGTTGAACAAAAAAAAAAGATCATGCTTGATGTTGCAGGATGTTGTGGGTGGGATGTGTGAGCCCAACACCACCCGCACCACAGTCGTCATCAAACTCAAGAAAGATGTGGACATTATGTTATCACCTATGGCACTGGAATCAGCACAGCTCTTCCTTGAGGTATGGTGATGAGCACAACTTTATTTATTTATTTTTTTTAAACAATGGCAGTCTCCCACTGAGGTAGTGTGACCCCCCAAAAAAAAAAGAGAAAATAATTTCACTGTCATATAGTCACAGTCTTGGCAGAAGCATGTTGATATCACAGTTCAGGATTGCAACATCCCCATCCTCCTTTAGAGTGCAGAAAACTCAGTATATGAGTCACTAAAGAATATGTGATTGTAACATTCCTGTCATTGTTTAAGAGACACTGATAGGACAGATATGGATTGACTTTGAATTAAGATGACCAAAGACAAGGGGATAAAGATGAACAGGACCAGAAACTAAACTTAACTGCTGCAAATACAGTCTGTGAGGTGACCCAGATAATTTGTGTTTTTGCTGGTGATAATTGTTTCTTGTGATGCTAAATACACTGTAGATATATTGTGAAACTATTTTTCCTCTGTAATAACTTCTTTTCCATCTTTTCTGGGCAGTGCCTCCACTTCCCTTGAAAGTAAGACACTGGATGATTTTTTTTTTTCAAGGCATTGACTCCAGTCTTAGAAAGTCTTCATCCATTGTCTATCATCAACCACGCCCACATGAGGTCTCTGTCTGCTGTTGCTGGCCAGAATACTCTGAAGAAGAAGCGTTACATGTATTGGTCACGCCTACGGGATAAAAAGTGGCTGGTACACCAGAACAGTCAGCAGTGCTCAGCACAACGTATCAGGAGAGTTGCTTCCAGCAGATGCAGGGCCAAGTCACAGTACCCAGGGTGAGTGTTATAACCATCCTTACTCATAAAGCTAAGAAACTGACTCCTATAAAGCCAATTAGTTTGGCTTCTAAACATCGTAATAGTATGGAAATCTCACAGACACTCAGTTTAAGTGTCAAGCTGTGAGATGTGGAATAGTAAAAGTGAATCGTGTGTGTGTTGGGTGTAGTAAGAATGGGTCATGATGTGTACTATAAGTGGGTCTGAGGTGTGAGTCAAAAGCTCTGGGTCTTCATGGTGTACTCGGTCACTCTTCCTGTCCTGCTCCACGAGCTTTATTATGTGATGAAGTAAGACTGGGTCATGATGTGTGATGAAGTAAGAGTGGGTCATGATGTGTGGTGAAGTAAGAGTGGGTCATGATGTGTGGTGAAGTAAGACTGGGTCATGATGTGTGATGAAGTAAGAGTGGGTCATGATGTGTGGTGAAGTAAGACTGGGTCATGATGTGTGATGAAGTAAGACTGGGTCATGATGTGTGGTGATATAAGAGCGGGTCATGATGTGTGCTGAAGTAAGAAGGGTTTCATGATGTGTGGTGAAGTAAGAATGGTCATGATGTGTGTGAAGTAAGAATGGTCATGATGTGTGGTGAAGTAAGAATGGTCATGTATGTAGTGAAGTAAGAATGTCTGGATGTGGTGAAGTAAGAATAGTCAGTCAGTAGTAGTAAGAATGGTAGATGTGTGCGTGAGTCACAGAATGCGGGCCATGTATGTTGAAGTAACAAGGGTCATGATGTGTTGAAGTAAGAAGATCATGTATGTATAAGTAAGAGGGTCATGATGTTGTAATAAGACTTGGTCATGATGTGTGATGAAGTAAAGTGGGTAATGATGTGGATGAATTTAAGACGGTCAGATGTGTGGTGAAGTAAGATGGGCATGATGTGTGGTGAAGTAAGACGTGGGTCATGATGTGTGGTGTAGTAAGAATGGGTCATGATGTGTGATACTAAGAGTGGGTCATGATGTGTGGTGAGTAAGAATGGGTCATTGATGTGGTGAAGTAAATGGGTCATGATGTGTGGTGAGTAAGAATGGTCAGAGTTTTTGGTGAAGTAAGATGGGTCATGTGTGTGTGAAGTAAGATGGGTCATGATGTGTGGTGAAGTAAGAATGGGTCATGATGTGTGGTGAAGTAAGAATGGGTCATGATGTGTGATGAAGTAAGAGTGGGTCATGATGTGTGGTGAAGTAAGACTGGGTCATGATGTGTGGTGAAGTAAGAATGGGTCATGATGTGTGATGAAGTAAGAGTGGGTCATGATGTGTGGGGAAGTAAGAGTGGGTCATGATGTGTGGTGAAGTAAGAATGGGTCATGATGTGTGGTGAAGTAAGAATGGGTCATGATGTGTGGTGAAGTAAGAATGGGTCATGATGTGTGGTGAAGAAAGAATGGGCCATGTATGTAGTGAAGTAAGAATGGGTCATGATGTGTTTTGAAGTAAGAATGGGTTATAGTTTACAGCTTGAATCATTGTTTGAGTTCTTTCTTGGTTATATGTCTTAAGAACTTTCTTGGTTAGATGTGTTTAGCACCAAGAAAGAGCTCAAAACAATGAATTAAAGTTGAATACTTTCAGATTTAGAAAACATGTAAGAAAACACCAGTTTGAGTGCAGAGTTGTATTCTTGCCTGGTATGTCATTGTCGTCTTAAGAACTTTCATACTTTATAATCATTCTTGCAGATAAATGTAACCTTACTCCAAGCATCAGTAGTAGAAGAAGTTATTTCCTTTTCTGCTCTTGATAATATCCGAGACCTTACATGTGTGTCCCTCATCTCTGTGAGTTTGGACAGTGTCACTCTTCAATTTTACTCTGGCCATCAGTCAAAGAAGTCTGTGCAGATGTACATGAGGAACCCGCATGATCCTGTCATGCAGAAGAAGGTCAGTCCTCCTCTTTTTTCTAAAGTTAGTATTGTTGCAATATCTAAGTTAGTAGGGGCGTCTTAATATAGATTACCTAATCCCGACACCTTCAGGTTTGTCATTTGGAAAAGACTTTGGCATATTCAACCCTTAAACTGTGGCCTGTAGTGAATCTTTTCATCTTATCCTTTAGCCTTCTTATGGGCAAATTTTTTAATATGATTAAAAATGTGAAATAATGAGAGACCTGCACATTCATATCATTACTTGCTAAGTTGTACATACTATGCTAACTGTATAGAGTATAATGGCATTAAATTGTCATTGCTAATAATTTATTGTTCCTCTGAAGAGCAAGTCCAAAGCCCGACAGACTGTGGACTTGTTGGCTGAGCCAGTGTATATTGAAACCTCAGAGCGACAGCAAGAGGAAAACATGGTCTCTGTTGATGTAAATAAAGTGCATGTGCAGCTACGACGCCTTAAGAATGAGAGTGCACTTCTCAAGGATGCAAGTGTTACAGCTATACCCAACCACAGGTCTAAGGTAAGTCATAATTATGCCAATTTTAGAGTCATACACAACTATGATAGGTGCTTGTTAAGCTGAGATTAAGAAATGATTCTGGGGACCAGATGGTGACCAGACATCTACATATAAAAGACTCAACTAGAACACATCATCTTCACTTGGTTTTTCTCACTCAGGCCTCTTCAAGGAGTACCTTGGTATTAGGTACTCCTTGAAGAGGCCTTAGTGGTGATAGGTTCCTGATCCAAGGAATTAGCACTACCCTCCCATTGAATACAACTAGTTTATCCCTCACCCCTCTCACCTCCTCACCTCTCTCACCCCTCTCATCCCCCTCATCCCTCACCCCCTTACCCCTCTCATTCCCAATAATCCTCTTGAAGGTCCATCTGTTTGCTGTTGGAGTAATCTAATATTCATGTTTCATGCTCACTTTGCTGCTTTCTGGATTAATTAAAATTAAAAAAATTCCTCAAATTTCTAGGGGCAATTGGCCATATAAGAAAATGTATAGCATAATTTGAAATACACTGAGGTACATATGTAATACATTATGTTGCAGTAAAGAAAAATACATTTGTATATTTTGAAATACATTATAAACACTGTTTAATTTTGCCAGGTGTTGTTCAGTTTTCGAAGATGTGCTCGGGGAGACGACAGTGAGAATGGTGGTGCCAGTGGAACTCCAGTCATGGAGGATGATCGCATGGGTTTCATCATGTTTGAAGCTGGCCTTGAAAATGTTGCACTGAGGTCAGTGATTCATGTGTGTAGCTATTAATGTGAAGAACAGTTTTGTGGGTAGAGAAGTGATAGCTAGTTTGTTGCCCTTTATCATGTTTACTGATAGATTACAGTAGCATCCCCATACACCACATACAATAACTTCTGTAATCCTACTTATCTCCACATTTTTTTTTTTTTTTTCAACAAGTCGGCCGTCTCCCACCGAGGCAGGGTGACCCAAAAGAGAAAGAAAATCCCCAAAAAGAAAATACTTTCATCATCATTCAACACTTTCACCACACTCACACACTATCACTGTCTTTGCAGATGTGCTCAGAATACAACAGTTTAGAAGCAAACACAGTTACCTACTTTAATTCTTATGCTGATCAACTTTGTTAGTTACTCCAGTCACACTGAAAATCTAAACTTGGTTTGAAACTATGCCTAGAGGGAACCTACACTTCTCAAATTGGAGATATACTGTACACCTCCACTTGCTTCATACATTGTGTAATTAGTTTCCTTAGCCACTGGAAACCTGGAATATTACAAATAGGTCAAGTATTATCATTACTAATTGATTTAACTGGAGGGTGAAGAGGGAAGATGCATAATAAACTTCACTAAGGTACCATGCTAACTAGGACATACACAGAGTTATGAGAGGGAGGATGATCCTGTAAGTTAATATAGAATGGTAAGTCAAGTTCCACATGCCCTGCTATGGTAAATTTGTTCTATCTTCTCCTGATGGCTCCACCTTCAATGCAGACTAATTTTTAAACTGATACCAATTTTCTATATCAGCTGTGACATTTGCATACCAACCCCACACTGTCCCATCAAGGGTTAGCCTCTTTTAAATGGTGTCACCATCTCTTTTAGTGATGGTTATAGTGCTTGTCTTATAGATGATAACAGGGGTGATAATTTTTTTTATTTTTTATTAACACAGCCATCTCGACACCAAGGCAGGGTGGCCCAAAAAAGAAAAACTTCATCATCATTCACTCCATCACTGTTTTGCCAGAAGCAGTGCTTACACTACAGTTATAAAACTGCAACATTAACACCCCTCCTTCAGAGTGCAGACACTATACTTCCCATCTCCAGGGCTCAAGTCTGGCCTGCCGGTTTCCCTGAGCCCCTTCATAAATGTTACCTTGCTCACACTCCAACAGAATGTCAAGTCCTAAAAACATTCGTCTCCATTTGCTCCTATCTAACACACTCACGCATGCTTGCTGGAAGTCCAAGCCCCTCATACACAAAACATTACCTTCATCCCACCTTTCCTAGGCTGACCTCTACCCTCCCTTACCTCCACTACAGATTTATACACTCTCGAAGTCATTGTATTTTGTTCCACTCTCTCTACATGTCCGAACCACCTCAACAACCCCTCCGTGGCCCTCTGGATAATAGTTTTGGTAATTTCGCACCTCTTCCTAATTTCCAAACTACAGATTCTCTGCATTATATTCACACCACACATTGCCCTCAGACATGAAATCTCCACTCCCTCCAGCCTTCTCCTTCTTGCAACATTCACCACCCATGCTTTGCACTCATATAAGATTGCTGGTATAACTATATTCTCATACATTTCCCTCTTTGCTTCCATGGACAAAGTTCATTGTCTCCACAGATATATTTAGGGTCAAATATTTTTCTTCTTTAACCTCACTTAGAGTTTATTTCTATATACCCACTTTAGCATTTTGAGATCTGGAACCAATTCCTGACATTATTAAGTTGTACCTATACAGTTAGGCACCAGTTTATTTACTGTACTCAACAGAGCTGTGAAACGGAAAGGTTTTGGTCAGCAAACAGAGGGAGGTGGTAGACACGATGGTAGTGCCCCATGTGGAAACAATGGTCCTGCAGCATCTGCAGGCAGTGGGGCTGCTCCAAGCAGTAGTTCAGCTCCTGGTACATCCACTACTGAACCCCAAAGAACAGGTCCTGATTCCCGCCGTGAACTGTCTGACCGTCTTTGTTCTGCGTCCTTGTCTCAAGTTTCTAACATATCAAGTCATTCAGGAGTGGATCACTCTCTTTCATCAGGCAATGACAGCCTTAAAGACCTACCAGTAGTTCAGGTATGTTAAACATTAGTAGCACCAGTGCTAAACAACTATGCACTGAAAACTACAAAGGAAATTCCCAACTTACAAATACCCCTAGTTACAAATATTCTCACTTACAAACAAGGTACACAAAAAAGGCATAATATTTAAAATAAATGTTTAAATGCCAATCAGCATTTACCAACTTGTGAAATATATGACAGTTCTTTTGTAATACAGTATTGTTTTCTATGAGAAATCAGGTTCTGAGATACAAACAACTCGTTAGTAAGTTGAAACACTTAACATGGCAACTCATTTATTGTTGTTGGGATCCCCCTTTATTTAGCCTCTAAGAACAAAGAAGCTTTTTTGTTAGTTAAGTAATTATGAGAGATGTCTAGCGAGAAAAGTAAAAAGAATTACCAACTATTATCATACCTAAACTCCTTGCACCAAATACAATAATGTTGAAGAGGCTACACTGCTGAACTAGAAATTTATCACACTGAGGTTTGCCACCAACTATCAGTGTGTTAACAAAATGTTAGCACAGCTAGCATGTCAACAGACAGCTATGATAGCTATCTTTGAATAAATTTAAAGCTTCTTGGGCTGTTGATAAGTGAATGGGCTTTGTTTATGGATTGATCTGTGGAACATACACTATGTACGTGATTTTCACAAAATGTTACACTTAATTTTCAGAGTCAGGATAGGGGTCAAGAGAGTGCTAAAACCATTGAAATATGACTAGACTACAGATGTATGTTGTTGTAAAGTGTTGAGATATAAAGCAGTGAACAATGGGTATAATATGGCATTTATCAGAATATTGCATTGTTAAATATGAACAAATATTGCATTGTTAAATATGAACAAATGATCTCCCTTCATGTAGTTACTTTTTCATATTGTTAACTTTATGTTTAATGCAAACTCTGTGATATTTTCTGTGGATGTAAATTGAACATTGTTACAGATGAAGGGTGACAAGAGAGATATAACTTCCTTTGTGGTGGAGCTGAGAACTGTCTGGTTTAACTTTGCTGCTCCTCCACATACTCCTATTACCAAGAAAATTGATTATACCAGGTATAGTATGTTAAGACTTGTAAAAGTTCAGTTTATAAAATGAAGTAGGTATGCACACACACACAAAAAAAAGAAAAATTCAAAGATGCTGAGTTATTGCAAAGAACAATACAGCAGATCATCGATTATCCACTGATCGCTTATTTGACATTAATCTTTATGCTGCAGTTTTTTCATACAGAGCATCTGAACGTATAGTGTGGAAAATAAGTATGCATGCAGTAGGAGGACAACAACCCATGTGTTAAAAAAAAAATTACCATGTCATTGAAGGCAGTTAGGTCACTTTTTGAGACAACAGTAGCAGTGCCATCAGCAGAGAATATTGATTTGAGTTGATGGCAGTATTTGGTAGGTCACTGATATACAGCCGTTTACAGTAATAGAGGACTTAGAATGTTGCCTTGGGAGACATTAATGTTAATTGGTTCAGTAGGTGATGCTGTGTCATTTTGGTTGTGTGTTGCTGCAAGAATATGACTGTTTCTAAGTGTTGGGTACTATAAAAATCTCAAATGGCTTTCACATACTTTTTATTTAATAGATATTGAAAATTGAGTATCATTAGGTCAGAGGTTTAATACCTGCACTATGGTCAATATGGATGGCTGGGCTTCGGGAGTAGAAAAACTCTTGGAACTCATTAAAAGGTATACTCACCCATTTCAGGAATGTAAGATTACAATAATAAAATAATTCTCTGGCAGATTTGGAGGTGTCAGGAGTGTAACCCTATTTTTCCTGTATGTTTTTTACTTCACTAATTTTTAGGAATGTAACCTACGTGTGGAAACATAAACACATCTGCAGTTTAATGTGATCCTTTATTGACAATGTTTTGCCCACACAGTGGGCTTTTTCAAGTCACAAACAGATCTACCTGGGGTGGAAAAAGCCCACTGTGTGGGCGAAGCGTTGTCAATAAAGGATCACATTAAACTGCATATGTGTTTATGTTTCCAGTGTGTCGGTATTTTATACCATTTATTTTCATCGTAACCTACATGTTATGAGAGAGTTACTGTATTTTCCTAAATGTTGTTATTTGCATACCCCAGACTGGACTGGAATCTGCTCAGTACAGCATCTCCCTCCATCAATGCCTGGATGAACCCTAGTGATCGGCTGACTGTGGCTGTCATCCAGTTTCTCCATGCTTCAGAGAGCCGCAGGCTGGGGGTCATGGCATCCTTGATGGCTGAAGCATTGGATGTGCAGTCTCTCCATGTTCCTGTTAAGGTATTTAACCCTTTCACTGTCCAGACTCCTGAAAATAATATTGCTCCCAGTGTCCACCTTTTTTTTTTTCTGAAATGGTAGATAATCTTTTTCTGACGATAATGACACCAAAAGTATTAAATTTGATGGAAAAACTTATGAAATTTCACAGGCGCACAGTTAGCAGTCTAGTCACAATTTAAGCATTGGCGGGTTTGCTCACTCTGAGTCTTATTAAGTCAATTCCATTGCTCCATTCAGCCAATTTCTTACTTATAAAGTTATTCAGAAAATGACATTTTAAAATAAGAGTGCACAATAAAACCTATAGACATTCCTGGCACTAAAACATTTCCTTTTTCATTAGTCATGTCCTCAGACCTCTCCAATATTATACTTGCCTTCCATTTTGAATTCATAATCACACAAAACTAGAAGATTTATTCTATTTCCCAGATAATATAATATAACTCAGAGTTGAGCCACAGGAAGCAGTATAATCGTGGTGAGGAAGTGGTGGAGGCAGGCTTCATACATAGTTTTAAGAGTAGGTATGATAGGGCCCATGAGGCTACGAGGAAGTGAATCTAGAGAATGGCAAGTTAAGAGGTGGGGCCAGGAGCTGAGAATTGACTTCTGCAACCATAAACATGCACATGGGAGTGTGGTATGAACTAGACACAAACTGGGACACAACAACCATTGCTCTTCGTTAACAATCATGTAAACAAACATACACATAACTGGTATGAATTAGACACTTGATCTACTCATTCATTGATAATAAAAATCTTTAATACCTAGATTAACATTTCAGAACAAGTATGAGAAGTTGATGCCTTTGAGCCAGACTCTTCAGGAGGATCCATCCTGCCAGCTGTGCACTGTGCTGCGTCGCTATGTCCTGCAGTCTTCACCACGTACCATTGAGGGCAACCTCCTCCCACCACATCTTCCCAAACTTGCTACACTCAGACAGGTTTCTCACACAATTTAGTCTTCATGATGATTTGTGATGCATGGAGGAAGGCATCTTCACTGATTTAGAAATTTTCATTTTCTTCACTAAATTTCTATACTGGGGAGGCTCGGGGGTGGCTTTCTGGTTGGAAAGGGAGGCTAGGAGACCTGCATTATCATTATTTCTATTTTTATTAGGGGGCTTTGGGGGCTGAGAGAACTTTTGGGAGAGCTGAAGTTCCCCGAAGCTTTGCCTTGGTGCTGCCCCTGAGTCTTCCTCTATGTTTAGTTGTATTGCCAGTAAAATTCATCATTATATTTATCATTACATCCATATCTATATTGCTGGTTATTGCTTAATATAATGATTGAAGACAAACATGATTTTGTTATTCCAGCACTTAATATGTGTTAACTGTGTTAGGGAGTAGTTGTGCTGAGTCGACAATGGAAGAATGCTCTCTACATGCCCCTGCTGATGGAACAAACATTCAGGAACAAGCAGACACGACCCACCTACACATATAGGTATTTATATAAGTTGTCTTTAAAACACTTCATGGGGAGGTGGAACAGAATTCTTCCTCCGTAAGTCATGCATGTCGTAAGAGGTGACTAAAATGCCAGGAGCAAGGGGCTAGTAACCCCTTCTCCTGTATACATTACTAAAGTTAAAAAAAGAAACTTTTGTTTTTCTTTTTGGGTCACCCTGCCTCGGTGGATACAGCCGGTTTGTTGAAAGAAGAAAGAAGAACAGGAATAGAAGTAGTTGTTATTAACACCAGTTACGGCACTGCTGTTAGTCTTGCCCCATGGAGGGAAGTAATAACTAAAGGTGCACAATCCACTCTTGTTTTTTCTGGTTCATTTTCACCCATTATTAGCCAAATGATGTTAGTATTGAAAATGAGATGCTTGTGCAACATACGGGAACCCTTATTGTGGAATTGTTTTGCCAGTCAGTGACTTCTTCAGTCTGATACAGAGAAGAATGGTGGAAGATGAGGAGGAGGTTGAGGTAATAAGTCCCTTAGCCTGGAGTTAATGTGTTCATTCCATCAGTCTAACAGAAAAGTACAGCTTGTGTGAGTAAGGTGGCTTATATATTGTAGACAGGTGAGTTGAAGCAGCAGGAGTTGGAGTTACTGGTGGAAAAATCCACTAGTATAGGCAAATCATGTCCATAGGTTAGGCAAGCCGTTACTGTCATCAGCAGTCACCAGGAGACATGGTTGAGGTTTATCTTTTTTAATTTACAGCTCTCTCCTATCAAGGCTAGGTGACCCAAAGAAAAAAAGACGGTAACCATTATTCAGAAGAAGAAAAGACATTAATCATTATTGCTGTTTTCAGAAATGTGCTAACATCATAGTCAGATTCCCTCTTAACTGTATCATCCCCATCTTTACTTCAGAGTGCCTGCACTGTCATTCTGCCTTCAGGACTCAAGTTATAAGTTGGAATTTATTGATCTAGTAAATGTGATAAACCAATGTTTATTTATGTTGACTATAATGCTAGCAGAAGCAAAACTAGAATCCAGCACCTTAAATTAGCTTAACCCGTAAACGGTCCAAGCAGATCTACGTTCACGTGTGTAGTGCTACAAAAGTAGATTACGTTTTTTTTCATATTTTCAAATATAACAAAAAAAAAGTAGATCAAAGTTTTTTTACACATTTTCAAATGTAAAAAACAAAAAGATCTACTGTTTTTACATACTTTCAAATGTTGAAAAAACGTATATATACGTTTGGACCATTTACGGGTTAAACACAGAACACACAAACTGTGTTGTATCACATGAAGTGGGAAAGCTTGGTTAGATAAGTAATGTTTAGAAGGTATGACTGTGGAATAATGCTGTGTAAAATGAGAGGTTCCTACTACTGAAAAATCAATGCAGAGTTGGTATTCATTGATGGTTGTACAGAAACTAAAGCTTTTTTTTTTTTTATATATAAATTGGCCATATCCCACCAAGGCAGGGTGATCTAGAAAAAACAGAAAGAAAAACGATAGTTTGTCTTTTTAAATTTAGTAATTTATGTGGGAGAAGGGGTTACCTGACCCTTGCTCCCAGCATTTTAGTTGCCTTACAACATGCATGGCTTACAGAGGAAGAATTCTGTTCCATTTTCCCTTGGAGAAGAAACTAAGTATTGTTTCTAAATATATTGTCTGCATCCTATGGGGTGCAATCTCATGTTTTTTTAACACAATGGGTGGCTCCCACCGAGGTGGGGTGACCCATAAAAGAAACACTTTCACCATCATTCACACTCTTACACTATCTCAATAGTTCACTGATACCAGATTTTATTTAAGGAGATTATCATTACACATTCCCTTGACAGAGCAAATGCCGCTCCTGAGGGTCGCACAACTCCAAGATTTGATCCCAGCCTGATGGCCGGAGAAGTGACAGATGAAAAAACTACACTGCTGGAGGCTGAAGGAGGTTCCCTCAACTCTCAGCCAGGTCATGGTAGGTCTCTCAATTTTCATTTACCTTTTAATATTTGTTTGTCTGTTATCCACACTTTTTGTTCTGTGAGTAAAGCTGTTTGTGTAAGTGCTGATCAGATAGCTACTACTGTGACAGTAGTAATGTTGTCATCTTTTGGTTATATACAGCATAGTACCAGTAAGCTTTTCATGAGCTTGAGATCAGTATTGGCTATATCAGAACAGGAAATTTCTTAAATAATTATTGACCTAATGGTGGTTCATTAATTATGTTAGTAATTTTGGGATAACAGAAATGAAAATAATGATGTTTACCTGTACAGTGGACCCCCGCTTTACGATCAGCTCCCAATGCGACCAATTATGTAAGTGTATTTATGTAAGTGCGTTTGTACGTGTATGTTTGGGGGTCTGAAATGGACTAATCTAATTCACAATATTCCTTATGGGAACAAATTCGTTCAGTAATGGCTCCTGAACATACTTTTGGAATGAAATAATATCGTAAGCCAGGGGTCCACTGTATTTGTTTTTTGAGAGTGAAGCATTTTTGATGACTAGAACTTGCACAACTAGAATATGATTCTTGGATATATGCTACTGGCCTTTACTTCTGGCTTCTGGATGTTCTTATGATGCCTTGTGGTAAGACCAAGGAAATATTATGACTGGACCTCTAGATATTCTTTCCATTCTTTGTATCTCATGATTTCTCTGTTCATTTTCAGGTTCTTATGCCATGAAAATACATGTGTCTTCTATAATTAGGTTTATCTTTATGTTATTGTTAAGAATCAGATGGCAGTGTTACAAATGGTGGTGAGGATGTGACTGATGGTGTGATGAGTTCAGAGTCAACACAGCTTCCTCCTCGTCGCTCCCTCCCATCTTATCCCCCAAGGTCATCCAGGGCTTCTGTTATCCTGCCAAGCTTCAATACCAATTTTGAATCACCAGCAAGGTATATTGTGACAAATAATTGGAAATTATATTTAATAAGTATTTTTAGTTCAATAAGTTTTAAGCAGTTCATTAAAAATTAAGTAATGTAACTATTTGTTTGAATTTAAACGCATAACGGAAATGCTGCACAGTATTATGCTTCAGCTCATTGAAAAAGTTGCTTAAGGCTATTTCCTAAAATGCCTAACAAGAGTTTTTAATTAGACCTTTGGTAAAAATCTAGTATATAAATGAAAGATATTTTTTTCACTATTTTAACACATTTCATTAAAAAACTTTCTATTTTGTGTATATATTATATGTATTGCAGGTTTCAGTTTCCAAAATTTGGTGCAAATATTGGTGGCCACTTAGCATTTTTGCGTGGAGGTCAACCATCTGGTGGCGGAGCAGCTGGTGGTGTAGCAGCCCGGGATAATCATAGTGGTGGTAGCAAAAGTTCTGGCTCAGACAATGTATCATCCTCTAGCTTAGAAGGTGGACGGGGGTCTGGCCTGGCAACTCCTGGACGACCTCCTACTGTTACCTGTGAAAAAGACCATGAAAATTTATACAATTGGATGGTACGTCAACAGGAGTATGCACGCACCACAGATGCTAACAGGCCTACGGTAACTTTTCCACAGGTAAAGAATGTGTGCCATCGTATTGTCCAAAGTAGTGCCTTGGTGACTTGAACTTTGTCTGAGTCATGAGGTAGCGTATGCTGGTATAATATCAGACGCCTTCTTTCGGTCTAAAGAAATGCAAGCCACCATTCCTTTCTCATGTTGTACATCTGTTGCATTGTCATAGAACTCCACTTCTCTCCAAGTATTCTGCTGCTTAACTGATAATTTTCTCCTTTATCTTTCATGGCATGTATATCAGAGAAGTTGGTCTGTAGTTCATTGCTTTCTGTCTTCTTTCTTAAATATGTGGGCTACATATTCTGTCTTCCTGATCTCTGGCCACTGGCCCATATCCATTGACTTAATGAAGACCATAACTAGTGGTTCAAACAGTGCTTCTGCTTCCTCTTGCAGAATCCATAGTGATACCTTGTCAGGTCCTGTTGCCTTTGATGTACCCAGTTCCTTCAAGAGTTTCTTTACCTCTTTCCTTGTTGTATGAATGGCATCCAGTACCAGTTAGCACACCTTGTTTCCTAGTCTTTCTGGTATTGCCTGTTTCCACCGAAAAGACCTTCTTAGATCATTTGAGTAACACTTCACAGACTTCCTTGTCATTGTTCATGAACTCTTTTTCATTCAAATTGCTTGGTCCTTATAGTCGTCTTTCTTCTGACATGATGTGAAGCGGTTTTGGTTAGTTCAACCTTGGTCTTTACTGCTGTCATTCTCAGATTGTAGCTCAGCCTCTCACCTCACCCTAGCATATTCGTTTCTGGTATGCATTTGCCAGTTCTTTCTTCTATGGTGTTTGCAGTAGCAGTTAAGGATTCTTCAATACAATGGCATCTATCCCTGTTTGTTTTTTTGTTGGTCATTATTTCTTTGTTCCAGTGCATGAGGTGATCTTTGGATCTGTGTAAAACACAAACATTGTAGTTGTCATCCCAATTAGCAGATCATGCTACATACCCTTCATGATATATTGTACACCCTTGCTTCACTGTTAGATGTCTCATAGGGATTTTTCTTCCTGGTGACGTCTCTGATGGAACACACAGCCATGGCAGCTATGGGAATGTTGCTTCTTGCTCCATCTTGCTTTACAGGTGTCTTGTTGATCTCCATCTTGATGGTGTTAAAAAATCTTCAAAGTTTTGTCATCTTTTATGATCTTATACCTTTCTTCTTTGCATTTTTTCATGGGAGGTTTGAACACCACACTATGTTGTATTTTCTGGTTTTGGTCTGTCATGTGCTGTGTACAGTTATCATTTATTCATCAGCTATTTGTGAGTATAGCATAACAAGGTTTTTAAAATTTCTTCAATGTGATGTGTTACATGAAAAATATACTGCTGTAAATGATGCTAACAAATTAAATAATTATCAACATTCATTGTTGGGAGGATCACTTGAATTGTGATGTCCATTCACTTCTTGGTGGGAAATGGCTAATATATTTCAAAAACATGTTTCTTAATATGGGAAAGACTGGTGTGTACAGCACTGTGTAGAGTGTAATAATACAGTATTTATGTGATTTCCAATTTTGCTTTAAGCAGGAAGGTCTGAACCATAAGACAGAAGGTGGCAGTGAACGTAGGGAATACCAATCAGCCAGAGACACCAACACTTTCCTTGAGCCTCCACAGAGTGCTCACTTTCTAGAAGCTCATGTCATCTTTGAACCTCTACTTTCAGCAATTGGAGTCATCACTCAGCAGGTTTGAACATGCTCCATTTTTTTTTTCCATGAGTTGAATTACTGTGCAGTATTACAATATTATGAAAGCTAATATAAGTAAATTATATTGGAATGTGGGCAGTACAGTGGTTGTACTGTGAAGGATGGATGTGGATGTTGTACTTCAGTAAATTATTGGAACTGCAGTGTCCATACTCCCTGGAAAGAAAACTGTTGAATGAGTGATGGTGAATTGTTTTCATTTTATGTCACTCACCCTTGTTAGGAAATGCAATTATATAAAAAATACTGTATATCTCCTCCCTGAAATGTTATACAGTAACACCATATTGTTATAAGTGAGGCAATGCTGTAACTTAATTGCAAGTGTAATGTAGCTGACAATCTCTTTCATTCATGATCAATTATTTTTTTTTAGTTAAAGCAAATTCTGAACTATATTAACTTTTCTTTTATTATTGATGACTTTATAGAAATTGATTGTGATACCAGGTGACAGGAGGAGCTCTTGACCAGCTGGGATCCAATGTGAGCATCACAGGAAGTGTGGAGACTCTTAGAGTGGACATCATAGAGTCAGAGGCCTCCAAACAGAACCGCAAGAAGAGAAAGACTGGTCTGCATCCAGGTAACACAGTCAGCACTTCTGGAGACAACTGTGAAGCTACTGGTAGGTGATGGGTCTTGATGAAGTATAGGTGATGGACCCTCCTGTCTGCTTCTCCCAGCATCTACCCTGAGATTCACCAACTTTTAGCATATTTACACTGGAGCCAGCCTGGTTAACAGTTGCTTCATAATTTCTGACTGCACAAAGTTTTATGTATTGCATGCCATGACAAACAATGGCAAATACCTCAGATAAGCTTTTTATGCTGGTATAGAGATTAAAATTCACTGATTAATAATCCCAAGTGTCATACGTTATTTAGTACATAATGAGGGTGTGAAGGATTGATGTGCCTTGGTCAGCACAGATACATAGTTGCCCGACAAATAAAAGAATTATCTTTTCAAAATTTTTAATATGAAGCATAACCTATCAAGCTTTCAGTCATAATGCTTATAAATTAATGCAGTTAGCTAACCCTTAACTTCTCTGCCTAATCAAAAACTGCACCTCAGTGAATTCAGGACTTGGGCATTTCTTCTCAGTAAGTATGCTGGCACTACCTCCGTCACTGAGATCCCAATACTGCTGCTGCGTCATCTTAAATTAGTAGTGAGGTTTGAACAATTGGTGCCATGTATAGTAATGCTAATTTCTCTGCAAGGGGGTGCCACTCTGTCTATAGGGTGCTGTGCTTGCCTGTGCTAGTATCTCTTTCAGCATAAGTGATGGGAATTTTTCTGAGTTCACTGGCACTTTTGGCTAATGAGAGAGAACCATTTATAGATGTTGATTGTGGAATATGAAATATTTATTTCCAACTTTTTTCTTTCTTTGTAATTATGATTCACGTAATATGACAGTGAACTGGTCATGCCAGCAGCATGTTAATAATGATAGTGTAAATTTAATAATGTTAGAAACTGTATCTGTGTGAAGTGCAGAATGAATGAACAGTTTTAACCCTTAAACTGTCCAAACGTAGATCTACGTTTGCTAGGGTAGTGCTCCGAACGTAGATCTACGTTCGATTTTACATGCTTTCTTATGTAAAAGAAACGTAGATCTACATTCGGAGCGCTAAGCGAGCGAACATAGATCTATGTTTGGACAGTTTAAGGGTTAAATAGCACATTGTAAATATAACAAAACAAAAACTGCCAGTGTTCTCACAGACAGCTTTGCCCTCTCAGTTACATGTGACAATTGGCTATTTGGGCAGAAATATTAAGTTAGGTAATGGAATTTTTTTGTTGTTTGCACACTTTGCTATCTCCCACCAAGACAGGGTGACCCAAAACAAGAAGAAACAAAAATTTTTCCCCTTTTTACATTTAGTAATTTATACAGGAGAAGAGGATACTAGCCCCTTGCTTCTGGCATTTTAGCCACTTCTTATGACATGCATGGCTTACAGAGGAAGGATTTTTCTCCATTTCCCCATGGAGAGGTAATGAAAGTAATAAGTAAAATTACAATCCCTACAGTTAAGTCACAATATAATAGCTAGCTAAGACTTTAAACAAAAGTTTTATGAAGGAATTAAAAAAAACAGTTAGCCGGACTTTAGTAATGGAGGTGGGAAGGGTAGTGTTTACACTCTGAAGGAGGGGGTGGGGATTTTAAAGCCAGAGGATAGTCAGATTATGATGTCAGAGCAATTTTGGAAAGACGGCAGTCGAATAAATGATGGTGAATGTGTTTTCATCTTTTGGGGGTCACCCTGCCTTTGCAGAAAATGGCTGTTGAGTTTAAAAACAAAAATAATTGAGATGTCCAGTTACACTGACATATTAATGTGATATTGTCGGACTGAAGGAATTATTTTATCTTTTATTAACACACTGGCCGATTCCCACCAAGGGAGGGTGGCCCGAAAAAGAAAAACTTTCACCATCATTCACTCCATCACTGTCTTGCCAGAAGGGTGCTTACACTACAGTTTTTAAACTGCAACATTAACACCCCTCCTTCAGAGGAGGAATAATTATATATAATCTAAGTCTAGGAAAGATGAGCTAACCTATCACTTGTGTATGACAATGATCAGTTCTCAGCATGTCTTGTTAAGTGACTGCTTAGTACACTGCTCATAGGGTTAACCCATGACTAGGATGACAGTGATCAGTCAGTGCATAACATGGTAAGTAATTACTTAGTACATTCAACTCATGCATACCAATGTGGACTCTGTAGTTGAGAATTCAACATATTAACCTTTATGCTGTGGATCATTCATTCCAACTAATATTAGTCTTTAATTTTATCCGTGGAAGCTGAAATTACTTTTGCGTGGAATTTGCTTGCTTATTTAAAGTCATTACTAAAAACAATCTTTTTTACAGATGAATGAACTTTTGTTTCCAAAAAAGTTTCATACAGTTTAATAATGCTTCATAAATATATGTTTAAGAAGTATAGAAATAAATGTCTAGTTAAGTAGTGTTGTTGTTTGTTAGGTATAAACTAGGACTGCTGACAAGATGTGACGTGAGATATTATGTAAGGAGAAGATATTATTGTTTACATTGTTGAAGATGAAGACAACATTCTTCAGATTATTAATCCCAGAAAGTTAATAACCCAGGATAACCCAAAAATGGCAAGAAGTATGGCTTTTAGTTAACTTTTTTTACTGCCTGATAAAGAGGATGTCATATATCAGTGATATTCAGTATCAACAATATGATGAATTAGACACATGTGCAGAATCTGGGTATCTTTACTTTGTAGACATTTTCTCATCCAGTGACTTTATCAATACAATACATAATATGAAGACTGTAGAAATATATGCGTGAGCGTGTTTGATAGGAGTGAATGGAGACAAATGGTTTTTAATACTTGACGTGCTGTTGGAGTGTGAGCAAAGTAACATTTATGAAGGGATTCAGGGAAACCGGCAGGCCGGACTTGAGTCCTGGAGATGGGAAGTACAGTGCCTGCACTCTGAAGGAGGGGTGTTAATGTTGCAGTTTAAAAACTGTAGTGTAAAGCACCCTTCTGGCAAGACAGTGATGGAGTGAATGATGGTGAAAGTTTTTCTTTTTCGGGCCACCCTGCCTTGGTGGGAATCGGCCAGTGTGATAATAAAATAAAATAAGAAATATATACAGAAGACAATGGGAGATGAGGTAATCAGTCCCTCAGTCTAGGAGCAAGTGATGAACACCATAGTCTTGTAGATTCTACAAGACTATGGTGATGAGTTGCTATTGTCATACTTTATGAATACAGGTGAAAATGTTTAGTAGAGCATAACTTTAATTATGAGAACTTTACTCTTAGTTCTTATTTTTTGTTTGATGCACCTTGCAGGTAAATTCTTCTTAGACATTGGAAGTGAGGTTCCAGCCTTTCTTTGTGAGCATGTTGGACTAGAAATTGATGTGAGCAAAGTGGCAGATGACTCCAGAGAGTGGGTGAGCCATCAACCAACGCTGTTTGTGTCACGTAGTGCACTAAAGCAACACACATCAACCATGGTTCACTTCTCCCTCAATGTTAACTACATTGCACAACAGGTGAGCTTTTGTGTTTGGAATAAATTTTTGAAATATGTATGTATGTATGTGTGTGTCAGTGATTGTGTGGAGGTTCTGTCTTCATGGGTCAGTAGGCCTACTCCTCTGTTTCTAATTCCTTTGCTTAAAAAATAATTATTTTATGTGGCAGCATTACTCCTGTTCCATTCATGATGAAGATGTTTCTGTCTGAGGATCCAAGTTAATGATAAATAGTTTTTCACCTCTACAACAGTGGACTTAGCAAGGTGAACTTTGGTTGGGCATTGTTGTCCAGTATAAAATAAGGTGTTACAGGCAAAATTATTAAGAATTTTTCCTTGTTTGAATTCACACACTGGCTGTTATAGTCTTGTGACATTTAATGTTTTATAATGTAGTGTTCTGGAGGTAGACGTACATGGAAATGACCAGCAGGCAGGAAATTGTCGGCTGCAAGTGTTTTTTTTTTTTTATTTTAAGTCACTGGCTGTCTCCCACCTAGGTAGGGTGACCCAAAAAAGAAACTTTCACCATCATTCACAGCATCACTGTTTTGCCAGAGGCAAAAGATACAATAATATCTGCCAGACTGTGGCAGCAGCGTCGGGGTAATTATTTTTTTCCTAGGTAGTAGGTTGGTAAACAGCAACCACCCAAGGAGGTACTACCGTCCTGCCAAGTGAGTGTACAACGAAAACCTGTAATTGTTTTACGTGATGGTAGGATTGCCGGTGTCTTTTGTCTGTCTCTTAGACATGCAAGATTTCAGGTACGTCTTGCGTCTTTTACTTACACTTAGGTCACACTACACATACATGTACAAGCATATATATACACACCCCTCTGGGTATTCTTCTATTTTCTTTCTAGTTCTTGTTCTTGTTTATTTCCTCTTATCTCCATGGGGAAGTGGAACAGAATTCTTCCTCCGTAAGCCATGCTTGTTGTAAGAGGCGACTAAAATGCTGGGAGCAAGGGGCTAGTAACCCCTTCTTCCGTATAAATTAATAAATTTAAAAGAGAAACTTTCATTTTTCTTTTTGGGCCACCCTGCCTTGGTGGGATATGGCCAGTGTATTGAAAGAAAGAAAGATTTTTTTTTTTAACACTAGCTGTTTCCCACCAAGGCAGGTGACCAAAGAAAGAAAAAAAAGACTTTCATCATCATTCAGTGCTTTCACCATTATTCATACATAATCACTGTCTTTGCAGAGGTGCTCAGATACGACAGTTTAGATGCCACTCCAAACTGGCAGTATCCCAAACCCCTCCTTTAAATAACAAAAAAGGCACAATACCGTGACTGGAACGATACACAAATAACCCGCACATAAAAGGGAAGTAGAGAGCTTTTACTGACCGACGTTTATCGGACAAAAGTCGTCGTAAGTCTCTTTTGTGGACGGGATTGGACCTCTAAATACGCTGTAGAATAAATATGCATGGAGAATGTTACTCAGAGAAAAGCATCAGTAAGAAATCGTTGTTAAGTAATGACTTCTTCTTTAGGTGGATATGCTTCTTGGTGTAACAACACTCCTTGTACCAGTAATGCATGTAGATATACATATGGGCATGCGAGAAGATCAGAGACAACATCAGAGGAACTTAGATACAACTCATACACAGGAGGAAGTCTCATTATTCTGGTGATTGCCATCTCTATCAATAAAAAAATCCTGATTTCTGTTGATCTTCTAGATTACATCTTTTGTAATCCTCATTAGTATCAGAATGTCAGCAAAACATTCTATGGAATATGTATAACCTTTGAAGGCCCAGACCTCAGCTCTGAAATGTCACAGTCCAAGAATCCTCCCCCTCCCCAAAAGGAAAGTATTATTTCTTGTGAAGTTGCCAGTGAGAATCTTTTCAAATACAACACCAAAAGTACTAAATTGTGAAATTTGGATTTCTTTGCATAATTGTGTCTGTCAAATTACACATTAGCAATTTTCCAACTCTTAAGTAATATTTCATTGCCCGTTTGACAGGATCCTTAGCATTCCACTAGTATGCTTCATTGTATCGATTGAGTCACAAGAAATCTGCCCCCTTCACCCTAAAAAGAAAATATTTTTTCTTATGAAATGACAGTGAAGGAATCTTTTTCCAAAGGTAACAACACCAAAAGTACAAAATTTGATAGAAAACTTATGGAATTATGCTTTTGCAAAGTTAGTGGTCTTCAATATTTACACATTAGCAATTTTACCCACTCTAAGTCCTATTTTCCATTGTTCCAGTTGACCAGATTCTTAGCTATTTCACTAGTATGCCTTCCATTGTATCGATTGAGCACAAGAAACTGCCCATTTAACTATTTCAACTACCTAATAAAGTGATCAGACGTTGGTAATTTGGCCAATTTTACACAAAAAATTGCACTTTTGAAATAAGGTCCAGAATAAACAATGTAGACATTAATGGCACTAAAACAACATTTCTTCTGTTCATTAGTTATGTCCCCAAGACTCCTATATTACACTTGCTTTCCATTTTGAATTTTTATTCACACAAAAAAACAGAAGATTTGCTGTTATACAGACTACTACATTATTGTAATAATTGTATAAATAATGTCACTGCATTTGTGAACGTATATTAAACTGACCAGTTGGATGCGTGATTTGTGTCCTTTGGAATATCGGCAAAAATCAAATGTTTCTGCTACTTTGAGCTCAATTTCAAGCTACTTCCAGTCCTGAAACCAATCAAAATCATCTCTATTTCTATAACATATCTTCCATTCTATCAAATGATACCAAGAAACTGAGAATAAAACCATAAAAACCATCTGAAAATACACTGTAGAATCATTATTTTACACCAAATACATGGTCACAGTTTTTCCCCATCATAAACTGCATGGGGCATGATGTTTTTTTTATATGATGCACACTCACTGCATAGACCCGTTCTCTCATATCAAGACCCAAATTTACCGCTTACAGTTTATCTGAGTGACCTGATCTCATCACATAGTTCTACAGCAGGACCCTGACCTCAAAATCATAGTACTACATTAACTCAGGGTTAAGAACTCGAGTTAATGTAATTAAATTTTTACTTATGGAGGTTTTAAATTTTCCCAAAGGCACAAAAATTAGATTGATAGGCTTTAATTAATAAGGGGCTAACTATGTAAGAAGTTAATTAACCAGACTGAATGTTAATATTGTACACTATACTGAATGTTAATAATGTACATCATACTAAATGTTAATATTGTACACTATACTGAATGTTAATATTGTACACTATACTGAATGTTAATAATGTACATCATACTGAATGTTAATATTGTACAATAGAGCTGATATAAAAATTATACACCAGACAGAATGTTAATATACCAGATTAATATGTAATCATACATAACATAACTTGAAGATTCAGCTCAGAAGTTAAAAATGAGATACTGATATGGTAATTCTCTTATTTTTTTACCTCTGAATGTATTGTGTGTGCAAGCGAGTTAATTCCCATACACGTAACAGTTTGATACCTCAAGGTTATGAATTAACAGATCACCACATTGCAGAGTTGCATGAGGGTGAATATAAGGGCAATGAGTACAGCCTGAGTATCAGCGAGGAACAGGCGACAGTTTCATCCCTTACAGGCATCAAAGGTCCCCGGGGCTCTGTTGTTTCATCTCTGTCCGCTCGCATCTCTCCGCCGCCCATCACCTCTAGAGTTGCTCGACCACAGAGCTTTGCTCAGAGACTCAGATCCTCAACTAAGATGAGTAAAGGTAATGTATTTTTGTGTGTAATTAGGATGATAACCGTATTTTATGGCATTGAGGATGCTATTTTTTTTCCCCAAAATGTCTTGGAAATTTACCTAGCATCTTGGAGGCTGAAGTACCATATCTTTTTTTCCAGAATTTAGCCAACAGGATTGGGGGTGCATCCTCAACACCGGAGCGTCTCATTCACTGTAAAATATGGCAGTACAAATTGTTGATATCTAAACTGAACTCTCTCTCTCTTTTTTTTTTTTTTTTTTTTTTTTTAATAGTACTTCAGTATCCTCTTTCATAATTAACTATCCACTCAGTATGATATTTTAACAAAAACTTAGTATTTCTTCATTTGCAGGAGAGGAAAATGAGAAATCTACCTCCATGTGTACATGCAATATCCATCTCTTTTTCCCAGTGTGTTCTGACTTTGGTTAAGTTGTTGATTATTCAGGTAGTTATTCGTGTCAGAGCAATTATCAAAAAAAAAAAATTTAAGCATTCATTACCAACAATATCGATAAGAGTGTAAAAATCACTGCTCAGGATTTTTTTAAATATAATAGCCGTCTCCCACCGGGGTAGGGTGACCTGAAAAAGAAATACTTTCATCGTCATTCACACTGTTACTCTTTCTGAATGTGATTGCAAGAAATGTAAATCTGTAACAAAATCCATAATGAAATACACTGGAGAAAACAGGAGTAGTTAAAAGAATTGATGCTTATTGATTAACAATATAGAGCACATGCCTGTGTAGATATTTGAATACCAGTAGGTCAGAAATAAAAACTTGATCACGAAAGTACAGGAGGTTCATGAAGGAGACTGCTTCATGTATGAATGTGATAATAAGAAAGAACAAAGAGCATTTCACTCTAAATAAAATAGTTTCTCTCTCCTTTTGTCCTTCCTCAGGCTACACAAACCTTGGAACAGAGCGAGGCACTGGTAGTCCTCTGTTCAGCATCAGTGTGAGTGGTTCTGGACTCGAGGGAGCCACTATTTGCTCATCTGACAAGTCTCCATTGCTGGGTCCTCCTGAAACTGCCACACCCCCAGCTAATGTAACTGCCACACCCAAGTGCTGGCGTAATATTTATTACCTCCTGGACCTATACACCACAACTCCTGAGACTAAGACAGTTCAACAAAGGTAAGCTGTTATATATTAGGAATTTATCAATGTATCCTCAATACTGACAATGAATTCAATGGTTGAATGACATTCTGTTTCCCACAAAAAAGACACAGGATGCCCCAAATATTAAAATGCAAATTTCTTGTAAAATTTCACAGTGAAAACATACACTAAATACTTTTTGAGTGATGTTTAAATCTCTAGATTTTTAAATACTTTATATTGAAACTTATGAATTATTCTAAGCTTTATGTGTTATATATATCTGTTAATGGTTCTGGAGATCATTGCCATGCTCTTACTAGATTTCAACAATGGTAAAGACCTTTATGTTAAATAATAATGCAGTAATAGTTGTCAACATGTTAAATAATAACGTAGTAACAATTGTCGACATGTTAAATAAGAACATAGTAATAGTTATCGACATGTTAAATAAGAACATAATAATAGTTATCATGTTAAATAATAATGTATGAATAGTTGTCAACCACTACCCAGCCTATTTTAACCATTAATTATAGTTTAATTGTAATATGTTATGCTTTTATTGCAGTAGAGAGAAAATATTATTGTGTAAATGGTAGAAAACTAAACCAGACCTAAAATAACTTTACGTAACTTAAACAACCTTGCCACCAGTGAAGTACGTCTTTGTTCACATTTGGCTGGTACATGGCCCGTGGTCTGGAGGCTAAAGTTCTCGCTTCACACAGTGAGGGTCTGGGTTTCATTCTCAGTGAGGGTAGAAACATTGGGCATCATTTCTTTACACCGGTTGTCTATGTTCCCATCAGTAAAATGGGTACCTAGGAGTTAGTTGATTGGTGTGGGTCACATCCTGGGACAAAACTGACCTAATTTGCCCGAAATGCTCTGCATAACAAGCGGTTTTCTATATAGTAGTATGTTGTTGCTGTCAGCTAGGACTGTATACCTTGTACATGTGTGTACTTGTAGTAAATAAAGATCTTATTGTTATTATTATTATTATTATTATTATTATTATAAGCATTGATTGGTTTAGGTGTGCTTCTCCATGAAAATTAATGTACAGTACTATTTTTGCTAATATCTCCCAAAATAATAATTTGCACAAGAAATACTTATTCCATGGGGTACATAGTCATTTGTATTATGTGGTGTAAACTGATACTCAAGAGTCTGCCTAATAGTGATTGGTAACCTTAGACGAAAAAGTTATAGATTTTGGACATAAATGTTATGCGGAAATAAATTTGATTTTTTTTTTAACTAATCTTGACTCATGCCTTGTTGGCAAGAGTATCATAATTTAAGTAAATGATTGCAGTATGATATATTACTGCAACATATTGTATCCTTTTGTGTGGAGTTCTGTCTGTTTTTCTTACAAGTCTGATAAAATGCATGATAAAACATATCCTTCCTGCATAAATCATTACTACATACAATTTAATTTTTTTTGTAATTCTTTTTTTCTATCATAAATACACAAGATAATAGGTACATCTTGCTATTTTTACTACCACTTAGGTCACGCTACACATGCATGCACACGTATATGTATACACACCTATCTGAGTTTTCTTCTTTCAATAATTCTTGTTTTTATTTATTTTTCCTTTCGTTTCCATGGGGAAGTGGAAGAGAATCCTTTCTATGTAAGCCATGCATGTTGTAATAGGTGACTAAAATGATGGGAGCATGGAGCTAATAACCCCTTCTTCTGTATAAATTACTAACTTCCAGCAAGCATGCGTGAGCATGTTAGATAGGAGTGAATGGAGACGAATGGTTTTTGGGACCTGACGAACTGTTGGAGTGGGAACAATTTAATATTTTGTGAAGGAATTCAGGGAAAACCGGTTAGCCGGACTTGAGTCTTGGAAATGGGAAGTACAAAGCCTGCACTTTAAAGGAGGGGTTTAGGATATTGGCAGTTTGGAGGGATGTCTAAACTGTCTTATTTGAGCGCCTCTGCAAAGACAGTGATTATGTATGAGCGATGGTGAATGTGTTGAATGATGAAAGTTTTTTCTTTCTTTTTGGGTCACCCTGCCTCGGTGGGAAATGGCCGATGTGTTGAAAAAAAAAAATTCTTTTTCTTTTTTGGGTCATCCTGCCTTGCGGGAATACAGCTAGTGTTTAAAAAAAAAAAAGCAGTAAAATTAGACAAGAATTGTTTGCTTTGTTTGCAGATCATCAGTAACTGGTGATGCCTCAGAAGGATACAAAGGCAGTCGTAAATATGATATTCTCAAGGAAAGTAAGCATCTGATATTGAAGCTGGTCCAATGCCCACTGTGTCTTCACCTCCGGTAGTGGCTGACAAAACTAAGGAACTTGGTGAGTATCATTTTTATACACTATTTTGGAGAAAAGAAATAATAAAGGGGAAAATATATATATCTCCAGATGTTGCTAAGATGAGAGAAGGCTGAGGATGGAGAAGATGGAGCAAAAGATGATGACTAAGAAGGCATATAAATCTGGGATGAAGAGAAGGAGGGGTAGGGATCATCCAAAGAATGGTTGGAGGAAAGGGGCGAAGGAGGTTTTGAGTACTAGGGACTGAGACATACAGCAGGATTGTGTGAGCATGTTAAATAGGAGTGAATGGAGGCAAGTAGTGTTTATGATTTGATGTGCTGTTGGAGTGTAAGCAGGGTAATATTTATGAAGGGATTCAGGAAAATTGGTTAGCTGGACTTGAGTCCTGGAGGTGGGAAGTACAGTGCCTGCACTCTGAAGGAGAGGTGAACAGTGATGTTAAGGCCCTTCTGGCAACATATTGATTGAATGAATGACATTAAAAGTGTTTTCTTTTCTGTAGGGTCACACTGTCTCAGTAGAGACAGCCAGTGTTTAAAAAATAGAGTAAAATTGAGTTAGACACACATACACACATATATCCCAATAAATTTATGTATGCTAATTCATATTCTGAAAACAGGTTTGATTTCTGGAGAGAGAACACCATTTGTCGTATTTGGCCTTGCTAAAATTCATCGAACAAAACTGCTTGCAACACTAAGTGGACTCAAACTGGAAGCAGAAATGAATGCTGTTCATTCTTCACTGACTTTTAGGTTGGTGAAGGAATCTTGTATTTTTCTTCAGTGTTCTATCACTATTCATCAGATACCTTGAATGACATTAAAGGGCTAATGATTCAGAAAATATTGAAATCATTCTTGAAAAAGAGATCTCAGACAAGACTCTTTTAGTTGCAAATTCTAAGGATGTCTGCCGTGTCAAACTTTGTTTTTATGGTCATCTTAGTTACAATATTAGGAAACACTTGTCAGTTAATTCAAGCTAGTAATATTTATAATCTTTGTTAAACTTACAGCAGTCAGTATAACAGTAGCATTACTCTTACTGATGAAAATTATAAAAAAAAGATATACACCTACCATCCGACTACGACCGAGTTCGGTTCCGAGAAACCGGTCGTAAGTCGAAATGGTCGTAAGTCGAACTTTACTACTGAATATCAACAAAAATTTTTGTAATGACTTTATTTTATTGTTTTATTTTGGTATTTCATGTTTTACTGTACTTTTTATGTTGTTAGTACTGTATTTTATACTGTAAGGTTTAGGATAAACACTGTGTACGACACAAATAGTTGTTTATTTCCCAGAAATTTGGCATAAAAAACACGGTCGTAAGTCGAGTGGTCGTAAGTCGAGCAGGTCATAAGTCGGATGGTAGGTGTAGTAACCAACTCATTTGAATCCTGGTGCTGTGTACATGCCTGCATGTACAGAATTGAGTTTTAGTCACAGTTTTTGAAATTACAGGGACCTCTAGAAACAGTCCCCAGTGGGAAGCACTGTAATTGTAAGACCCTCTTTAGTTATGGTAATATCAGGGAGAAGCATATATATGACTGCAAGCAATGAGGTCAGGTCACTTTGTGACCTGATTTTAGCATGCTCATCTGGCCTCTAATGCGAGATGTAGCTCTGTAATTGTTTTACATGATGGTAGGATTATTGGTGTCTTTTTTCTGTCTTGTCTACATGCAAGGTTTCAGGTACAGCTTGCTACTTCTACTTACACTTAGGTCACACTACACATGCATGTACAAGCATATATATATATACACACACACACACCCCTCTGGATTTTTTTCTCTTTTCTTACTATTTCTTGTTCTTGTTTATTTTCGCTTATCTCCATGGGGCAGTGGAACAGAATTCTTCCTCCGTAAGCCATGTGTGTCATAAGAGGCAACTAATGTGCCGGGAGCGAGGGGCTAGTAACCCCTTCTCCTGTATGCATTACTAAATTTAAAAAGAGAAAACTTTTGTTATTTATTTTGGTCACCCTACCTCGGTGGGATACGGCCGGAGGGATATGTTGTGTATCTTTATATGTGTATGCTTCTAAACTGTTGTATTCTGAGCACCTCTGCAAAAACAGTGATAATGTGTGAGTGTGGTGAAAGTGTTGAATGATAATGAAAGTATTTTCTTTTTGGGAATTTTCCTCCTTTTTGGGTCACCCTGCGTCGGTGGGAGACGGCCGACTTGTTGAAAAAAAAAAAAATTAAAACCTCGTATCTTTATGTGAAATTCTGTACCTCCACCTCCTGCTCCATTTCCTTCCCTAAATGCCATCACTCTCCTTTACCATCCCTTTCACTTTTTCTCTCGGCACCACTCCTTTCTCTTTATCATCTCTTTCACCTCTGCTGTGTAATGCTGAATAGCTCCTATGGATTTGGTGCTCTCTATGAATTTATTAATAATAAACTGTGTGCAGTAAAGGAACTTGTGAAAGCTTTAATAAATTCTGTTTCCATCCTGAAGAGAGAAAGTTCGTGGAGCTAGAACCCCAGTTCGAGCCACCCAGCGTACAACTTCAGAACTCTCTCATACAGGTCACATTGGAAACACCATGATAGTTCTTCTTGAAGGCATTGCTCCAAACCAACAGTAAGTTCCTCACTCAAATGAAGATTTTTTTTTTTTTTTAATCAAACTTGTAATCTTGGTTTATTTTTCAAGCATCATTTTGCCAAATAAAGCATAAATGCATCATTGAGATAATTGTGAAAGTCAGTTTTATAGTCACAAAATTAGTATACAGTATGCCATTGATGTTATGGTTGGGTATTATTAACCCCTTGACTGTCGCAACCCCCAATCCTGAAGTGTCTCCTGGTGTCACAAAATTTAAAAAAAAAAACAAAAAAAAAAAAAAATTTCTTGTGAAATGATAGGGAATCTTTTCCCGATTGTAATGACACCAAAAAAACGAAATTTGATGGAAAACTGACGGAATTACGCTCTCGCGAAGTTAGCGACCTTGGTGACATTTACAAATCGGCGATTTCGCCCAATTTGAGCCCTATTTTCGGCTAATTCCATTCTTCCAGTCGACCAAACTCATAGCTATTTCTTCAGAACTCCATTTTTTTCTATCGATTGAGTACAAGAAACTGCCCAATTACCAATTTCAACTACCCATTAACGTGGTCAGAAATTTGCAATTTGGCCAATTTCACGAAAATTAAAAAATATGACAATTTGAAAATAATCTCCAGAATGAACAATGCAGACATTCCTGGCTCTAAAATAACATTTTCTTTGTTCATCAGTCATGTCTCCAGGCCCCTCTGATATTACTCTTGCTTTCTATTTTGAATTTTTATTCAAACAAAAAATAGAAGATTTACTATTATGCAGACTACTCCAATACTGTAATATTTGTATAAATAACATCAACCAATTCATGACTGCATATTAGAATGGCTAGTTGGACATATATTGGACAATGATGTAATTTGTTTATTTTTGAACATCGGCAAAAATCAAACATTTCCCCCACTTTGAACTCCATTTCCAGGTTCTTTTTATAGTAATATCAATCAAAATCATCTCTTTTTCTATAATATGCTTTCCATTCTATCAAATGAGACCAAGAAAACGAGAATACAACCATAAATACTATACGAAAATAGAACACAAAGTCGGCATTTTAATTAAAAAAACGGTCGGAGTTTTTTTTTTTCTCATTATGCACTGCGTGCTCCAGGATTTTTTTTATGTGGTGCACACTGACCACACAGACCCATTCTCTCACATGTGGGCCTACCAGCTTTCTCCTTCTTGATTTGAAGCCGCTAGAATTTATGAGTATATATACGTCAAACACGGTACCTCGTAAGTAAGACGTATATATACGGCCGCGACAGTCAAAGGGTTAACATACACTGCTATATATTATGGCAATTTTATCAAGGTTAGGTCAAGTTTCTCGGTTACTTTTATAAATTACTTAAGCATAAGCTATAAAAAAATGATTGATTACAGGTATAATGTCATGTGACTGGGTTTACTTTAACCCCTAGACGGTCCATACGTATATATACATTCTTACGAGTAGCGCCTCAAACGTATATATACGTTTTAATTTTCCTGCCTCCCAATTTGGCACGATTGCCCTGAGATGCCTGGTCAGCATAGAATGGGTCTTAACACTCGGTGTGCATCATATTAAAAAAATCTGGGACCATTTAGTACCTTGTGCTCTTTTTTTTTATAAAAAAAAAAGATTTTTTATTCTGACCAAAAACAAAGATTTTTTTTTTTTTTTGTCAGAATATTCAGGGCGCTGCGCAAGTGAACGTATTATATATGTTTGGACCATTTAAGGGTTAAAAGATACACATCCAAGAGTAAATTACAGTAGATTACAGTGTTTTTAACTCCAAGGTTTATAAGTATGTAAAGTGCGGGGTACTGATGGATGGACACTGCAATGAGTTTTTCCTGCAGGACAGTAGTGCGGGTAACCATTGGAAAGAGTCAAGGACTTTACTCCAGTCTCTCTCGCAAGACCAAAGATAAGAACTCAGCACTTATCACCATTGGAGATGTTCATGTTGACATTCCCCAGCACCCTGTCATTCTTCACGACATGATGACTCGAGGCAGCAAGCAGCTCTCCTCAACACTTATGGTTAGTAAGTTTTATGTAAAATACATTTAAAGATCATGACTTTATTACACAGTGCTTCTTTTCTTGTAAATGTATTGGTGAAGCAAAGGAAATTTATTTGATACTATTTTTTCCTCTTTCTCTCTTCTTTTTTTTTTTTTTTAATACTGAGGTAGGATGACCTGGAAAAGAAGAAACACTTTCACCAACATTCACTCTTATCATTTTCTTGCCAGAGTCATGTCAGTATTACAGCTCAGATGCTCCTCCAAACTGCAATAACCCTGCCCCTCATTCAGAGTGCAGACACTGTACTTCCCACCTCCACCCCTCATTCAGAGTGCAGATGCTGTACTTCCCACCTCCACCCCTCATTCAGAGTGCAGACACTGTACTTCCCCACCTCCCCCCCCTCATTCAGATTTGCAGATGCTGTACTTCCCACCTCCACCCTCATTCAGTGTGCAGAACATGTACTTCCACCTCCACCCTCATTCAGAGTGCAGACACTGTACTTTCCACCTCCACACTCATTCAGAGTGCGACGCTGTACTTCCCACCTCCACCCCTCATTCAGAGTGCAGACACTGTACTTCCCACCTCCACCCCTCATTCAGAGTGCAGACACTGTACTTCCCACCTCCACCCCTCATTCAGAGTGCAGACACTGTACTTCCCACCTCCACCCCTCATTCAGAGTGCAGACACTGTACTTCCCACCTCCACCCCTCATTCAGAGTGCAGACACTGTACTTCCCACCTCCACCCCTCATTCAGAGTGCAGACACTGTACTTCCCACCTCCACCCCTCATTCAGAGTGCAGACACTGTACTTTCCACCTCCACCCTCATTCAGAGTGAGACACTGTACTTCCCCCTCCACCCCTCAATTCAGAGTGCAGACACTGTACTTCCCACCTTCCACCCCTCATTCAGAGTGCAGACACTGTACTTCCCACCTCCACCCTCTTCAGAGTGCAGACACTGTACTTTCCAACCTCCACCCTCATTCAGAGTGCAGACACTGTACTTCCCACCTCCACCCCTCATTCAGAGTGCAGACACTGTACTTCCCACCTCCACCCCTCATTCAGAGTGCAGACACTGTACTTCCCACCTCCAGTACTCGAGTCTGGCTAACTGGTTTCTTACTTTGTATTTCCTTTATAATCACAGGAGTTGCGTGTTGCACGTCCAAGTGCAAGATTGAGCCGGGGAGCAACTGTTGATGAACCAGATGTAACAGCCTCACCACGGCCCCCTCAAGAACCTCCAGGACCACATGAACCCATCCCTCCAGATGCTCTGCTCAACCCACTAGTCATTCAGTTCTCTATCCTATTGCAGGTACCAAGTGAAAAACTTATATTATGAAAAAATCTAACTGCAACATATTTATCAAAATCTATCACATAGTCTATTATGTCTCCACCTTGGCAGTTGATTGATAGCAGTTGCATTGTCCAGTTTCCTGTAAGTGCTATTTTTCAGACTAACTTAAAAATGCTTTTGAATCTTTTTCAATGCTTGGTAACATTTCCTGTGTCCAGATTAGTACATATTTTATAACTATATTATGGAAAAGCTCATTAATTCAATATTGAGAGTCTTAAAAATACTGATTTGTAGATGGATGGGGGAGGAGTCATAATGATAATTAATATGAAGGAACTACTTATTAAAATCTTAGCCTGGTTCTTTCTTCTCACACAGGGAAACCTGTTACTTATAAATGATGTAGAAATATGAATAATTACACTTATTTCTCCATTAAATCATGTGTTTACTGAATGTAGTGTGTCAGGCAAAATTATTTTGAATATATTCATCACTTTAACCCGTAAACGGTCCAAACGTATATATACGTTTTTTCAACATTTGAAAGTATGTAAAAAAAGTAGATCTTCTTTTTGTTTTTCTACATTTGAAAATGTGTAAAAAAACTTTGATCTACTTTTTTTTTTTTGTTATATTTGAAAATATGTAAAAAAACTTAGATCTACTTTTGTAGCACTACACATGTGAACGTAGATCTGCTTGGACCGCTTATGGGTTAATTACAATCATATGAAATGAGTTTAAATATATTGATTGCTTTGTTACAGAGTTTGAGCATCCAAGCTGCTCTCCTACCTTCACTGCAAGCCCAGTACCGCATGGAGCAGGTGTCTAGCTTAGGAATCACTGGAGCCAAGGCCAAGTTTACTGTACATCTGCCAACACATCACCTCTCCTTCTCCACCAGACTGCAAGACCTGGTGAGTTATGTAAATTTATGCTGCCTTGTCCTGTCCTGTCCTGCACTCTCTTGCCTCCCACTACAGGACCTGCTGAGTTGCTTACCCTTGTTCTGTTCTCTTTTTTTTCTCTTCCCTGCCCAGCATTCCACTGCATGACCTGGCGAGCTGTAACATCCATCCTTGCTGCTCTCATTGATACTGACAAATTCTGCTGAAGTATTCATATGGCCCTAAGGCTGTTGTAACCCTCTACACCAACAGGGAAAACTACAGTATAAAAAGATAACTATGACAGTTTGAAGGAGATTATACAAGAGGACTTATTTATGGCAGTTTCAGGCAGAATACAATAGTGTGGTTTGGATATAAGGAGGAGGCTTCTCTTTATACCACAAGCAATATTATTGTCTACTTCCAACTCATAATTATTGCCAACAGACAAGTAGTTTTGGGCTTTTATTAAAGTTTATAGTTTTCACAGTTCTTATGAATAAATATAATGTCATTATTCTGTACTTCATGTTGGCATAAGTTTTTCTTTTTGCCAGCCAATTGAGACGCACCTTCCCTCATCGGCCAGCATCCAGTTGCCTCAAGTACATGTTGAGGCAGAATTAATTCAAGATGACCCTGGCCGCACTGATCAACATGCAGGTATAGTTGCTCTATATTTGTTTGGTTACAAAGACACTCCTTAGAGTACTTGAGTCCTAGAGGTTTGTAGTACAGTCCCTGCACTCTGAAGGAAGGGTAGGGATATGTTGCAGTTCTTGAACTGTAGTATTGGCACACCTCTGGCAATACAGTGATGTAGTGATGAGTTTTTCTTCTGTTTCGGGTCACTCTGTCTCAGTTGGAAATGGCTGATGTGCTAATAAAAAAAATAATGATAGCTTCTCTTTCAAGCTCTAGCTCATATAAGAATTTTATAGTTTACCTCAATATGGTAGTCATGTTCTTAGAAGGTGTGAGTTTATTGTGGTAATGTAATGTAAAAGCTGTCTGATTACATAATAAAATTACATGTTTCAATTAAATATGTTTCCTTGTATATATTGTATTATAAATTTCTCCATCAAGTGAACTGTAATTAATGAGGAGGGAACAGGAAGAAGATTACTTTATTTGAATTATTAACCCAAAAGATTAGTAACTCAGCAAAGCAGCTGTCTGGCTTATTTCCATTGGAGATTTTGTGATCCTCTTCCCCAAGATGCTACTTAAAGTAGTTGACTAACACTTGGGTACCTACTTACTGCTAGGTGAAGAGAGGCAACAGGTTTAAGGAAACATGTCCTGAGTTTTCATTTGTGCTGGGAAATTAATGATGAAAGGTTATGCTCTCAACATACGTTTGTCATTGAAGTACAGTGGACCCCCGCTTTACGATCAGCTCCCAATGCAACCAATTATGTAAGTGTGTTTGTACGTGTATGTTTGGGGGTCTGAAATGGACTAATCTACTTCACAATATTCCTTATGGGAACAAATTCGTTCAGTACTGGCACCTGAACATACTTCTGGAATGAAATAACATCGTAAACCGGGGGTCCACTGTAGTATATATCTCTTGAAGAGTTAGAGAGCATCACACTTTAAGAAGAGGAATCTTATCAGCTCCTAAAAAACTAAATTATAATTTGTTCATAGCAATTGATGCTAGAAATGGAGTAATGTGAATTCTCATTAGGTGGTTCAATGTAAGTTACAACTTGTTTGCAGCAGCTGATGGTATGGTCCTGCGTGAGGGGAACTACCTGAGTGCCGTGGCAGAGATCGGTGCACTGGAACATAGCTTAACCACTGACCTGCTCAACCACCTTGTCTTTGTCCAGAAAGTCTTCATGAAAGTTTGTATCTCATTTTTAAAAATTGTTAAAATATAATCATCTTGATTATGGTTTTATTAAAACTTAAAGTATTAAAACATACCTCAGATGTCAACATTTTGTATTATCTTCTTATATAGTTTACAAGAATACTGTCTCTCAATTTGAGCACAATAATTTTTATAACCCTAAACAGGAAGTCAATGAAGTTGTGCAGAAAATGGCAGGAGGAGACAAACCTGTACCACTATGGACAGAGGAGGGACCTAGTCATGTCTCTCAGCCTCAGCGACTTCTCTTTACACTTCAGCTTCGACTTAAGGTTTCCTTTTTTTTCTTCTTCTTCTTCTTCTTCGAACAAATTGGCCGTATCCCACCAAAGTAGGGTGGCCCAAAAAGAAAAACAAAAGTTTCCCTTTTTAATTTTAGTAATGTATACAGAAGAAGGGGTTATTATCCCCTTGCTTTTGGCAGACTTAAGGTTTATAAGCCATAAATTAGTCTTAGCTGGTCTTGAAATTTATAAAGTGAAAAGAGTTAGGGAAGATCTACTATTCTTGTGCCTTCTGATCATTATCAAGGAAAACCTCAGTGCCTGGCCACTTTCTTTCCTTTCATATTCTGAATTAAAGGTGCTGAAATATACAACATAGCCATACTAATGATTATACACATATTTTAAGACAGTTGTGGATTTTATTTACTACTAGGGAAATAGAGAGTGTATTTGTCTCATCCAATCAGGGAATTAAACATAGGTCTCTGGTTTGGATCAGGGATTTGTAGTTTTGTAAAAGCAATGATGTAAATTCAGTCAATAAATATTTAACATATGCAGTACAGTCTTGAAGTATAGAGAGGATCTGGAGAGCACTACATATGGCTTCCTTCAGGTATTTCAGAGTAAACCAAATTAAATAAAGATATAGCTCTAGTTGGATAATTAAATTATGAAAGAGAAAATTGTAAATTTGATGCTGATTCTGTTTTCAGGGAATTATCATCACAGCAACAACACCTACGCAGTCAGCTGTGAGGCTGGAAACTGGCATTGTGGAGCTGCAACTTAGCAATCGTGTGGAGAACATTAGCCGGCCAAGCCGTACTTCCTCTGATCCTACTCAGCCCATGAAAATATTTGGCAAAGCACAGGTTAGATGGTTTGAGCTTTGTCAGACGTATTCTTTTTTTTAATTTTAACCCATGATAAAACTTGGCATAGTATAGATGTGTTAAGTGCTTTGTGGAAAATGCATTACATCTTTATTAAAGATTTAAAAGCATCATTTCTGGAAATAAACTCATGGTATTAAATGAAGAGGCATATTTAACCCTTAAACTGTCCACACGTAGATATACATTGACAAGCGGCAGGCTCCGAATGTAGATCTACGTTTTTTTTTACATGCTTTCAAAAATCAAGGTCGGAGCGCTACGCACGTGAACGTAGATCTACGTTTGGACAGTTTAAGGGTTAAACATAATAACCCAAGCAGCAGAGACTTATCTCACAAACATAAAAATGGTTTTAGAAATTTAGACAAAAATTTATTCAAAACAAAATTATATGCTGCACTGATGAACATACAGAAGCTGTGTGAAACCTTAATCTAGTAAAACACAGGTTGAAACTTGAATAAGTCCACAGGAGTGCATCTAGAACAATGCCTGAGTTGAGAGGAATGAACTTTGAGGTATATCACTTCATTTGCACTTCACATTGAGACAAAAGTGGCTCATCAATCAACCTCCATAAAAAATCAATAGGACATGAGTAGTTATGTTTTTATCAGTCTCTAGTAAAACATTATTCCTTTCACACTTTCCCTCAAAACCTCCACTACTTCCTCTAGCATATCTTTTACATTTACTGTGTAGTGCTGTTTGATCTTAATAGGTATGGCACTTCTCACGATTATATTTCTTCCTCTTCTGAACGATGATCCATGAGCATGAATTGTACAGTCTTGACTTCTGAGTTGCTTTGAAGGTTTTAGGTAAAGTTTTACCCTTTTTCAGGTGGATATCAATGTGGCCCTTGGACAGCTCATCAGGAATGACATGTTTGAGGAAGCAGAGCCAGAGTTTCAGCAGTTGGCATTCTTCCGAACAAGAATATGTACGTTGGAAAATAGTATTCTTCTTCTTTCAACAAACTGGCTGTATCCCACTGAGGCAGGGTGGCCCAAAAGAAAAATGAACGTTTCTCATTTTAAATTTAGTAATACACACAGGAGAAGGGGTTACTATCCCCTTGCTCCTGGCATTTTAGTCGCCTCTTATGACACGCATGGCCCACGGAGGAAGAATTCTGTTCCACCATTTATTTTTACATTTAGTAATTTATACAGAAGGGGTTACTAGCCTATTGCTCCTGGCATTTTAGTTGCCTCTTATAATACACTTGACTTACAGAGGAAGATTCTTCTCCACTTCCCCATGGGGTAAAAATAGAATTTTGTAATATGAAATAAAATAAAGAAAAAATGATAGTATTGAAATTCTGTTTCATAGTATGCTTAAGTACTGGATCTAATTACACATCTTATTCAGTGAGTGTCTTTTTCCATGACTAACATTGTGTGCTGTATCTGACATTGCAGGTTTGCGCAATGCTTTATACAATGAGATGTTGAGTGTTGGTGATGATGGGGAGGTGGTGCTTATCACACTAACACGACCACTGGTGTGCGTTCAACCACTCGCAGTAGACCGAGCTGTTCTCGTGTGGCTTAATTACAAAAATGCTTATGAGTATTGGAGTGAACAGCGTGCATCTCTGAACAAGGTTGGTACATAAAATAACACTTTCTGCAATCATTATAGTCCTTGTGGTGAGGGTAAATGTTTCTTTTTGGGAAGGCCATCTTGCTTTTGTTGAAAATAACAGATGTTGGAATTAATTTTTACTTTTTTTTCAGGAGGTACTAACAGCCACACAACAAGTTTTTGAAAAGGTTCCCCAATTTTCTTTCTCCTCACTCATGTCTTCTGCACTGCGTATACATAGCAACTGCTACTCAACTTGCGACAGTAGATTGAATACTGTAACTATGCTAATGCACTCAAGCATTTTTTTTCTGAACAGTTATGATATATCTTAAATAATAGTTACACATAGCAGCATAGAATTTTATTTTTCTAGTAATCATCTGTATCAGTAAACTATCATATGCATTTTACCGACACCTGATGTCAACACATGTAATATCTTTATTCCTGGAATGTTTCACTGATGATCAGTAGGACACATGTATAACTTTTGGCATCTTTATTCCTGGAATGTTTCACCTGATGATCAGTAGGACACATGTATAACATTTGGCATCTTTATTCTGGAATGTTTCATCTGATGATCAGTAGGACACATGTATAACATTTGGCATCTTTATTCCTGGAATGTTTCACCTGATGATCAGTAGGACACATGTATAACATTTGGCATCTTTATTCCTGGAATGTTTCATCTGATGATCAGTAGGACACATGTATAACATTTGGCATCTTTATTCCTGGAATATTTCATCTGATGATCAGTAGGACACATGTATAACATTTGGCATCTTTATTCCTGGAATGTTTCACCTGCACAAAAAGCTTTTTCATTTGATTTGAATACAGGCAAATATAACACAGGTCAGACAATTAGATTCATGTTATTTACTTGGTGACTTTGTATATTATTTAAAATTTTCTTATTTCCAGGTAAGCCATCAGGTAGATTCAACAGAGACACGTGATGCTCTGGTGGTAACATTGGAGAGCACCATCATTTCTGCATGTAACTCTGGCTCACTGGTGTGTAAAGCTCGCTTCAAGGGATTCTGCATGCGCTTTGCTCCCGAGTTTGAGACAAGCTTGGATGACTGGAAACCTGATTTTAAGGATACGACCATCAATTTGTGCACAGTTTCTGAGGGAACATACGAGGTTTGCAGTCGCACTGTTGCTGGACACTCTGAAAAGGGTACAGTTATTGTATATTTTTACAGTTCTACGGTTTACATTATTATAATTTTTACAATATTTACAATACAGCCTCTCCTCACTTAGCGATGTACTCATTTACCAATGCCTCGGACTTACAATGGGCTCTCTGACCAGTATGCATGCCTAAATAATGTATACTAGAGCTTATTTACTCTATTCTGTTTATTACAATATACAGTACACTTCTGTATAAACATTTAAAAATATACCAGTAATGTTATAAATAGTGCAGAGGTGACATTAAAACAATATTAAAGATAGTTGACACAAACCCACTACCATTATAATATGCTCCTCACTTAGCGACGAAATCATTTACCAACGTGGTCTTAGAAACGGAACTCTGTCATTAAGTGAGGAGAAGCTGTATTATTCTTTGTCTGTCAGGTGTTCACCATATACCAGTAAGCACTGATGGCATAGATTCCTTGTTTCTTGATGAATTTGGTTTCCTTATTGAATCCTTTGCTAAGAATAGTAGTTGTCTTCTTGTGTTTGGTGACTTTAACTCCTGGATTGATTGCCTACAACAGAATCCCTGTTTTTGTAACTTCCTGGAACTGATAGACTTGAATAATTTAAAGAATACAGTAATGTGTTTTTTCCCACTCACATTAATGGCCATATGTTGGATTTTGTTCTGTCAGCTATCAGTTCTTAGAGTATTAATTATGTTAAGGTAATTTTAATAGTATCCATCTTGCACCAAGGTAGGGTGACCCAAAAAGAGAAGAAACACTTAAACAGTCATTCATTCAATCACTGTCTTGCCAGAAGTGTGCTGACATCACAGGTGTCAGATAACCTGAATTGCAACATCCCCAACCCCTTCATAGTGCTGGCACTGTACTTCCTATCTCCAGGACTCAGATTTGGCTAACTGGTTTCCCTGAATCCCTTCATAAATGTTGCCTTGCTCACAGACCAACAGCACATCAAACCATAAAAACCATTGCCTCCACTCACTTCTATCTAACATGCTCACACAAGCCTGTTGGATGTTCAAGCCTCTTGTGCTCAAAATCTCCCTTATTGCTTCCCTCCAACCTTTTCTGGGCCGATCCTTTGCCTTCCTTCCCTGTACCTCAGATTTATATACCCTCCTAGTCATTTTATTTTGCTCTTCCTCTTTATATGTCCAAGCTACCTCAGCAGACCCTCCTCTGCCCTTCAAATAATATTTTTGGTAACTCCACACTTCGTAATCTCCATGCTGTAAATTCTTCATAATATTCACATCACACATTGTCCTCAAGTATGACATCTTCATCTTATCTGCATTGCTAAAAAAACTCATGCTTTATACCCATATACCAGCATTGGTACCACTATACTCGGGTATGTTCCCCTTTTATTTTTTTCATGGATAATGTTCTTTATCTCCACTGATGCTTCAATGAACCACCCACCTTATTTTCCCTTGTCAGGTCTAGTGTTCACCTCATCTTTCATAGACCCATCTGCTGATAAGTCCCCTCCCACATATCTAAACATATTCAATTCCTCCATACTCCCTCTTTTCAATCTGATATCCAATCTTTAATTGCCTAATTTTTTTGTTACTCTCGTTACCCTTTTCTTTCCTGTGTTCACTTTTAATTTCCTTTTACGTCCCTTCCCAAATTCATCTATCGACCTTGGCATCTTCTCTTAAGAATCTCCCAAAAACAAAACAGCTGTGACAACTCCCATTATATTTATGTTTCAGACTTGTTATCTTTTAATCCCACACCTTTCCCCAACACCCTGGTATTCACTTCTACAACCCCATCTATTAATATGTTAAACAACCTTGGTGACATCACACATCCCTGTCTAATACCTACTTTCACTGAAAAATAACACTATGAAATTCTTGCATGTTTGTAGCAAGCTTAAAATAATAAACCTGAACCAGTATCTCATATTAGAGAATACCAGACTGGAAAATTTAGTGCTACAGGCAGGCTTATGTTTTGGCACCATTACAGACTGCTACTGATATTCTTTAAAATATTGATTCAACATTTCTATAATGGAGGAACAATATATAAAACTAATGTTTTACCTAGCCTAATAAAGCTAAATTGTATTCCCAGCTGGCCTGCCCCTTAATCCATCCCTTATGGTAGAATCGTATTTCCACATTAATGTCAGCCATTCCTTTGCCAGTAAGTTTTGTTGCATAATGGCTGATGCAATACCACATCACCCTGCATGACCTTTAAGAGTGTGCTGTGATGCTGGTGACAGATTCTTCCAGGGCTCTTGTCCAAAAATTCGTAAATTATTTGCAGTTTCAATTAAAAGTGTGAAAATTTACGAATTTTAACAAAAAAAATGAAGTTTGTTAGAAAATGCCTCCTTCACATTCCCCAGTCTATGATCTCTATGAGTTTAGTGCTTCCCCATAAATATAATATTGTAACAATAATTTGGCCAAGGCTAGTAACCCCTTCTGTTTAAATTGCTAAACGTTAAAAGAAGAAAAACATTAATTTCTTCTTTTTTTGGATCACCCTGAGTCAATGGGAGACAGCTGGTGTGATTAAAAAAATTCACCCATTAGAAAGTGATTTCATCATTTCCCTGTACGTATCTTGGTTTCATGGACCTAAATGGTCCAAACATATATATACATTCTCTCCCCCAGGGCCCCAGATATTTTGAAAAATAAAAAAAAATAATTTTTTTCATTGAAATAGAGAAAATTTTTCTAAGTGTTATAGGATTAAAATAAAAAAATTAGGGTAAGTACATACTTAATGCTCACCTGACAGCAACATCGAGTCCTGCTGCTTGAGGAAGTGATGCCAGTATACCATTTTTTCTCATTTCTATACAGTATTATTTTATATAATTTGTATGTTCTGATAATTACAATTTGTTGTAGTTCTTGGCATTTCATAACCAATTTTTGTTCTGACACTAATATTAGGTACTGAAATTGTACTCAAATTGTCACAAACACATTGACAGGTGGACATTTACACCTGTCTTGGTCATTTACTATCGCATAATTGTATTTGTGTGTTCCTGTGAGACAGATGAAAAGAGGTAGAGCCAGATAGACAGAGACAGATAGACAGAGACAGTTAGATAAAGACAGACAGAGATAGACAGACAGAGATAGACGGACCCTAAACTTGGGGTTAATATCACTTTCCTCTTAAAAGGGGAGTGTTAATATGACATTACATCAGTGAATCCTTGGTGTTTGCCGCACTGTTTGCTCGAGCTGGCGCTCAATTTAACTGGCTCTCCCACAAGGTACTAAGTGGTCCCAGAATTTTTAAGACCCATTCTATGCTAACCATGCATCTCAGGTCAATCGTGCCAAATTTGGAGGCAGGAAAATTAAAACGTATACAGTATATACGTTTGGGGCACTAGCGGTAAGAACGTATATATACGTTTGGATCGTTTAGGGGTCTTTATTTTGGCATAATTAGTGTAATAATAACTACTCCAACAGCAGAAAATGCTAAATGGCTGCTGAATGTCCAGTGGCAAATGGAAGGAGTTGACCTACACTTGGATGTAAACATTGGCAAGCATTTGAGCGCACTGGCTCGTACACTAACCATGCTCACCGGTGCTCCTGACACTGCTGGGCCTCAAGCCAATTATGATTCAGATGATGACGTTGACCACATTGATCCTGCTACATCCCAGGTAATATAGTTGTCACAGTGTACATACTATGGCAGCATTGTTATTCTCAGTACATAAATATTTTTTTTGTAATTGGCATTTTTTCCTATATCATTTGTTGATCCATAGGTATTATCAAAGCATACCTCATATTCCATGGCACTTCCCTCTTCTATGACTTTCTTTACTTTATGTGCCAGATATTTTATTACGAGTTGATATCTGTTTAAATCTTATGTTTAATATAGCATCATCAATTAAGTACAGAAATTTATGCTTAGATAATATACACATGATTGATTCTCTTATCCTCTTACATACTCAAGCTCTTGTGAGGACATTACTTTTGTTTGCCTGACACCAATTTTATGGAGAAAGTCTGATGACTAAATTCATTCAGCTCTTCATTGTGTAAGCTTATTGGTTTGATTACATCTGAAAAATTGTATCACTATAGGTGACCTATACAGTGACAATTCCTTGAATGTAATCAAACCAATAAACTTACATGAACAAATTAGACAAGTACTTTAAAGAAACCATACCCCGGCCGGGATTGAACCCGCGGTCAGAGAGTCTCAAAACTCCAGACCGTCACGTTAGCCACTGGACCAGCTAGCCACAATAAGATTCGTCCAACTAGGTATATTTCTATACCATAGGAAGGTTAGCACATAGCTAACGCGACGGTCTGGAGTTTTGAGACTCTCTGACCGTGGGTTCAATCCCGGCCGGGGTATGGATTATTTGCAATCGTGTCATTACGATTTCGTGAGTCATGTTACTTTAAAGATATTGCATTCATCAAGGTACAATGCTTGGGTTGGCTGTAACCTGACGAACCCTGGTTCGCTGTCTACCCAGGAAGATCATAGTGTCTTCTGCAATCTGCTGTTCATGTGCTTCCATGTAATATTCATAAGAAATAATAAAATGTTACAATACTGTGCCTGGCAAAATTCACAACTAACCCACAATTTTCAGAAGAAATTTTAGACAACACATCAGTTTAACCTGTACTATTATCAAGCTACAACTGCTAGTACTTTTTATATAAGTTTTTCACAAACCTGTGTTTCTTTTCAGCAAGAATCATCTGCTCTGCGGAGACAATTTACGTTCAATGAGAGCCTCCCAGCCTTCATATTTGACCCCAGTTTGGATGCTAGACAGAGAGCCAAGCTCCTGGAAATTGAAATGAATGAACAAGCCAAAACAGTAAATGATCTTAAAATGCTGGGAGCCTCTGCATCTACCATAGAACAAGAAATGCGGCGACTACAGGAGCTGGAAGCAGTAGTATTCCACGATTTCCGGCGGGACGTGATAAAGAAACTCCGTCGTCAGAGTGTGAAGGCAACATCCATGAAGGACAGGCTGGGCCTGGGACCCAAACCTCATTTGAGGTCCAAGAGCTTCAGAGTTCCCTCACCCACTATTGAAGTAAAAGAACCGGCAGTGTAAGTGCTGCTTGTTTGTCAAATTTATACAAGTGAAAGAGGCGGATTTGTCAGATATATGTGTGTGTGTCTGTAGTGTAAAGCACCCTTCTGGCAAGACAGTGATGGAGTGAATGATGGTGAAAGTTTTTCTTTTTCGGGCCACCCTGCCTTGGTGGGAATCGGCCAGTGTGTTAATAAAAAAAAATAAATGTGTGTGTGTGTGTAGGAGACAGGTTTGTGAAGGATGTGAACAAAATTGTAATGGATAAATGATGAAAATTAGATATCCCACAACCATGAAGAGTTTTATATGTTGCTAATCATTATTGTAGAGTCAGTCATCGTCACAAGATTAGGCCCAGATCCAGATAACTGAAATTTTAGAAATATTAAGGACATTTTTCAGCAAGTGTGCATAAGCATGTTAGGTACAAGTGAATGGAGACAAATGGTTTTTTGGACCTGACGAGTTGTTGGAGTATGAGCAGGATAATATTTTGTGAAGGGACTCAGGGAAACTGGTTAGCTGGACTTGAATCCTGGAAATGGGAAGTGCAATGCCTGCACTTGAAAGGAGGGGTTTGGGATATTGGCAGTTTGGAGGGACATCTAAGCTCTCGTATCTGAGTGCCTCTGCAAAGACAGTGATTATGTATGAGTGATGGTGAAAGTGTTGAATGATAAATGTTTTTTTCCTTCTTTTGGGGTTTTTGTTTCTTTTTGGGTCACCCTAACTCGGTGGGAAATGGCGGAAGTGTTAAAAAATAAAAAATCCATTTTAATGAATATGGTTTACTTCTCCAAGTTATTTGGCTAAACTGAATGAATCTTAGTTATAATAGTCAATGAACTAACTAATGTTTTTTTTTTTTTTTTTTTTTTTTTTTTTTTTTTTTTTTTTTTTTTTTTTTTAAGTTTTGGACATGTAGAATTTTGTCTCAGTTTTAAAACTAAATTCAACAAATTTATCTTTCCAAGGCAAATATCATCCTGTATCCTTGGAAATAGATTAAATACTTACATCTATTATCCTTTTGTTTCAGGAGCTGTGGAAGTCGGGGCAGTATTGACCAGGCATCCATAAGTGTAGACAGCTCTCCATGCCACACTGCCAATGATGCCACAGCTCAGAAGGTCAAGTTTGTGGATGGATCATCTCAAGGGTGAGTTCCTTTCTAGTATCTATTATGTGATGATCACCTTTCTCGCATGTTACACTCAAACCAGAACTTCTTATCCTGAGTCTGGCTTGGGAAAATATTTTTCATGGTGATACTCTATAATATGGAAGGATGTTCATAATGTATTAGATTTTTATGCAATGAGTAAAGATCAGTAAGATATTTTTAAATGATTATGAGCAAATGTTGAAAGATTCAGGGAAAACTGGTTAGCAGGACTTGAGTTGTGGAGGTGAGAAGCACAGTGCCTGTATTCTGAAGGATAGCTGGGGATGCTACTCTTCAGAAGGTCATTTAAATTGTGATGTATGGGCACTTTTTGAAAAACAGCTGAAGAATGTGTAATGGTGAATGTGTTTTCTACTTCAAGTCACTATTCTTCAGTTCAAAATGTATAGCTGATGTAATAACTAAAAAATGTTGAATACCAGAGTAGTGTACAAGATAAGACACCTTAAGTTATTAAATAGCTACTGAGAATTGTGGCTACAAGAATAATTTACTGTCCAATTATTGCAAAGAATATTTTTCCTACTTTATGCATTCTTTTGGCCACCTTTACATTTTGACAGTAAGTTATTGCACCTAATACTGCATTATATAACTCCACCTAGCAGCAGTATGTGTTAAGCCAGTATTCTCCACCAAAACATTAGTCTTTGCTTGTCCTTGCAGCCGGCACCTGTCCTTCACCAGCGGGTCATCAGACTCCTACCCAACAGATGACATTGACAATGGCGATGTGTTCTTGTCCTCACCAGGACATGCACGAACTATTACTCCTACTAATGTGTCTGACACAGAGACAGATACTATTACCATCACTAACTTCAGGTATAGCTATAAATATTAAATCTGCATAGTATATTAGTATTTCAAAGTATATCTACTTTGCCTGTATCATATTACATGTGTTAATGAGACTAGAAATATTCATTGATATGCTCATTTGAATACTGTTTTAAACTTTTATTTCTGCTTCACTTGTAATGTGTTGACTCGGTTCAGTTGTTATTTATTGCAACCAAATTTGTTTAAATCTAAATCTGGCATTCTTCAAATTAATAATTTAAGATCTTTCAGATTAAGTATGTAAGCAAAGATTCTCCTCTTGCAGCAGTGACAACATAAGAAGTGCAGTGAACAAGAGTGTCAGAGGATTGACAGGCTTGGTGAATGTCCTAGACAGTGACAAAACTCATAGTTATGTTGATGGCAGTTACTTCAAAGATGATGGCACACAGGGTGGTGGCAGTGGCAGTACCCCTGGCACAGCAACAGCACCACTCTCTGGCCACTCTAGCACTCATAGCTCAGGTAAAGCCAGTGCTAGTGACACATTGCCTCAGTTTGGGTGACCTGCTATCTGACACATAAGTTTTTATATCTTTTAAGTCTTATATAAGTTATAAATATTATTGTGCAGACTTCAGTCCTGGAGGTGGGAAGTACAGTGCCTGCTCTCTGAAGGAAGGGTGGGGATATTTGCAGTTTTGAACTGTAGTATCAGTTTCCCTCTGGCAAGACAGTGATGAAGTGAGTGATGGTGAAAGTGTTTCTTCTTGTTTAGGTCACCATGGCTTGGTAGGAGACAGCCAGTTTGTGGAAAAAAAAAATTGTGGTACCCTTCTGTACCATTTCCCATGATGACATTTTTTCTCATTGCTGTTTGCATCCCTTGAACCCTTAAACTGTCTAAATGTAGATCTACGTTCACATGCATAGCGCTTTGACCTTGATTTTCCCCATTTGAAAGCATGTAAAAAAAGTAGATCTACATTCGGAGCCCCCCGCACGTGGACGTAGATCTACGTTTGGACAGTTTAAGGGTTAAAACAGGAAATCTCTCATCCACTGAATGTCGATTTGTTTAAACCCAAAATGGGTAAAGTAAATTTTCTTTAAATACATATAGTGTGTGTAAGTGAGCTCAGCATTTTATCAGCATCACAGGAATGCAATTTTCAATTGTCCGACTGTAAACCTTGATATCTTTTAGGTCCCATCACTCCAGGTGGTGGACATGGCTCAAGTAGCTCAGGCACAGTCAAGCCCCTTGACCCTAGCATTGACTTGGAGCTGGATGTGAGAGTGTGTATCAGCTCTGGCATGTGTAACCTATATACCAAGTGTGTGTCTAGGGAAGAGGAGAAGAGGTCAGTTTCCACTTTCACAGAATTTTTTTTTTTTTTTTTCAAAATGGGAACACTAAGTGCAGTGCTTGTCAGTCAAACAGGCCTATAATTCATGGGGTCTTTTCTGTCACTTTTTAATATCAGCACAATTTATGCCATTTTCTAATTTTTTTTACCAGTTTACCTTGAAATGAAATTAGAAAATTCAGAGTGGACAGCTTTTTTCTTCTTCACATTTGTTTAAAAACTAATGTTGCTTTCTTTTGTCTATTGAATAGTAGCGTCTTTTCATATCAGTATGAGTTCATTAGTGTTTTAATTAATGTGTCCTTTTGTGTAACTTAACTTCCATGTAAGTGTATAAGGGTGATAGTGTTTCATCACTTTCAAAACTTATTATAGTACTTTATGCGTTATACATTGCTTAAATTACTGCTCGAATAATTTCACTATGCTCTTTTCTTAGTAAACATCACGTTAATATAAATGTTGGTATCCTGTACAGCAGGATGAAAAAGGAACGAAGTTTTTCTGGGGGTATATCAGAAACCCCCAGTAGTCCAGGCTCGCTTCGTAAAAAAAATGAAGCGCGCACCAATATATCAACTGGTAAACTACGAGCACCACCACCACCTTCACTGTCTGTGTCAGCTGATACTGTGTTCTATATCCCTGGTCTTGATGTAAAGGTAATGTATAATACTTATGTTTTACTGTCTTAGACCAAAACATTCACAGTGTAATGATAATGCTGACCCATCCATATTCACTCTGGGATAGCACATTTAATTTTTTTTTGGGTAACTTATAATATGAGACTTGTAATGAATCATGGATAAAGTTTGTTAAAGGGAACTAATGGACTATGAAATGGATTGATTGCAGTGTTGTTATGATTTATGTAATACGTTATTAAGTGTGGAAAAAGACACTTATGTACAGTTCAGGACATTTATTAAAGGAAACGTTTCGCCACGAGTGGCTTCTTCATTAGGACTGAAGAAGCCACTCGTGGCGAAACGTTTCCTTTAATAAATGTCCTGAACTGTACATAAGTGTCTTTTTCCACATCTTGTCGGTATCACCATACCATTTCCTTATGTCATTAAGTCATGATATCCATAAGCTGGTAATAACTGATAGTAAAGTTCCATAGAAAATTTTTAATGTAACAGCAAATTCATGTTGTAAATGCTGAATATCTAAACAGTTTGAGAGTTTTTAAATTACATAAATAAATAAACTAAGACAGACAAGAATATCTCTATTCTCAGAACAAATCTCTTAAATTTAATAAAAGATATTTAAAAAACTGAAAATTTATAGAATTTAAAATCTCTCCAGATTTTTCAATCTCACTTATTTACTCCAGCTACTGATGTTTAGGTTATTGCTTTTGTAGTGACTAGTGCACTACTGGTAGATTGTGTTGGTTATGTTTTGTGATTGCTGGGATTCCTTGCTCTACACACGTTCATTTTTCTGGAAGAGATGGCCTTACTTTCTCTCCCAGGTGTTTTAAGTACAGTATTGAATACATTCACTAGTTAAACTTCAGTACAGTAAAAAAAGCATTGAAACTTTTTCTTTTTTACTATACCGGCCATTGCCTACCAAAGTAGGGTAACCCCAAAAAAAGAAAACATTACACAAATAACCCGCACATAAAAGAGAGAAGCTTACGACGACGTTTCGGTCCGACTTGGACCATTTACAAGTGTGACTTTGTAAATGGTCCAAGTCGGACCGAAACGTTGTCGTAAGCTTCTCTCTTTTATGTGCGGGTTATTTGTGTATCGTTCCAGTCACGGTATTGTGCCTTTTTTTTGTTATTTAAGAAAACATTCACTATCAGTCATTCAGTAGATGTCCTGGCAGTAATGCTCAGACATCGCAATTCAAATGAATCTCCACCTTTGCTTGCTCTCTGCAAATTCTTAGATACCTTCCCTTCTTTTATACAGATACTGACCAAATACAAACTATATCCCCATTTGCTTTAAGCATCTCAGTCTTAGTCTTTTTATCACAGCTGGTTTATCCCTTTTCATTCTGCCCGTTTCCTCATGTACTTGCACCCCACATTCACCTGTCTCTTTCTTATTCACCAAATATTTTCCCTCTCTTACAGTCTCCTTTTCATCATCAGTATTTAACAATTTAAAATATTCTCTCCATCTTTCCAGCACCCCCATATTCCTCTTGATATTCTTTCTAATATCTCTCGTCTTTTGCTTCTGACTGCTGAGTCCATTTGCTTCCCAGCTTTCTCACTTTATTAATCTCCAAAATTGTTTCTTATTCTAAGCAAAATTTACTGATAAAGACTCACCCATTTTCTCCTTTCTTCTACTTTTTTGTTCATTTAACCTCTTTCTCTCTTCATACACTCAGTCTTCTGTATATCATTCAAATCATAGCAGAGAAAATTTATTATTGGTCAGGTTTAATCTTTCTTTCCTAGATTTTTTTTTTTATTATCACACCGGCCGATTCCCACCAAGGCAGGGTGGCCCGAAAAAGAAAAACTTTCACCATCATTCACTCCATCACTGTCTTGCCAGAAGTGTGCTTTACACTACAGTTTTTAAACTGCAACATTAACACCCCTCCTTCAGAGTGCAGGCACTGTACTTCCCATCTCCAGGACTCAAGTCCGGCCTGCCGGTTTCCCTGAATCCCTTCATAAATGTTACTTTGCTCACACTCCCAACAGCACGTCAAGTATTAAAAACCATTTGCCCTCCATTCACTCCTATCAAACACGCTCCACGCATGCCTGCTGGAAGTCCAAGCCCCTCGCACACAAAACCTCCTTTACCCCCTCCCTCCAACCCTTCCTAGGCCGACCCCTACCCCGCCTTCCTTCCACTACAGACTGATACACTCTTGAAGTCATTCTGTTTCGCTCCATTCTCTCTACATGTCCCGAACCACCTCAACAACCCTTCCTCAGCCCTCTGGACAACAGTTTTGGTAATCCCGCACCTCCTCCTAACTTCCAAACTACGAATTCTCTGCATTATATTCACACCAACATTGCCCTCAGACATGACATCTCCACTGCCTCCAGCCTTCTCCTCGCTGCAACATTCATCACCCACGCTTCCACCCATATAAGAGCGTTGGTAAAACTATACTCTCATACATTCCCCTCTTTGCCTCCAAGGACAAAGTTCTTTGTCTCCACAGACTCCTAAGTGCACCACTCACTCTTTTTCCCTCATCAATTCTATGATTCACCTCATCTTTCATAGACCCATCCGCTGACACGTCCACTCCCAAATATCTGAATACGTTCACCTCCTCCATACTCTCTCCCTCCAATCTGATATTCAATCTTTCATCACCTAATCTTTTTGTTATCCTCATAACCTTACTCTTTCCTGTATTCACCTTTAATTTTCTTCTTTTGCACACCCTACCAAATTCATCCACCAATCTCTGCAACTTCTCTTCAGAATCTCCCAAGAGCACAGTGTCATCAGCAAAGAGCAGCTTGTGACAACTCCCACTTTGTGTGTGATTCTTTATCTTTTAACTCCACGGCCTCTTGCCAAGACCCTCGCATTTACTTCTTTTTACAACCCCATCTATAAATATATTAAACAACCACGGTGACATCACACATCCTTGTCTAAGGCCTACTTTTACTGGGAAAAAATTTCCCTCTTTCCTACATACTCTAACTTGAGCCTCACTATCCTCGTAAAAACTCTTCACTGCTTTCAGTAACCTACCTCCTACACCATACACTTGCAACATCTGCCACATTGCCCCCCTATCCACCCTGTCATACGCCTTTTCCAAATCCATAAATGCCACAAAGACCTCTTTAGCCTTATCTAAATACTGTTCACTTATATGTTTCACTGTAAACACCTGGTCCACACACCCCCTACCTTTCCTAAAGCCTCCTTGTTCATCTGCTATCCTATTCTCCGTCTTACTCTTAATTCTTTCAATTATATAACTCTACCATACACTTTACCAGGTACACTCAACAGACTTATCCCCCTATAATTTTTGCACTCTCTTTTATCCCCTTTGCCTTTATACAAAGGAACTATGCATGCTCTCTGCCAATCCCTAGGTACCTTACCCTCTTCCATACATTTTTTAAATAATTGCACCAACCACTCCAAAACTATATCCCCACCTGCTTTTAACATTTCTATCTTTATCCCATCAATCCCGGCTGCCTTACCCCCTTTCATTTTACCTACTGCCTCACGAACTTCCCCACACTCACAACTGGCTCTTCCTCACTCCTACAAGATGTTATTCCTCCTTGCCCATACACGAAATCACAGCTTCCCTATCTTCATCAACATTTAACAATTCCTCAAAATATTTCCTTCCATCTTCCCAATACCACTAACTCTCCATTTAATATACTCTCCTCTCCTATTTTTAACTGACAAATCCATTGTTCTCTAGGCTTTCTTAACTTGTTAATCTCACTCCAAAACTTTTTCTTATTTTCAACAAAATTTGTTGATAACATCTCACTCACTCTCTCATTTGCTCTCTTTTTACATTGCTTCACCACTCTCTTAACTTCTCTCTTTTTCTCCCTATACTCTTCCCTCCTTGCATCACTTCTACTTTGTAAAAACTTCTCATATGCTAACTTTTTCTCCCTTACTACTCTCTTTACATCATCATTCCACCAATCGCTCCTCTTCCCTCCTGCACCCACTTTCCTGTAACCACAACTTCTGCTGAACACTCTAACACTACATTTTTAAACCTACCCCATACCTCTTCGACCCCATTGCCTATGCTCTCATTAGCCCATCTATCCTCAATAGCTGTTTATATCTTACCCTAACTGCCTCCTCTTTTAGTTTATAAACCTTCACCTCTCTCTTCCCTGATGCTTCTATTCTCCTTGTATCCCATCTACCTTTTACTCTCAGTGTAGCTACAACTAGAAAGTGATCTGATATATCTGTGGCCCCTCTATAAACATGTACATCCTGAAGTCTACTCAACAGTCTTTTATCTACCAATACATAATCCAACAACTACTGTCATTTCGCCCTACATCATATCGTGTATACTTATTTATCCTCTTTTTCTTAAAATATGTATTACCTATAACTAAACCCCTTTCTATACAAAGTTCAATCAAAGGGCTCCCATTATCATTTACACCTGGCACCCCAAACTTACCTACCACACCCTCTCTAAAAGTTTCTCCTACTTTAGCATTCAAGTCCCCTACCACAATTACTCTCTCACTTGGTTCAAAGGCTCCTATACATTCACTTAACATCTCCCAAATCTCTCTCTCTCCTCTGCATTCCTCTCTTCTCCAGGTGCATACACGCTTATTATGACCCACTTCTCGCATCCAACCTTTACTTTAATCCACATAATTCTTGAATTTACACATTTCATATTCTCTTTTCTCCTTCCATAACTGATCATTTAACATTACTGCTACCCCTTCCTTTGCTCTAACTCTCTCAGATACTCCAGATTTAATCCCATTTATTTCCCCCCACTGAAACTCTCCTACCCCCTTCAGCTTTGTTTCGCTTAGGGCCAGGACATCCAACTTCTTTTCATTCATAACATCAGCAATCATCTGTTTCTTGTCATCCGCACTACATCCACGCACATTTAAGCAACCCAGTTTTATAAAGTTTTTCTTCTTCTCTTTTTTAGTAATTGTATACAGGAGAAGGGTTACTAGCCCATTGCTCCCGGCATTTTAGTCGCCTCATACGACACGCATGGCTTACGGAGGAAAGATTCTTTTCCACTTCCCCATGGACAATAGAAGAAATAAAAAAGAACAAGAGCTATTTAGAAAAAGGAGAAAAACCTAGATGTATGTATATATATATATGCATGTGCGTGTCTGTGAAGTGTGACCAAAGTGTAAGTAGGAGTAGCAAGATATCCCTGTTATCTTAGCGTGTTTATGAGACAGAAAAAGAAACCAGCAATCCTACCATCATGCAAAACAGTTACAGGTTTTTGTTTCACAGTCATCTGGCAGGACGGTAGTACTTCCCTGGGTGGTTGCTGTCTACCAACCTACTACCTACCTTTCCTAGATAAATGAGCTAAAATCTCACAGGTAAGTACAATAAGTTGCCTTATCCATAGTAATAATGAATACAAATCTATGTGATTATTTATTTTCAGGTCCACTATGAGTCACACAATATTCACGAAGAAACTCCAGTTGGGAGTGGTGGTGGTGGGTTTGGCAGCAGCAATGCAGGTGTGCAGCAGGAGGGATCCGGCTGGTCACCTGCCGGCACAACAGGAGGCAGCGGTAGTCTAGGTGGCAGCAGTTCTCGCAAGAGTGGCATCGGCAGTGGAGGTATCAAGCGTGCCTCGCTCTTCACTTGGCTAACCTTACAGAGCATTCAGAAAGAGACCACAGTGAGCCCTAACTTTTTTGGAGTTCCGGGAGTTAGCTCTGGAACCTCTGCCTGTACCTGAGCCCCAAAACAAGTCTCCTGCTGCCTCTCAAGGTCTGATACTTTCCCTGTCTTTGTGTTAGCTTTTGTTAAGTTATACTAAGGGTACCTAAAACTGTCATTTTGTTTTAAGTTTAATGTTTTTACTTAAACCCCAACCTGTTTTGCTTTTTTTTTTCCCCTTTTTTTATTGAAACAATCCTTCTTTTCTTATTTCTTTTTTTGGTAGGTCGAGAAAAAATATCAGGGGATGAAAAAAATTCATAAGTGCCAAATTCATACCTGTTTTATTCCCCAAAAGAATGTTTCGGGAGGTTTTTGGGAAAAGGTGAAAATTTTCAAAAAAAAAAAAAAATTTTACCCCCAAATCGGGGTTTAAAAATTTTAATTTTTTATTTATTTATTTTTTTCCCTTTTGCAAACGTCCCTTTTAGATTTTATTTTTAAACAATAGGGGGTTGCAATGCAAGAGGCCCTGGGATGCTTTAAAAAAAAAATAAAAATTAAAAATAATAAGGGAAAGATGTTCCCTTTTCCCTGGTGCTGATGAGATAAAAAAATTAGGAAACTTTTTGAAGAAAGTTTTGTAGAAAAGCAAATGTTGCCGGGGGTCTGCCAAACAATGCCCAGGAAAATCCTTCTTTATTTCCTCTTAAAAGAAAAAAGGGACTACAGATTGAATAAATGTGGGGAAAGCAAATGCTTTATGCAAGTCCAAATTCAAAGACTGGGCACTGCATTGTTTAATATTACTGAAAGGTTACACAAATACTTAATAAACCCCAGGGTAAGGCATCATGTCTTGACAATTTCCCCCTTGTTGATTCTTTAGAAGGGAAACCGGAAAAAAATTTTTTTTGGGCAAGAGGGAAAGGGAAAAATAAAACTTATATTAATGTTTGTTTTAAAAACAAAAACTAGTGTGAAGATTAAAAAACAAAAAAATTTTAAAAATAAAATAAAATGAAGATAAAGAAAATTTTTATTAAAAAGTGGTTTGAACAATGGACCAAAGGTGTAAAATAGTGGGAGTAAGTTTAATCTTTCCCTTTTAACACCCCGCCATATCCCACCCCGGGGGGGTGGCCCAAAAGGAAAACGAAAAATTTCTCCTTTTTTTTTCTTTTTTTTTCAACACACCCGGCCCTATCCCCCCGAGGGGGGGTGCCCAAAAGGAAAAACAAAAATTTTTTCCTTTTACATTTAGTAATAAAATACAGGAGAAGGGGGTTTCTAGCCCCTTGCTCCCGGCATTTTAAAACGCCTTTACAACACGCATGGCTTCGGGGAAAAAATTTTTCCATTCCCCATGGAAAGGGAAGAGGGGAAAAAAACAAAGAAGAAAAAGCTAGAAAGGGAAAAAAAAAAGAAAACCCAGGGGGGGTGTGTATATATATGTTTTTTACATGTATTGGGCCCCGCCAAGTGAGTGGAAAACGAAAACCTTTAATTGTTTTTTCATGATGGTAGGAAATTTCTGGGGGTCCCTTTTTCTGTCCATAAACATGGAAGGGGTTTCCCGGTAAAATCTTGCTTTTACTTCTACTTACACTTAGGGCCACCTTACACATAAAATGACAAGCATATATATACACAACCCCCTTTTTAGTTTTTTTCTATTTTCTTTCTAGTTCTTGTTCTTGTTTTTTTCCCTCTTACCCCCATGGGGAAGTGGAACAGAATTTCTTCCCGTATGCTTGCTGTTGTCAGAGGGACTAAAATCCAGGAGAAAGGGGCTGAACCCCTTCCCCTGTATATTTACTAAATGTAAAAGAGAAACTTTTGTTTTTTTTTGGGGGGCCACCTGCCGGGTGGGATAGGGCCCGGTTTGTTAAAAAAAAAAAAAAAAGGGGTTTTTAGTGGGGACCTAAGTGTATAAAAGTAGCAAGATGTACCTAAATCTTGCTTTTATGAGACAAAAAAAAAAAAAAGACACCACAATCCTACCATATGTAAAAAAATTTACAGGTTCCGTTTTACACTCACTTGGCGGTGGTAGTCCTCCCTGGGGGGGTTGCTGTCTACCACCTACTATAGGTAGAAAGTTTAAGTCACTGGAAATTTCAACAAAAATTTTATATAGGGTTAAACCCTGAAGAAGGAGACCTAATTGGGCGGTTCCTTTAGCTTTAATAATACTGTAATTAGCAAAAAGAACATAAGAACATAAGAAAGGAGGAACACTGGAGGCCTGTTGGGCCCTATAGGAGGTCCTTTTCAATTCATCCCACTAAAAAACATTTGACCTACCCAATTTTTTAATCACCCCAAAAAATAAGCTTTATGGCAAATCCCCCCAAATCAAACCCCTCCCTTGTATTTATCCAACCTAATTTGAAAATACCCCAAAATCCTGCCCCAAAAAACCCAACTAGGTAGACTGTTCCACTATCTACTACCCTATTTCCCCAAACCCGTACTTTCCTATGTCCTTTCTAAATCTAAAATTATCTAATTTAAATCCATTAGGGGTTCTCTCTTGGGGAGATATTCTCAAGCCCTTTTTTAAAATTCCCCCATTAATACCCATCTTCCACTTATCACTTTGTCGGTTCCCCCCCCCCATTCTTTCAACAAGTGAAAAGTAACTTAAGAGTCTTTAAAACTTTCTTCATAAGGAAGATTTCTAATGTATGTATTAATTTAGTCATCCCACGGTAATGTTTTCTAACGAAATTTTTGTCCATTTTGTAATATGGAGACCAGAATTTACTGCATAACTAGGTGAGGCCTTTTCTAATGTGTTAAAGCTGCATATTCTCTGGACTTCTGTTCTTTCATTCTTGTATAAACCCAGTAATCTATTTGCCCTTTTACGTGCTTGGCTTGCTGTCTTGGGTTTTAAGGTTGCTTTCCCTAACCCCCCAAAGCCCTTTTCGCAATCTGTATGGTTAAGTTCTACATTATTAACTTATAAGTGCTGGGTTCGGACACCCCGAGCTTCAGAACCTTTGCATTTTTCTATTTTGAACTGCACGCCACTTTTTGCCCCAAAAGAGTGATTTGTCTAAATCCTCCTAAGTTCCCTAACACTACTTTGAATCAATTTCCACCTTCTTCGTGTCATGGGGAAATTTGTCATATCATAGAAATTTCCCTTTTATAAAGATATTGATAAAATTTTATAAACAAAAAGGGGGCCCCAAGACTGATCCCTGGCGCCATTGTTACGAACCCACTCGGATTTAACCCCATTTATGGACACTTTTTTTGTTTCCTGTCTGTGACCCATGATTCGATCCGAGAGCCCCCTTCCCCCAATCCCTGAGCTGCTACTTTCTTCAACGTCTTTTTGCGGAACTCTTCAAATCCCCTTACAAAAAACTAAGTAATAATATAAAATTTTTTCGGGGTCAACAGCCTAAAAAGCTTTATGAAGAAAGTTAATAAATTTGTTGAAAGCCCGGCCCTTGTGAATCCATTGAGAAATCATTAATCAAGCTATGCTTATCGAGAGGGCTTCTTATTAGGTGCACTGTTAAAAATTCTGTGTATAAAGGGGGTTTTTTTTTATGACATTTTCTTTGTTTTTGTAAATGGTTGTTCTTTTTAAAACGAAAGAGAGTCGTTTCAACTTGGGTGATACTTCATAGTTGCTGGTGGCAGGGGGTTGTGCCTTTTTTTTCGCTCTTTTCCCGTGGCGTTTTTTTTTACTTCCATATGCACCTTCAACCAAAAGGTGAGAAATCTTGAAATAAAAAAATGCAACTATGTTTAACAAATATAGCACTAAGGGGGGTATTTGAAGATTTTCCTTTAGGCAATTGAGGCCGATTGGACAACCTTTTCAGGGGCTGTCCGTAAACCTAGTTTTTGTTGCCAGGCCCCTTACATAGTTTAACACCCAAATTTAAGGGTTTTTAGATTTGGCGGAGGGGCCCTCGTAGGTGTACAAAATAAAAATGGGTCTGCGGGGTCTGTGCTCTATGAAAAAAATGAGGGGCCCCTGTAGGCAAGTGAAAACACTTTTTTGTCACCTGTTCCATGGAGTGGGGACGAAAAAAGGTGCCCTCCAGGCAAACTGAAAAGTTTTTAAAAACCTATTGATATTTCCAACATGATAATTATGAAACTGATGTGAGTTTTTGGTTTTGAAACAAAAGAACAAAAATACCATTCAAAGGGATGGAAAAAGTCACTGAAAAATGATAATTGAATACCTTCTTTTGTGAAGTTTTGGTGATCCTTCCTAATAACCTTCCCCCTCAGATATAAGAAATGGGCTCAGAAGTGATGTTATGTCTGTTACCACAATAAGGCACAAGAAAGGGCGCACACATTTGTGTGAGATGGTAAAACTAGCGTGTATAGAGAAGTGTTTTAAAAGGGCTTCCACAGACTGTAACAGCACTGGAACATGTTGTGCTTTTTTTATGTGCATAAAAGTTTAAAAAAATATAATATGAAACATGTACCGTGTGTTGGTTTTTTTGTTGTGTAAACCCATGTGCTGATGACATTATTCTGTGGGATTGTGGATACATCTCATGAATGGGTCTCGCCCACATTAATCATGGAAAATGTAAAGAATTAGAAAACCCAAAGAAAAGTGTAAAATAAAAATGTGGGCACACAACAATCACCAATGTTTCTATCAGCAGTCTTGATTTTTAACTCCACACCTCTTTTACTCAGAAGTACTGATGGGAAATTTGTTATTTTTGTTTAACCACCAGGAAAAAAAATTTTTAATCTTTAATTTTTTTTAAATTTCAGCGAGAGCAATTTTTTAAAATTTTTGGAATCTGGACATTGAAAGGGTTGAAAAAAGGTTTAAAGGAAACTGGGAAATTTGGCCTTTTTATCCTCTTCATTCTACTAAAAATGCAGCGCCCTGTACCCCAAAAATCATCAAAACTTTATTGTTTTAAAAACTGTACTGTAATGTTAAATTACAAATTTAAACAGTGCATTTGCTATGATCTTTTCTTTTCCGCAGCAGGTGTTAAAAATCTATAAACTGGTATTTACTAAAAAAAGTCGATGTGTAATAGTTTTTACAGGTTCTCATGCCAGCCGTCTCCGGTGGGTGTCTGCTGCGTTACCTCTCTCAAATTGTCTTCCATCCAAGAGAGCAGATGATTTGGGGGAGATTTTTTAATTATTTGCTATTTCTGTAAGTTATTTCATAAATAATTTTAGTATTTTCCCTTTGGGCTAGTCTTTCAAGGACCCCATTAACTGTCAAAATCAATGCCCCATTAGCAAGTAAGCTCCGCAATATTGGGGATTTGGGGTAACTGGGGGCCGGAAGACTTTCTCACTTTACGTCTTTCCCCCCTTTTGGCGGAAAAAACGCGGTCTTTAGCAGCTCCGATTTGGCAACCTCGCCTCTGGCAGCACTCACAGACAGTGAACGGAAGGACTCTCTCAGTGTCATGGTGGAATTTGTTAAGTTTCACATCTCTAGGTCACGTAAAATCAACTTTAAACCAGAACTGAGCACAAAACTGAAAACCTCCAATATTGCAGACTCAGCTAAAGCCATCATAAGGTTCTCCAGTAAGTCATATGTCATGCTTTTATATGCATTATTTTACTTGGAGACAGCAGTACCTTTCCCTCTTTATACATTTTTACACATTTCATCTTCAGGCTAAGAGCTATTTAGCCTACCTCTAGATTTATTTTTTTAATGAAGAATTGTCTCTGTTCCCTTCATACTAAGATGACTGTGATAGCTTAGGTTTACCATTGTTGCCAGATGTTGTTTGCATTTCTACTTTGTAGTAAATAGAAATGTTATGCCCACAGCCATTGTGGACATAGGAGCTGCACACTTCAAATATGACATGCGAAGACTGACAGAAATTCTAGCCTTTCCCCGAGCCTGGTACAGGCGATCAATTGTGAGGCGACTGTTTTTAGGAGACTTCACAGGTGGTGCCATGTCAAGTGAGTGGGATGAAGTGAGTCCTGCAGCTTCCTCAGGAGAGTCCCCTCCCAGTCACAATATATCAACCAAGCGTCACTCCTCAAGGTTTGTCACTCCTTGGCATCTTATTTTATACATTTCAGTCAGTTTCATTTATAATACATTGTTCGTTCATGTAAAAAACATGCTTTTCCTTACCTACTGTAAGGTTTTTATACTACCTGTATAGTATATGTATCTGTATGTATATGTGTAGTATATGTATATGTTATTTTCTTATAGTCGGACTTGAGTCCTGGAAATGGGAAGTACAATGCCTGCACTTTAAAGGAGGGGTTTGGGATATTGGCAGTTTGGAGGGATATGTTGTGTATCTTTATACGTATATGCTTCTAAACTGTTGTATTCTGAGCACCTCTGCAAAAGCAGTGATAATGTGTTGAGTGTGTTGAATGATGATGAAAGTATTTTCTTTTTTGGGATTTTCTTTCTTTTTTGGGTCACCCTGCCTCGGTGGGAGACGACCAACTTGTTGAAAAAAAAAAAAAAAAGTATATGTATAGTACAGTGGACCCCCGCTTAACGATCACCTCCCAATGCGACCAATTATGTAAGTGCGTTTGTACGTGTATGTTTGGGGGTCTGAAATGGACTAATCTACTTCACAATATTCCTTATGGGAACAAATTCGGTCAGTACTGGCACCTGAACATACTTCTGGAGTGAAAAAATGTCGTTAACCGGGGGTCCACTGTATATGTATATGTATAGTATAACTAGAAATGTAGTAAGATTGATATACACAATAAATCATGTCAGGTTAACATGCAGTCTCTTCTTTTCTTAGTTCAGTAGAGGGTATTGACACCAGTCGGCGGGAGAATGGCAGCATTGATAGCAGTGGCAGTCGGTCAACACCTACCACATCACAGCCTTTAGGTACTGCTGGTGCTGGCAGTCGGGCACGCGATAAACTCCGACTTAATTTTGATTCTGGCGTCAATATCAGGAAAAGTCCAAAACTAGCAGGTAATATATTTTAAATACAGCATTTTCACTTTACTATCTCCATAATTAGCTTTATTAATTTTAAACTGTGTAGGTTAAGTGAGGTTCATCAGGAAACAGGACAAGTGTTTTCTGATGTGGGTCTTAGTCAGATGATGACCCACCATTGGAGCAATTGGTCATCTAACCGAGGCCTTCTGCTGGCTTACAGGTCAACCCCTTTAAAAATTATGGTTATAGTTATAACCCTTTTTTTTATAAACTGTGTAGTATTAATTTTGATTATATAATGTTTAGACATCAGACATAGATTATGAGAGATTAAGCCATACCTGTGACATACCTACACCCATACCTGTGACATACCTCTCCCTATGCCTATGACATACCTACACCCATACCTGTGACATACCTCTCCCTATATCTGTGACATACTTACACCCATACCTTCGATATACCTCTCCCTATACCTATGACATACCTCTCCCTATACCTCTGACATACTTACACCCATACCTTTGACATACCTCTCCCTATACCTGTGACATACTTACACCCATACCTTTGACATACCTCTCCCTATACCTGTGATATACTACACCCATACCTTCGACATACCTCTCCCTATACCTGTGATATACTACACCCATACCTTCGACATACCTCTCCCTATACCTCTGACATACCTCTCCCTATACCTGTGACATACCTCCACCCATTCCTGTGACATACCTCTCCCTATACCTGTGACATACCTCCACCCATACCAGAACATTGTGTTTGCTCTTCAATATCTAAGTCTTAATTCTGTTATAGGCTCAGTTTTACTTACATATTAACATGTTTGTGCAGGTTCCAAAGAAATTTATCACTTCATTTAGGATTTATGCAGATATGTATCTATAATCTGTATCTTATTTAAGAATGTGTGTGTAATATTCAGGCAGGAAAACAGAGGGTATCAGCGAAGAGGAAATTGATGGCTTTAGTTTACCTGGCGGCTCACTAGATGCAGCTGAAACTTCTGCTTGTGGTACAGCAAGTGAAACAGAGATAGCAGGGACCACTCAAGCCACAAACAAGGCTGGCTCATGGGAAACTCTGGTGCTCTTTGCTGTCAACTTCACTCGTCTCAGCGTGCAGATGAACATGGGCAACGTGATGGGCAATGTTGTGTATGTGTTACAGTATTGTTGTTGCTGTTTTTCTGCCTCAGTTTACAAGCATCTTTGTAGCATACAGTAATGGAATTTTTTTTAACACAGCCATTTTCAAGTAAGGGAGAACGATCAAAAAAAACACATTCACCCTCAGTCTCTCTCTCTTTTTCTCCTTTGTGAGCATGTTAGATAGGAGTGAATGGAGACGAATGGTTTTTGGGACTTGACAAGCTGTTGGAGTGTGAGCAGGGTAATATTTTGTGAAGGGTTCAGGGAAACCGGTTAGTTGGACTTGAGTCTTTGAGGTGGGAAGTACAATGCCTGCACTTTAAAGGAGAGGTTTGGGATATTGGCTGTGTGTAGTGACATCAGAAGTGTCGTATCTGAGAGCCTCTGGAAAGGCAGTGATTGTGTGTAAGTGTTTTTTTATTTTTTTGGGTCACCGTACCTCAGTGGGAGATGGCTGATGTGTTGAAAAAAAAATTAAAAAATGAAGTGTAATTCCAAAAAACTAATTTAAATACAATGATATAATTTACATGTAGTGAAACAATAATAATAAGTTGTTAAGAAATGTATCAAGGATTGAGAAAAGGGAACTGTGTATCTCAAGCTTTTGTATATTGGTAATGTGGGTCTTAAATGGCACTATTGATCATATTGTATTGTATATCACAAATGTGTTTGTGATTGATTTAACATAGTTAAAACCACAGTCAGTGGGAACATAAATGCAGATAGTAAAATACCATACACATTATACAGAGGTGCTCTGCTGAGAAGGACTAAGTGCAGTCTACTCATCTCTAATGGCAGGGTGACCCAAAAAGGAAAACACATTCATCATTCATACAATTACCATCTTGCCAAAAGTGTGTTGACATTACAGATTACCTTCTGACTGCAACATCACCCCACCTTCATAGTGCAGACACTGCACTTTCCACCTCCAGGATTCAAGTCCAGCTAACCAGTTTTCCTGAATTCCTTCATAAAAGTTTACCTGCTCACATTTCAACAACACTTGTCTCCATTATTCCTTTTTAAAATGCTCGCACAAACCTACTGGATATTTAGGCTCCTAAAACTCAAAGCTTCTGTACCCCCTCCTCCCAGTCTTCCTTGGGTTGACCTCTATCTCTCCTACCTTCCACCTCAGATTTATACACCCTCTTTCTCTCCTCCTTCTCTAAATGCCCAAACCTCAGCAACCCCTCCTTGGTGACCTCACACCATCTTAATTTCTACACTCTGAACCCTCTACTGTACATATATTTACACAACACATTGATCTTAAACATAATATCTTCACTATTTCTAGTCTCCTCATTGTAATTTTCAAAACCTGTGCCTGACACCAATGCAAGTGTTGGTACCACTATACATATATGTACTCTGCTACATTCTCCTTTTTGCCTTCATACATAAACTTCTTTTGTTCCACAGATGCCTGAACACACCACCTATCTTTCTTCTGTAATATAATTTGATGCAGATTTGACAAAATATAATATGATTTAAAAGTACAGTAAATTATACATAAAAATAAGGTAATTAATAAACAAACAGGAGGTTTATATTCAAGAACTAATATATTTAAGCATTCATCTGTATGGTAATTAATTTTGTTTTTTCCAGTTGGACAACCAAAGACTTCAAGGCCAATGGGAGACTATCAATTGGAAGCACAGGTCACAAGAACATGTACATTGGTCTTGGTCTGGGAGGGTCTGGTCTTGATGCCAAGGGAGGCATTGTGGGTGGCACCATTGAACTTTCAGAAATAAACATGTATTGTAAGTTGATTTGATGTGCCATGTTTTAAACTATTTTTGCTATATTGTACTTCATGTTTTTCATTTTTATATGAACTTCTTAATGTAGTTTGGGTCTTCGACATGAGTCCATACTAATGAAAAGTTTTTTAATCATATGGCATCATTATAAACTGTTTAGGTAATATTAAGATTAAGTAGCTTATGTGCCTGCCACATTTTATGGTCAGTGATTTTCAGTAGTGGGCATGCAGTACGCTCCAATTCCTTTCCAAATTATGAATTATAGCCACAGCATTATAACAACCATCCTTCAACAGTGCCCATGTATGCATACCTCTGTGTTTATTTTATTTTATTAACACACTGGCCGATTCCCACCAAGGCAGGGTGGCCCGAAAAAGAAAAACTTTCACCATCATTCACTCCATCACTGTCTTGCCAGAAGGGTGCTTTACACTACAGTTTTTAAACTGTAACATTAACACCCCTCTTTGTGTCCATACTTAACTTGCACAAACAATCAGTCAGCAGGCTGTTGTATTTTATGGACACATTTCTTGCAGCATTATCCATGGAGGCAATAAGAGGATCATATGAGAGTATAATGGTACCAATGCTCTTTTATGGGTACAGAAATAACCCTTTTATGGGTACAGAAATAACCCGCACATAAAAGAGAGAAGCTTACAACGACGTTTCGGTCCGACTTGGACCATTGACAAAGTCACACTAACCAGAGGTGGAGCAGGACGGCTATATATAGGCAGGAAGAGGTGGTGGTAGTAGTAGTACAAGAATTGTATATAATACCGACAAGATGAAATTAAGACACATGCACAACACCCGGTCATCCCCATCGTAGACATTTCGCCATCCAGCCAGCCACTGGATGGCGAAACGTCCACAACAAAGACAACCAGACGCCGCACATGTGTCTTAATTTCATCAGTAGTTGTAGTAGTAGAAGAGGTAGTAGTAGAAGTGGGAAATAAGGAAGACGAGCCAGTCAAATACAAAGGAAGGGGAGCACTGCAAGAGAGCTAGATGCCCACAGAGGGAGAGCAAGCGCACAGAGGTGCGTGAAAGGGGAAGTGGTTATTTATTGTTATCTCTTTTATGGGTGTGAAGCATGGGTGGTGATTGTGGTGAAGGTCTTGTTAACCATGGCTGTAGAAGATAAAGATGGGTGTCTTGTGAGGTTGGAGTTGAAAGAATTGTAAGGTACTTTAATGTACCTTTTGTAGTGAATAGTTTCACATTGCCTGTGCAGATTTACATGAAGATGATCATAATTTTATGTTCAGGCATCATAGTTCAAGTTTTAGCTGGTCATGTTTGGAGCAGATGTTATTCTTCCTGTGGAAAGGAGCTCTGACTCTCAGGGAACACTGGTGAATAGTATTTATGTAGGAGTGGTTGGTGCAGTGAGTGATGCTGTTGGTAATATTTTAAACAATTTTGCTATAATGCTGAAACAGGTAGAAGAGAAACTATCTACCCTTAGCAGCAAACTGTGAGGCCCTGTTGTCTTCTCAATTTTTTGTTGACCTGAGGAAGAGAATTGACGAAACAAAATGGGAGGAAGAGGTGCACTCTCCAAAAGCACTTGACATTAGGATTAACACTCATGGATTGAACCAAAACCTATTGTTCCTTGGAGAGTGCTGCAACTTTTCACTTGATGATCATCCAGGTTCCTCTTAACATCAGGATATTAGTAGTGCTATATTCTCTAATGTAAAACAATTTGTGCACTGTCTGACTGCTTATTGTCTCCTTAATTTACATAGAAAAAGACTTTGCAGATAATTGAAAGCGCTGTTCTTATTCTTCAGTAAAAATTCATGAAGACCCAGGCACTGAGCCAGACCACACTATTGGAGTGAAATTATTTGCATCACAGTCACGCCTAGACTACATGGGAACAAGTGTTCTAATGGGCAGGGTGTCATCCTTCGGTGTTACATTGCGAGACGAGTGGAAACTTAAGCAGTGTGCCGACAGTGATGAAGATACTACACGCAGGTATGTTACATGCAGCCATTTTTGTATTATTGGGTGTAGACAATTAGGAATTATCATCAGAGACTTTCAGCAAGAGTTAAAGAGAAACCAGCTTTGACAAGACACTGAGGAAGCTCAGTCACTGATGCAAAAGTGCAACTGCATTTATGTTGGAAAATATGGAGCAAGAAATGAATAAGCAGTTATACATCATAAAGTATAATCTATATGTTGGAAGGTGTTATCTTTTATCATTGTGAGAAGTGGAAGCTAAGTGAGGATGCTAGCAAATTTAAAATTGGTGATTGGTGACGAAACCTTTAATGACATAATTATTCTTAAAATGTTAACATACAGTGTTAGCCATTTGCTTACTATTTATTTAGCACTATATTAAAAGTAGAATCCTAGATGAGGATAAGAACTAAGCTTTAAGGAGGAGAGACTGATTTTCCTATGTGTAAGCATCCTTTGGTATTTTTTTAACGTATTACCCAGTAGCTGTTTACCACTGAAGTTGGAGGACGTAGAGAAGGAAACACAAACACTGTCATTCTTTAACTGCCTTTTCACAAGTCTTCATTAAGGGATAAACCGTTCAGCAAAGGGGCTCTGGTGCTAGTGAAGTGCTCTCGATCCAGAGAATTGGAACTACCCTCCTATTCCTTAGAATGACTCCCATGCCCCTGTCTCCATCTGATCCTTATGGATTTATTTCTTTACCCCCATCCTCCCATTTCATGAATGTATTGATTAAAAAATAAAACTATAAAGAGGGCTACTTGGTGCCAACAGAGGTGCTACTATATTCATCCTGGGAGACCTAGAGTGGGACCAACTGCAACTCATCATCAGCAAGTCCACTACTGCTGACCTTCTTAAGATGCATCACAAGCTTGATGAGTTCTTCTCGCAGCAATTCAAATCGAGTAAGAGGGTCTTCTCTTCCCTCCAGCCCACCAGGCATAAATCTTCTGTCAAACAAAGACCCAAAGATGGAAACCGCAAACTGGCTAGTGGTAAGATCATTTTGATATTTCCTTAAGGTTGCCTAAAATACTCTGCATAACAGTGGGCTTTCTGCATGCACACCTAAATGTCACTCATCTCTGTACAAACATTGTATCATGCTGAAAAATATTTTTATTATTATTTAATATATGTTAATGGAATTGTGGTGTGTGAGTTGAGGAAGCCGTGTTCAGCTTGCCCGGTTATTTTTATATAGCCGGGCTTGAGTCCTGGAAATGGGAAGTACAATACCTACACCTTAAAGGAAACGTTTGGGATATTGGCTGTTTGGAGGGATATATTGTGTATCTTTTTACATATATGATTCTAAACTGTTGTATTCTGAGCACCTCTGCAAAAACAGTGATTATGTGTGAGTGTGGTGAATGATGATGAAAGTATTTTCTTTTTGGGTCACCCTGCAACAGCATCAACATATGTTAGTCAGAAGGCAGATGGCATTTAAGGGTGGCAAAAGAGAAAGTTTATTTTAACTTTACACATAAATGACTTTGACTGTGTGTTCTTAATTTTATTAGTTGGTAGCTGTGAGTTATGGGTACTTTAATAACAGTAATATTAATAATAATTTATTTCAGCATGATACAAAGGAGAATGACATTTGGGTGTACCTGCTGAAAGCCCCTGTTTATACAGAGCTTTAGTACAGCAATAACAATAAAGTGTAAATTTAGGAGTTTACAATGAATACAAGAGAATTGAATATTCTAATTGTTCATGTTATATGGCTTTAATAAGTTTAATTGAGAGGGATTACAGGTTTAATTATTTATCCTACAATGTGCTGATTTATATTTTTCAATAATTACTGTTATTGCAGTCTTGGGTGTTGCATCAGGCCAGGATGCTCGTCACCACCGTCACTGGCAGGGTGTACTGTACCGTGTGTCTGGGCTGCGGCTCACCACTCTGCCACTGCCCCTGCCAGACTCAGGAACTGTCTTGGGTGGTTCACTGGAGCTTCATGGCAAAACCATATCTCTGGCATGTTTCCATGGTGTGAATTTCAGAAGTAAATCCTGGGCACTGTTCAGTCTTCAGGAACCATACATTAACTTCACCTCAGAAGTACAAGAAGTGCCAGGAGACCGTAAGTTGTACTCTAGGGCGTCACTGACTTCCATATCTATGCAGATATTACCAAATATAATGAGCTGCTAAATAGGAAATACCTAGGTAATAGGTTGGTAGACAGCAACCACCCAGGGAAGTACTACCATCCTGCCAAGTGAGTGTGAAACAGAAACCTATAATTGTTTAACATGATGATAGGATTGCTGGTTTTTGTATCATACAAACACATTGGATAACAGGTATATCTTGCTACTTGTACTTGCATTTAGATCACGCTACCCATGCATACATACACCCCTTTAGGTTTTCTTCTATTTTCTTAATAGTTCTCGTTCTTCTTTATTTCCTCTTATCTCCATAGGGAAGTGGAACAAAATTCTTCCTCTGTAAGCCATGCATGTCATAAGGGAAGTAAAAGGACACAAGTGCAACTAATGTGACATTTTATTGTGGCAACGTTTCGCTCTCCAGGAGCTTTGTCAAGCCAATACAAACAATACATGGACACAGAGGGTATATAAAGGCTCAAAGTGAGGTGCAATACTAGTGAGGTACCATTTCGATGTTCACTAGTGGTGGTAGTAGTGACAATATGGTAGTCTAGCAATTAATTCATACATGAGTAAAAGGATATAAAAGCTATTACTTGGGTAACAAAAATAGGTTGGACAAATATAGACTGGGTAGAGAAGGCCTTTTTCAGTGTTCACTCTCTGTAATGTGTTTTGTGTAGTAAAACAGGAGAGACTATGTGATGGCAGGGTTTACTGTTTTCAGGAGGATTCTCGCTAAGACTTCGGAGAGTTACATTTTCCTTCCTTTTTCATCAAAGACTGCAAGAAAAGAGCTCTTCAGATCATTAATTCTCCACACACCAACACCACTCCCAACAAAGTTATAATTCTTCCCAACAGCCAGGTTGCACTGAACGTTTCTAAAGTACTTTCACAAGCTAACACCAGAGTCGCCATCGCTTCTAGCACTTTAATAAAGGATGTAACCAGGACAAAATCAAAGCACCACGAACTAGTCAATGCAGGGGTTTACACTATACCCTGTGACAAGATTTATGTAGGTGAAACAGCAAGAAACCTCAACACCCTCCTCAATGAACACATTTACGCATGTAGAAACGATAACTTGAACAACGCCTGTGTACAACACCGAAATTCCACCAATCATCTCATGAAATTCAGGGACGCCCAATTAGTGATCAAAGAAACTAATTTCCGCAGACGCAAGTGCCTCGAATCAGCACTGATCGCTGTTTCGAATACAATTAAACAAAACAACAGCAGCTTCACCATCTCTGAAGTCTTAGCGAGAATCCTCCTGAAAACAGTAAACCCTGCCATCACATAGTCTCTCCTGTTATACTACACAAAGCACATTACAGAGAGTGAACACTGAAAAAGGCCTTCCCTTCCAGTCTATATTTGTTCAACCTATTTTTATGTTACCCAAGTAATAGCTTTTATATCCTTTTCTCATGTACGAATTAATTGCTCTACCATATTGTCACTACTACTACTACCACTAGTGAACATCGAAATGGTACCTCACTAGTATTGCACCTCACTCTGAGCCTTTATATACCCTCTGTGTCCATATATTGTTTGTATCAGCTTGACAAAGCTCCTGGAGAGCGAAACGTTGCCACAATAAAATGTCACATTAGTTACACCTGTGTCCTTTTACTTTACATATTGTCGGTAATTCTACCAACATTATTACATGTCATTAGGGGCTACTAAAATACTGGGAGCAAGGGGCTAGTAACTCCTTCTCCGGTATAAATTACTAAATTTTAAAGAGAAACTTTCATTTTTTTTTTGTCACCCTGCCTCGGTGTGATACGATTGGTTTGTTGAAAAAAAAAAATAGGGTATTGTATACAAGTTCAGACACAAACGATTTTTATAAAACAAAGTGCAAATACAGTAAAGTCTGCGTTACACACTGGATGAAATAACCCCTATGCAAGAATAAGTGTACAGTAAACCCTCAGTATAATGGACTAATAGGGGGTTATTCTCTTGAGTGTCTGTTAAATCAGAACAGTATAAAAAATAGCAGAAAAAGCACATACGTACTCTACTGTATACCCATTATAGTATCTTACACACAATATAGAGTACAGTAGGACCCCCGTATCCATGGGGGATACATTCTAAGGACCTGCCATGGATACCGAAACTGTTGATAGTAGCATACCCAATATATAAGTCTTATACATACTTATTATGAAGTTTAACTGCTAAATTATTCACACTTTTTCACTGATGGAAAGCTCTTCACAGTTTCCCTTAGGCTTTGAAGAACTGCCAGCTTTTCTACAAAATTAAGGGGTATTTTTGGGCCACAGTCAACTGTGGATACCAGATCAGTGGAGTATAGGGGTCTACGGTACTCCCTGGAATGCAGGCTAGAAAGATGCCTCATAATCTACACTTAGAAAATCTCCTAGAGGGACTGGTCCTAAATCTTCACACAAAAATCACTCCCTACTTAAGCAAAAGACTAGGCAGACAGTGCAACATTTTCCCCAGTGAAAAGCAGGGTTGCCATGAGTACACTAAGAAAACACAATATCTGGGGCCCAAGACTGTTCAGCAGCTCCCGTCATACATTAGGGAAATAACCAATAGACTCTTGGCTTTCTTCAAGAGGGAACTGGACAGATACCTTAAGTCAGTACCTGATGAGCTGGATTGTGGTTAATACATTGGATTGCATGCATCCAGCAGTAACAGCTTGGTTGACCAGGCTCTGATTCATCAGGAGACCTGGGCTGTGAGGCGCTGACCCCTGGAACAACCTCCAGGTAGTAGATTTTATCCTTTATTTCAAAAGCCTTGTTATATTGAGGGCTTGCTGTTTGGTACTGTAGAAATGTACATTTAGAAATACTACCTATAGTGTGTTGGTAAAAAGTTTGCAGAGCATTAGTGTTGACATTAATAGTTTTGTTTTGCTCCCTGTATAGCTCCACGTGACACACACATTGTGCAGAACCTGACCTTCAGCTTGGGAGTGATGGAGCAGACTCATGCACAACATGTCTCTATGGCCACTGTCTGCAGGATCACCAGGAACATGGTCTTTCCTCCACAGTTCCGCACAATACAAGAATGGTTTCACTATGCCTTTTGTACCTCTGAACTTGATAGTAAGTCTTGTGTGTTCCTTCTTTTATGTTTATCTGAGTTATGTTATTAAATAAATGGCTTCACTTTGTTGTCTGTCAAAAGTGACTTGATTTTGAGGGATTTTCTACCCTCCTACTCTTGCCTGAAGTCAAAATTCCTTGTTGACTTCATTATCAGTCAAGCTGTTGTTGCTAGTACCTAGCAGGTCTGCATAACCATCACAATCTGGTTGATCTAACACTGCGATGAAATTGATCCAGGTTCCTCTTAAATAGTATGATAGTGGGAACAATGAAAACTTACCTATACATGAGGTTGGAGTCATTCTATTACTATCAGGTGAGTAATGCTGCCAAGAGGTAGCATTACTTTAAGGAGTTTAAAAGTATATAAGTTTTTAACATATTCAAGAATATACACATACACATTTAACACAGTTGTGTTTTGTGAAAAATGTGGTACATGTACGAGAGCTTAGCAGTGTATGAAATACAGGAAGAGGAAGAGAGCATTTACTTTCTAAGATTATTTTATAATTTTTTATGTATTGTGAGATAAAGTATACTGTATAGTAGGTGCTCCTTGACTTACAATGGGGTTGCATTCCAGTGAACCCATCGTAAGTTGAATATGAATGCTCTAACAAGTAAATAAATAATTAGTGGTATTGAATAAGTAGATAAACAAATAGTTATTGTGACTAACCAGATACCAGTAATGAAAAGTTAATAAATGAATACAAGTCTATTCCATTTCTAAATTTAAAAAGAGAAACTTTTCTTTTTTGGGTCGCCCTGCCTTGATGGGATATGGCCAGTTTATTGAAAAAAAGGGTATCTTATCAATAAATGTACAGTACTGAATGTGTATCACTGTTGCACCATCATGAAGTCAGAATGTCATAAGTCGAACCATCATAAAGCGAGGAGCATCTGTAATAGGATGGGAAACTGTAATACCTCCCCTTAGTCATACCTTATAATTTTTTATTATAAAGTAGAAATATCTGATGATTTTGTATACCACTGCCATTTTTGTACTCTGTATTTCTCAGCCACATCTAAACTCTGATCTGTTGGCAGATGTGGACCGATTTCCATCCTTGGATCGCAGTGACAGCTTACCATCATCAGATGGCAAGCGGACATCAACACGCTTGCAGGACCACAACCACTCTTCAGAAACTATCTTTGCCTTACCTTCTATGCAGATTCATCTGAACACCAAACATCTACAGACAGCAAATACACCAGACTTCATGGGTAGATAAATTTCATGTGGTTACTAGTTATATGAAGTAGCAAAGAGAAACATAATCAGTATTACACACTGCACGTGGCTTCCTTGCACCTTGTTCACATCTTTGGCTTCTTAAAATTTGCTTTGCATGAAATATTTTGCAACCCTGAAATTTTTGAGACATTCAAAAATAAGGCTCACATGATTCATTTGAAAGTTAAGAGGTAGGACCAAGAGCCAGAGTTCATCCCCTGCAAGCTCAAATATCAAGAGGTAATTATAAACAGGTAGTTACATACTAGTAGCAGATAGTAAACTAAGATTGTGAGAATAAGTTGCTCTTAAATTGTAGCTTCTGCTTTCAGTGAATTTGTAATTTCAGTTTCATTACAGATTAAGAAAAGAATTATTAATGGCATTTTATGATCAACAGATGACAAGCCAAAAGTGGAGTGTTCACTTGTGACAGAATTCCAGGATCACATATTTGTTGCAGTTGATGCTGAGAATTTCTTCTTCCTTCATGATCTGATTGCTTCCTATGTGAAGGACACAAAGGAGAAGATGGTAAATTCCAGAATTCTTATAGATGGTATTAATAAGTAATTACTATATATATATGAGGTTGGAGGGAGGGGGTAAAGGAGGTTTTGTGGGTGAGGGGCTTGGACTTCCAGCAAGTGTGTTAGATAGGAGTGAATAGAGACAAATAGTTTGTGGAACCAGACGAGCTGTTGGAGTGTGAGCAGGGTAATATTTTGTGAAGGGATTCAAGGAAACTGGTTAGCCGGACTTGAATCCTGGAAATATGAAGTACAATGCCTGCGCTTTAAAGGAGGGGTTTGGAGGTTGACTTTTAAACTATCGTATCTGAATGCCTCTGCAAAGTCAGTGATTATGTATGAGTGAGGTAAAAGTATTGAATGATCATGAAAGTATTTTTCTCTTTGGGTCACTCTGCCTCAGTGGGAGATGACTGACATGTTGAAAAAAAAAACTTGAGATACCTTCTTTGATAATCTTAATACAATCCAACCTCATATATCATGTTGTTTAAGCTAGTTGTATAACATATGCAATATTCTGATGCACTATGTTTTGTTACCTACCGATATATAGGATTAAGTGTTTAAAATCAGGGTTTGTCAATTTTTGAATAATAGTACAGGAATTTATGTTAATTTTATAAATTCTAAATTGGCTTTTAAATTTGAGTAATAATTTATAAATTAATTATATCTGTTTTGCTGCATTATTCAGGCCAGGAAAACAAAAGGGGTGAGTGTATCAAGTATATTTTCATATTTATGCTCTTCACACATGGTCATTACTTGAAAATTTTACTCTGTGTATATACACTATTTTGTCTTGTATCTTCAGGAGTTTGATTCCTATATATTCTATGTTTGGAACTCTACTCCAACCAAAAAGCTAAAAAAACTCTACTCCAACCAAAAAGCTAAAAATAATTATCAAATATGTTGTCTGCTACCTGTCACCATCACGTGACTACACTTAAACTTATATTTACAAAGCCTCAACATTGAACTTGATATCCCTGTGTTGAACCACTGATTACAAGCATGAGAGACACTCAGTTCTGTTCGGTTATCCCAAACTAAGGAACAAAAGTTGGAATGATTAATGAATATTTCAGGCTGGTGCTGATAATGAGAATAATAAAGAAAGTGGAGATAAGAAACCCAAGGTGGTCCGGGTCAATGAACCAACACAGTTGCTTCAACAAGATTATCGAGAATTCACTTGCCCCACCTGGCATTTGGAACCGACTGTAAGGTTAGTAACTGGCTTAGCGTTTGTAATGCGATGTCATCGTGGCTTAAAGTTTTTTCAGTTTTGTATCTGTTCCTTAATAATATACCACCACCCAGTTTTCCACAATGTGTAGTTATTTTGTTAAATAATGATATTTCACCCAGTCACAGACTTTAGAGAAAAAATCTTCATTTAAGAAAACCCCAGTCAGGGTAAAATGTTATAAGGCAGTCTCCCTTCTCCCATTTTGATGGTTTTCTGAAAGTTGTCGGTCTCAGCAGTTGTGCTCATTCTCCATAAACCTCAGCTTTCCAGTTTTTGACACATCATATCCTGTATTATAGTAAGTTGCTCTTGCCAGTAGAACATTCAGTTTACAGTAATTTGTCATCTGTATAGGCTGGGTCGACATTCACATTCATGTATTGTATAGTAAAACATGTAAAGGCTGTAGATATATACATTTTTCTGTAGACTTAAATTTTTATTTACTGCTACTTGCATCTATACATACTCTCACCTGCTAGAGACATCTGTACCATATCCACACAAATCTAGCCTTATGTCAATTTGTTCAGTGTAAAGCAAATTTTTGTTCTGTGCAGTATAATTTAAATAGGCATATCCAGTGTAACTTGTAGATTTTAGTGTATTACTGTTTTAAATGTTGCCTAGGTCATTTAAGTTTTGATTCCAGGAGTAATGTTTAATATTAGTTCTTAAGGTGATTTGGCAAGGTACTGTTGTTTACTTCCTCTTAGATCCCAGGGTGCTACACTTTTTGAGAGTTGCTAATAGTATTATTCAGAGGGCTGAGTAGGTTTGGTAATTCAGAGAGGATGGAGCAAAAATATAAATAAATCTGCAGTGGAGGAAAGGGGGTAAAACAAGTTTTGTGTGCAAGGAACTTGGACATACAGCAGGCATGTGTGAGCCTGTTAGATAGGAGTGGAGACAAATGGTTTTTGGGACCTGACGTGTTGTTGGAGTGTGATATTTTGTGAAAGGATTCAGGGAAACCGGTTAGCTGGACTAGAGTCCTGGAGGTGGGAAGTACAAGTCGTGCACTTTAAAGGAAGGGTTTGGGGGTAACATCCAAAAAAGAAACACTTTCACTTCTCTGCAGAGGTGCCCAGATACGACAGTCTTGTCGTATCTGGGCACCTCTGCAGAGAAGTGATTGTGTGAATGATGGTGAAAGTGTTTCTTTTTTGGGTCACCCTGCCAGCATGTTAAAAAAAAATTAATTGTAATTTAAACAAATTGAAAAAAATTTAGTCTATTTATAAGTGCTTATAGAGAACAGTGTAAACAGCTGTGGCAACATAATCGTAGCCACTAGTATAACGAAGCTTCTTGACCTCATGTGTATTAACGGCCTCCATGCATAATCTTACTAATGTTGTAATTTTTAAGCCTGTAAGGTGTCTTAATGCCTTTCATAACTGGTTTCCATATTTATTGGGAAGTGCTAAACCCATAAGGGTCATACAGCATCTGCGGGAGTGGTAGGTAATCAGATTCAATCCAGTTAAATGGAGGGCAATTCCAGTTCTTTGGATCAAGAGCCCTTCACTTGTATCAAGGCACAGGTTTTCATAAAAAGAAGTAACCGTGCAGCAGCTGAATCTTTCTTGTAAAAGCTCACTTCTGTTAGCATGGAACTTCATCTTAAACAGTTTTTTCACAATCATTTTTGACTTTTCTAATTATCAATACTTTTGCAGGCTTTTGTCTTGGGCTACCAAGAATTTAGAGCCATATGGTGTGGACTATATTCTCCAGAAGCTTGGGTTCAGTCATGCTAGAACTACAATTCCAAAATGGCTTCAACGAGGATGTATGGACCCTTTAGACAAGGTTTTGTCCTTGCTGATGTTTCGTATGATAGCTGCCATATATGACCATGACAGTGCCAATAGGTAATAGATAGATTTTACATAAGTGACAAATATGGAGAATGTGCTATTTACTGAAGATTTAGAAAACATTTCTGGAGGATCTTAAGGCTAAGTCACCTGCTGCATTGCCTAAGCTCAAGCCCTCAAACTTAGTCAATTGTAAGCATTGTAGTGAAAAATGTTTAAGCAAAGATATCTGAATAGGCCTTTTAGTGTTGGTTGGTGTTAAGAAATATGATACATTGGGCATACAGTATATTATTGTACTCTATTTCCAGGTTTAGATAAATGTTGAGAGGCTGCACAGAAGTGTCAATGTTGCTAGGAAAGTAATTACTAAAATGTGGGAATTCAGTGCTGTTGTTTTATTAGTTTATGTGCTCTTTAATATATAAATACCAAAGCAGGTCAACAAAGTATATAGTGTAGCTTGCCTACCTATGACATATTTCTAGTCAATCTGATAATATTTATAGAAATTAGATTGAATTATAATATAAGAATTGTTTTAGAAAACATTTCAGGTATGTAAACCTATTTCTAATGTCTGTGCCATATGTGTAACATTGTTGCAGGTATAATCATACCTCTAGATCTGTAGTACAAGAAAAATATTCATCAGAGGGGAGATTGTTTAATGGGATCAACATTGACTTGTACCTCCAGAGAGATGAATATTTTCTTTAGATCACCTTGAATAGGAGGATATTGGCAAAGAGGTAATATTTTCTTTTAGACAGTCTGTTTTATAGGTAAGCAAGAACATAAGTATATGGTCACATTAATGTAATGAACCAGTTGTACTGGTAAGTTTATTTTTTAAAAATTTTCCTTTACCATAAAACATGCCTTATATATTTTGACACATTTCAGGTCTACAGTTTTTTAAATGTCATGCTTTTTGCTGTGTCTTTTCATTTTAAATAATGAGAGTATATAGTGTTTTTTTAATTTTCTGTAAACTGCATTAAGAGAAACTTTATACAGAGGAGCTCCATTAAGAATTGTCAAATATTTTACTTGTCATTCCATTGTTTTGTAACCATTATTATTTAAATAAATGCATTTTCAAAGTTATATTTATAATAAAAATATTTTTAATTTTTATCAAAGTTTGGTGTAAACTCATGGCTAGACAGAATGAGTCCAAGTTCTGACTGGACAAGCTTCCCTCTTATGGCCAGACAGGTTGATAATAGGCATCCAGCTTGTATCTAGATGGGCTGAGAGTGAGCAACCAGCTGAAGAGGCCTACGAGTGCCAAATACTTTTAATGATACATATTGGTATATCGTGAAAATTATATTGAGTAGCATAAAGATTTTAAATAGACAGTCTTTATAAACGGTAATATAACTTCATTTAAAAAAAACAAGCATTTATATATTTTAAATTACAGTCCCCCATCCCTGTGGGCCAGCATTGTTTGGAATTTCAGAATGAAGGTATCTAGGACAGCACCCCATAATCAAATATTAACAGTGCAGCGAAAACATATGAATACTCACTAAGTAGGATAATTAAGGACTACAAATAGAGTAATATATTGATAAATTAAATTATAGACCAGAACATAATTCTCAAGACTGTCCTTGTGGCTTAGCGCTTCTTTTTGATTATAATAATAATCTCAAGACTGTCTTCTCTCTGAGTACCTTGTGGCTTAGCACTTTATTATTATAATCACAAAAATTCTGATTAAATTCCCATAATGCAATTCACCTTGTTCAAGGCCAGCAATTGTTTGGGTACATTTATTCTTTTAGTAGGTTGGATTTGTGAAGGACCTGCTAAGTATGGGCCAGCTGCAGTGTTCCTCCTTTCTTATTTTGAGTGGAACAGTCTGCCTAATATGGTTACTGAGGCAGGTTCATTCTTTTAACAGTATTTGCTAAACCGTTTTTAATACTACTCAAGAAATGAGCTTTGATAATTCTGTTTACTCAAATGAGAAGGGTGGGACTTGCACATGCGTGTTTATCAAACCCAGGAAGTGGCACCTCCGAAGAAAATTTCAATTTTTAAAACTTTTCCAATTCCAGATAAAGGGATGGGGACTATTAATAAAAAGAAAAGTGCTAAACACACATGGGTCAACCTTTTAATATAATGGCCAATTGAGAACTAGTCCACTTTTAACTATTATATTATTTCAGGCACTTTGCTACCTCTTTCCTACATGAGATGTTTAATTTTTATTATATAATCTCTTGATAAATAAAGAATACTGTTTCAGGTTAAAGTCTGTACAATAGAATATAGTTTTTAAAGTTTCAAGGTCCATTAAACAGGTTAGATTGACAGTAAAATAAAACTTACAATAATTCACTTTATTATTTATGAGACAATTACTGCACAGTTTTTGCTATACAGATGGTAAACAATTATATATTTTTATTTTTTCAACAAGTCGGCCGTCTCCCACCGAGGCAGGGTGACCCAAAAAAGAAAGAATATCCCCAAAAAGAAAATACTTTCATCATTCAACACTTTCACCTCACTCACACATTATCACTGTTTTTGCAGAGGTGCTCAGAATACAACAGTTTAGAAGCATATACGTATAAAGATACACAGCATATCCCTCCAAACTGCCAATATCCCAAACCCCCTCCTTTAAAGTGCAGGCACTGTACTTCCCATTTCCAGGACTCAAGTCCGACTATATGAAAATAAATAATTTTTATACCTTCAAGTATAAAATACATTACAGAGGTACTGAGAAACTTAAAAGTCATCTCTTGTAAAACTCCCCTATATAGTGCAATTTTTTGTAAATACAAAAGAAAAGTTCATCCAAAATTGAATAGGTCTTCAATCATATTATATAGAGTAGCTGTATAAGAGACTTGACTATGACAAAAAAAAAAAATCCAAACAGTAACTCTCTTGCCATTATATAACTAGTATGCCTAGTCAATTCTATCTGGCTCATCTGTAAATAAATTTTCATTTGACAAGTGAAAAGAAGCGCTAAGCCACAAGGGCTATACAGCTGACAAGTGAATAAATATAGTAAAATGACTCATTTTTGTCAACACAATGAATATCTATTTTGTCAACTTCCATTTAACTTAATAGTTTCCCATTCCTCCAGATATTGTATAGCCCCCGTCTCCTCCCAATGAATATAATACAATGGTACCTTGAGTTTTGAATAGCTCCCAACTCAAATAATTATTCAGGTATATTTTTGGGGTCAAACAGACTAATCTAATTTACACTATTCCTTATGGGAACAAATTCATTCGGTAATGGTGCACTAACAACCTTCTGGAATGAATTAAGATTATAACTTGAGGTACCATTGTACTCACAAAATTATAATATCATGATTGCAAACAAATCACTGAACAGGTGGGACTCTAACCCATGGCAAGCAATTACCACAACACGCAGGGAAGTGCGTTTTAGGACTTGCACGTCTTGGTTCAAGCCCCACCTCTTTCGTAATTTACCAATATTTTGGCTGACATTCATATCCCATTTACTGTTGATAAACAGCATGTACTGCTATTCACTGGGACTGCTCATGACCTAACAGATCAATAAAAATTTAATTGGTATATAAGTGCCATATTTAGAATTGAAGATGTGTGACCTTGACACTTTTCATGCTTTCCCATGAGTATCCAGTAACCCAGTGCAAATGAAAAGGTGTCGAGAGTTAAAACCCAATGCAATGCATTTACATCTTTATCAAATACATAACAGATATGAGAAACAAAGGCTTTTAAAGTCACATACTTATGTGTGAAATGTTGACAGGAGGCCCACCGACTCTTGCTTGGTTTACACGTACCTAAAAATTATGAAAAATGACCAACAATCATGAGAAAACATTTTTAGCATGATACAAGGCTATTTTCTCTTGTCTGTTTCTTCCCTGTCCGAGGCACCTTTTACTGTACAGCACATTTATCTTATAAACCCCCCCCCCCCAACCATCTATGAAAGCTGTGTACATAGGATTTTTTCATGTTTGTGGACAGAAATTGATCCAACAAACTGTGTCATCATGACTGTTTTCCATTTTGAGAGTTTTTTCGCCCCCAAAAAATCCCTGAACTATAGTTCACCATTTTCGGTGGATTTTCAAAATTCATACTCGGCGTACTATTTTTTATGCTCATTCAGAATACACACTTAAAAATATAAAACGAGATAATTTTAGCATCATACGAGACTAATTTCAATGGAGAAAGCTAAAGCCAACAATCATCGGCCATTACACTAATCAACACCATCAAGCATAACAATGGTATGTTATGTACTAATGGGTGTATACATTGTATTAAAACACTGTAAACAGGAAGGCATCCTGCAGTACTCTATATCTGCTCAAGTTGCTTTACACCAAACATGTGATTTTGCTCCTTGTAGACTTATATAAGCCACTGTCTTTTATATCTGTTATATACTTGATTAAGCCCAATCTTGGATGATAGGTTATACAAATAAAGAACTACACTGCATTCGAGTCTTTTTCGCCCATAATGTAGTATTGGTTTCAAAGACAATTGACTATACAAGGGTCATTTAAGGCTGCACATAACCTGCTCACTTCTAGTGAAGAATATTTGTCTCTAAAACAGGAACCAAAATAAAATTTCTGTGTATACATATACAAAAAAAAATACAGTGGACCCCCGCCTTACAATATAATTTCATTCCAGAAATGTGTTCAGATGCTGTTACCGAATGAATTTGTTACCATAAGGAATACTGTGAATTAGATTAGTCCATTTCAGACCCCCCCCCCCTCAAAAAAAATACACGTACAAAAGCACTTACATAATTGGTTGCATTGGAAGCTGATCGTAAGGCGGGGGTCCACTGTACATGCAGTCTAATATATAGAAATAAGTTGAGGAACCCTTACTTAACCTCATTGCACCCCACCAGAAGTTAGTTCACAAAAGACCCAACCCAATCTATAGCATAGTCTTCCAATAACGCAGTCAGGGTGAGACTAGGGGTCTCTCGTTTGTTTGCTGTCGTTACAGCAAGATTAACAAATACTATTATACAAAAATGCATGTTTAATAACCAGCAGTACCTTATTTCAATACTATAATACAGTAGTCAGGCCTCTGAATTCACAGTGGTTACATTCTTTGACCCCCTGCCCTGCAATTATGAAAAAATAATCTGGTGTATGTGTGAGAACTCATCAGTAATACACTGCCACCTTCACAGCAAACAGTCCTGTGAGGTAAGGGAGGGAGGCAGAAGGGGTACATGGTGAAGGACAACTGTTAGGTGTAATGTGTCTTGAGAGGCAGGGAGAGAATAAGCATACAAGTGGTTGTCTGGGAAAGATAGTATTTCCTCAGGGACAAAGTAAAAACATTTGCTAAAGGTTAAACACAGGAAAAGTATAACACAGCAAAACCTTTTATTATTACAAGAGGCTTGATAAAGAATTTTGTAGATGAAAGGTTATAATAATAAAAGGTCTCTTTTAGTAATACCTGCATTTATAAATCGCCTATTGGTTCACAGCTATATTCCAACATTTCCTTGACTTGCCTTAGTAGCTGCTTGGTCAGTAAGTAGTTGATGTTGTTTCATTGTTCTTGTAGGTTCTGCCAATGTAACTGCTGTTGCTGCTGCCACAATTCTCACTGTTTCTGAGGAACAGCTGCTGCTGCCCATCTAAATATTTTGATTAATAAAACATTCTCTTCAATACAGTTGCTGTAGTAACCTACCTTCAACCTCTACCAAATAAATGAACCCACCATGCATGCATAAAATGTACTTATAGAAAAAATAAAATATTTATTAATTCTGCAAATTAACACTCACAATGGCATGAGGTGTACTGCCAACCTGCAGATAACCCCAAGTGCAAAAGACTGAAGTCAGCAAATACAGAGACTTGGCTGTACTATTTTGTGTATTACTGTAGAGAAAAAAACAAGTCCTTAATGCTAAAACAAAAGCTCTAATCCAAACATTAATTGGTAAAATAAATCCATATATTCATCTTCCAAAAATATTAACTACATTTTTCTTTTTTCAATATACTGTATATGCCATACATCAATAACATGATCCATCAGTCCATCCATTTCTCCATCTCTGATCAACTAAATCACAATCAAACAGTGGTTTATTCAGCTTTCTATTCACCTCATTGTGAGCATCACACAACCACCGTGACAAGCTGCCACGAGACTCAACTGCTGGGGAATGCGTCTTCAACCTGAAACAAAGATTACCAAATATCACTACCACTTTTTACACATGTAAATAACAGTGTTACTGAGAGACTGAAGAGAAGCTGCAGATTTTGATATTATTACTATAATTATTATTTTGTTCATTGAAACCAGTGAACCCATATGGGTCAAGCAATGCTTAATGGTAGAAGTAAAAAAAAGAAGGAAAAATGGTAGAGGAGTTGGAGAAATGAGGGGTGCCACAAATATAGTAAATCAATGTTGATCAAGAAGTCATAGAAAGTCTGCACTATAGCTGAAAATAAGATTAAATTAACATGTTAGCTTTGAAGATGGTGTCTGAAATAAAGTTGGAGAGCTATAAACAAAGCAATGAAGACAAAATGAACCATCAATACTGCATAAAAGAATCTGCAGAGTCAAGCGACTGACAGAAAAGTTTTGAAGGGTATGAAAATAAGAAAGCTGAAAGTTAACTCAAACAGATTAAGTAAACATACATGAAATAAAGAAAAATTGCAAAGGTTAGTGGATGAGTTTGGGAATGTGTGTAAAGGTAGAAAGTTGAAAGTGAACATAGAAAAGAGTAAGGTGATGAGGGTATCAAATGATTTACATAAAGAAAAATTGGATATCAAATTGGGGAGGAGTATGGAAGTGAATGTTTTCAGATACTTGGGAGTTGACGTGTCGGCGGATGGATTTATGAAAGATGAGGTTAATCATAGAATTGATGCAGGAAAAAAGGCGAGTGGTGCGTTGAGGTATATGTGGAGTCAAAAAATGTTATCTATGGAGGCAAAGAAGGGAATGTATGAAAGTATAGTAGTACCAACACTCTTATATGGATGTGAAGCTTGGGTGGTAAATGCAGCAGCGAGGAGATGGTTGGAGGCAGTGGAGATGTCCTGTCTAAGGGCAATGTGTGGTGTAAATATTATGCAGAAAATTCGGAGTGTGGAAATTAGGAAAAGGTGTGGAGTTAATAAAAGTATTAGAGGGCAGAAGAGGGGTTGTTGAGGTGGTTTGGTCATTTAGAGAGAATGGATCAAAGTAGAATGACATGGAAAGCATATAAATCTATAGGGGAAGGAAGGCGGGGTAGGGGTCGCCCTCGAAAAGGTTGGAGAGAGGGGGTAAAGGAGGTTTTGTGGGCGAGGGGCTTGGACTTCCAGCAAGCGTGCGTGAGTGTGTTAGATAGGAGTGAATGGTACTTGGGACCTGACGATCTGTTGGAGTGTGAGCAGGGTAATATTTAGTGAAGGGATTCAGGGAAACCGGTTATTTTCATATAGTCGGACTTGAATCCTGGAAATGGGAAGTACAATGTCTGAACTTTAAAGGAGGGGTTCAGGATATTGGCAGTTTGGAGGGATATGTTGTGTATCTTTATACGTATATGCTTCTAAACTGTTGTATTCTGAGCACCTCTGCAAAAACAGTGATAATGTGTTAGAGGTGAGTGTGTTGAATGATGATGAAAGTATTTTCTTTTTGGGGATTTTCTTTCTTTTTTGGGTCACCCTGCCTCGGTGGGAGACCGCCGACTTGTTGAAAAAAAAAAAAAAACATGAAATAAAAGTTAACAAGTCAAGAAGGAATATGTGGTAGTAAATGCATTAGCAAATGGGCCTATAAAGCACAAGGGTACGAAAGCTGCACAAGTATTGAAGAATATGAGGAAAAGTATCAGTGGAAGTGCTAAACCCATAGGATTATACAGTGCCTGTGGGGGGGGGGGGAAGGGGATGGAAGGTATTCTAGCTTAATTCAGGGAACTGGAGCACAGATCCAATTCCCTAGATCAAGAGCTCCCCACCAGCATCAAGGAACCTCTCTTGAGGGGTCAGCGTAAACAAAGTACAGCAGGACTGTGATTACTTTATGGGTGTACAATGATCATTAACCCTTTTACTCTCAAGAACCTTCAAATTCAGAGCCTCTTCCATGTTGTCTTTTTTTTTTTTTTTTAAATAAAAATTATCTTCCAAAAGGGTAAAGATTTTTCCTAAGGCCAAAAATGCAAAATTTTATGTAATAGCTATGGAATCATTCAGGTATAAAGTTGGAAGGTAGGAGCCCAATTCCTGACTATTTTCCTAATATGCTCCCACACTATCCATTGATCCAAAAAACTATCCATTCAACTATCAGAACTACCTTGTAAACCACCCAGAATTTAGTATTTAGACCAATTTCACACTATTTTCAACAAATTCTAATTTAAAAAATCCAATTTAAAACAGCCAAAAACAAATATTGTAGGCATTCCAACCACTAAAGCAGGGTTTAGCACGTAGTTTTGATTGTAATGACAATACTAACCACTAAAGCAGCCTTTTCTGTTCACTGATCATGTCCCCAAGCCTCTTATATAACTGCTGCCCTTCATTTTGTATCACTCGCACAAAAAACTTATTTTTTTTAATATTTCTCGACTAATAAACCACAAATGCTTGGTCGTGGCTTAAGACATCCACCCAGAAAACAGACATTGGGGATAGGCAGAACCACCTTTGACGAGTTTCAAGAGTTTTTCTACTTCTGGTACGTGCCTGGTCAACCAGGCTTTTGCTGCTGGCAGCCCACTTGCCCACATATTCATCACAACCTGGTTGATCTAGCACCTGCAGGAGATACTTGACAGTGTTCCTATCTTCTAGTAAAATGTTGAATAGTCTGCAACCACAGATATTGATACAATGCTCTCTTACTGTGCCCAATAAAAGAACACTTATTTTACACTTCTTCCCATATCTCTCACTCCAGTATGTTATGATAAAGCCCTCAAGTACTTTCCACTTATAAAGTATCATATAAATCAATCTCTTCCACTCCAGCAAGTACATGTTTAGGACTCTGAGGTCTTTCCAGCAATTTAAATGCTGTATTGGCTCCATGCAGGCTGTCAATGATCTGTCTGTTCCAGCTTTGATATCCTCCCTGCTCTAACTGGGGGCCATCAACAATACTCAAAACAAGAGAGCACAAGCAATTTGAATGATGTCACCATTCTCACTATTTCCCTAGTTTTGAATGTTCCCAATATCCATCCATTTGCCTTGTGTTCTTCAAAAGGTCAAACAACATAATTACTCTCAAATCTTTCAAGTATTCGTGTCCTGTTATTGATTCTCTTGGGTTTTGTCTACAGTGTCTTTTGAGTTCTTCATTCCTTCCATATGTAAGCAGCTGGAACTTATAAGAACATAAGAAAGAAGGAACACTGCAACAGGCCTACTGACCCATGCGGAACAGGTCCATGACCCCCCCCCTCCCCCCGGATTAGCCCAATGACCCACCCAGTCTTGTCACCTCCACTCAAGGAAGGAGCACGGCACCAGACCCAGCAGCACAAGCTAGTCAGGTCCAACTCACACCCACCCACTCATGTATTTATCTAACCAATTTTTAAAACTACACAACGTTTCAGCCTCAATAACTGTACTCAGGAGTTTGTTCCACTCATCACCACTGAATGTCATGTTCTCCACTGTCTACTGGGAAACCCTGCTTTTATTGTCCCGCAATTGTTTTGCATCCTCTACTGAGGTGATTTCCATGCTTATTTTGGTATCATCTGCAAATACTGATACAAAACTGTGGTGAGTGATATTGTTTGTCTGAAACAAAGACAAGAAACAGTAGAAGTGCCAGGAATAACTGTGCCTTGGGGTACTGAGCTTGTTTACTTCTCTAATGCTGGATTTTGCTCTGTTTGCTACAACTATATGTTCTGTCAAAGTTGAAAACCCAATTCCCTACCTTCCCTGTTATGCCTATAGCCCTCATTTTGTGTGAAATCAACCTATGATCACATCTGTCAAACCACCTTTGCAAAATCTTTGTATACTACATATGCAATGAAATAAATGGTATAAAATACCGACACTATGGAAACAAACACATATGCAGTTTAATGTGAGCCTTTAATGGCAACGTTTCGCCCACACAGTGGGCTTTTTCAACCTGACCTCAACATTCTGAACCTGACTATAAATACTCCCATACCTTCCACCCCAGGTAGATCTGTTTGTGACTTGAAAAAGCCCACTGTGTGGGCGAAACAGTTGTCAATAAAGGATCACATTAAACTGCATATGTGTTTTGTTTCCATACTACATATGCATTTTGATCTTCCAACTCCTCTGTAGCTGTCATAGTGGTTTAGCAGTTGTGACAAGAATGATCTCCTAAATCTAAAAACATGCTGGTTTGGGTTACACAGATTGAACTATTCTATAAAATTTGTAATTTGGCATCTCATCAGTTTTAAAAACTTTTAATAATGTGAGATGTTAGGGCAACTGGTCTGTAATTTTTGGCTAGCACTACTGTCTCTGTTATGCAAAGGAGCTGGGTCTGCACTCTTTAAGATCTCTGGTATTTCACTTTGATCTAAGCTCTTTCACCAAAAGATACTGATTGCTCATGCTAATTAGTACTTTGCACTTTATGAATAAGGAATTCCACTTAATTTGAAATCAATGAAAACCATCTCCATTTCATTACTATTTTTTCTAGTCTATCAACTGGCACCAAGAAACAGCCAATAAAACCATGCAAACCACCCTAAAAAATGCCCCAAAGTCACTAATTTAACCCAAACACAAGATCAGATGTTAGCTGCTCTTATGCACTACATGGGACAGAATTTTTTTTTTTTTATACTACACCCACCCACCATGCAGGCCCATTCTCTCATGTCTAGGCCAAAATTTGCTGCTCACAGCATATCTGAGGGTGCTAAGATTTACTTGTCGATCTATTAAGTGCCACAGGCACCAATCACTTAGATCTACACAAGAGAATGAAAGGGTTAAATGTTACAGTTAGTAAAAATATTGAAGATTAAGCTGTGAATACGGTAGTCCCCCCCCCCCCCCCATACCTGCCTGGGAAACGTTTCAAGACCTAACATGGATAGTAGCAAACTCTATATACAAGTCTTTTTTTGTTTATATACATACTCAGATATTGGCAGTTTGGAGGGATATGTTGTGCATCTTCATACATATATGCTTCTAAACTGTTGTATTCTGAGCACCTCTGCAAAAACAGTGATTATGTGTGAGTGAGGTGAAAGTGTTGAATGATGATGAAAGTATTTTCCTTTTGGGGATTTGCTTTCTTTTTGGGTCACCCTGCCTCGGTGGGAGACGGCCGACTTGTTAAAAAAAAAAAAATTACATACTCAGAATAGTGGAGAATTAGAACTTTTTCACTGATGGAAAGCACTTCCTGGCTTCTCTTGGGCTTTGAAGAACTGTCACCATCACAACTTTTGTACTTAAGGTCCATTATTAAGCAAAGTTAAGGGTTATTTTTAGGCCATGGTAAACTGTGGATAACTGAAACTGCAGAAACCGAATCTACTGTATTATGCAGAGAACAGGTATAATGGGAAGTACAGTGCCTGCACTCTGAAGGAGGGGTATGGATTTTCAGTTTGAGGGTCATTTGAACTTAAGTTCTTTCTGGAATCCCATACTCTTGAGATTTTGCTTTCATTAAATTTTGCTAATTTGTGGAGTAAACTTGGAGCTTACTTCTAAATAACTAATTCTAATAATAAGACAAAATGTCCATAAAATATCTGTTCTTGATCAGCTAACATAACCTTACTACAAAAGAAACAAATATTTTATCTAAGATCTTTACCACTCTCTGAAATCTTCGGCACAAGGCTGGCACGGGTAAAACTTGGAGAAAAGCGAAATAAAAGTCTTCATGTCATCTTGTTCCAGAGAAGATGGCTGGGTGGGGTAGTAAGCTGCCATCGAGTGCAACAGTCGCCACGATCCTCGGCCAAGAGAGACACTGTCAGCTGGACACCCATACTTGGCTGCATTCCCTGTAAAGACAACAGAATGACCATTAGTGAAACTAACCAAGCAGTGTACAATATAATATAAAAATAAAAATAATTTAAATAAGCATGATTAATTTGTAAACTATTAAGTGTTAATGTCTAAAAAGCAAGTGTAAGGTTATTTTGTACTTGCAAACATTTGATCTACTGGCAATACCTGTTACACTAGGCCTAATATTTCCAGAAAGACTAGACCTAAGCCCTTTCACTGTCTAGACCCCCAAAATCAATACTGCTCCCATGTCCACCTTTTTTTTTTTTTTTTTTAATATTTTTTCTTCTGAAATGGTGGGAAAATCTTTCTGAAGGTAATTACGCCAAAAGTACAAAATTAATGAAAAATTTATGTCATTAATCAGGAGCATAGTCAGCAGTCTGGGCACAACTTACACATTGGTGTTTTCACTCACTGAGTCCTATTTTAAGTCAATTTCATTGCTCCATTCGACTAAATTCATATCTATTTTGCTAGTATGCCTTCTATGGAATGAGCACAATAAACTCTCTATTAATCTATTACAACTACCCTATAAAGTAAACAGAAGCTGGTAATTTGGCCAGTTTAACCCAAAATTAAAAAAATACCATTTTAAAAATAGTTCAAAATAAACAATGTAGACATTCCTGGCACTAAAACATTTATTCTGTTCATTAGTAATGTCTACAGGGCTCTCCTGTATTTAATTTGCCTTCCATTTTGAATTCATAATCATAAAATATAACCAGGAATGACCGGGTTTATGGCATCCCAATAATTGAATCAGACCTATTAGAAAACCCACAAAACAGACTAGGGGTTAGTCAGGTCTTCCTCCTCAGGAAAATCTGCAAAAATCAAATATTTCTGCTACTTTGAACCCAATTACAATCTACTTCCAGTCCTGAAACCAACCAAAATCATCTCTATTTTAGTAGCATGTCTTCCATTCTATCAAATGGTGCCAAGAAACAGCCAATAAAAACTATCCTAGAAAACACCTCAAAAAAATCACTATTTTAAAACAAACACATGGTCAGAGATTTGTTTTTCCCATCATGCATCACATAAAACAGGACTTATTTTATACTGTGCACACTCATTGCACTGACCCATTCTCTCACATTCAAGTAAAAATTTATTATTGACAGCTCATCTGAATGAGGCGAGCTCAAGCTGTAGAACTACACAAGTGACCTGGCCTCAACGATGAAGTTTTATATGACGGCCATTGAAAGGGTCAATGGTACACATGGAACGTACATTACCTGGTAAAATAGGCCTAATATTTGGTAATTATGCCTTTACAATACCTGGAACACATGGCCTTCTGCCTGCTAAAGTAGGCCTAATAATATGTTGTACACTAGGGCTAATAATACCTGGTATACTAAGCCTACCCTGATCCAAGGAATTCAACATGTCCTTCACTTCCTTGGATCAAACCCAATTATCTCCCATTTCCCAGGTGCTGCATGACCCCTATGGGTTTAGCACTTCTCCCTAAATTATAATAATAATATACTAGGCTTAATACCTAACGACCTGTCCTCTTCCTGACTGCCTTCTATTCTCCCAGATACTGTATGACCTCTATGGGTTTAACCCTTCCTACAAGCTAAATACAATATGTAATTAATATCTAATACACTAGACCTAATACCTGGTACATTATGCCTAATACTGGCCAGTGAGTGGCTCTTGTTTCAAGGAAATATATTTTTCTTCCCTTAATGATTGCTGAGAAATGCTCCCCATTTCTCAGCCATCATTATCTTTGCCATCTACATTATTTTCACTATTGCATTACAGCTCCTCTGACTCAGAGGAAAAGTTATTTTGAGTTATCAATATCAGTCACACCAATTTACACCTTATCTCTCTACCATGAAAAGGCGAGTAAAAATACTGTAAATTACATAGAGTATGAACTATAAAATTATTATATACTACAGTACTGTACTGTAGTAATACTGTACAGGTTTCAATATCCGTATTCTTAGTGTCCAGTTATCTTCTGCATCAGTGGAACAACTCCACTACTTCAGAAGACAACCAGACAATCAAGAAATATTAATTTCATAATTTGGGAGGTGGGGACAATTGGCATAATCATACACCTCCTTTCCCTATTAGTCTTTTAATTAATGAGAGGCTTTAACAGTACAGCCTCTCCTCAATGATGGAGTTCCATTCCTAGACCACGTTGGCAAGTGAATTCATTGCTAAGTGAGGAGCATCCCATAATGGTAGTGGGTTTGTCTCAACCTTCTTTGATATTGTTTAATGTCACCTTTGCCCCATTTATAAAATTTCTGGTATATTTTTAAATGTTTATACAGTAGTGCACTGTATATTGTAATAAACAGAACAGAGAAAATCAGCTCCAATATACATTATTTAGGTATTCATACTGGTCAAAGAGCCTGTTGTGAGCGAGTCGTTGGTAAACAAGTACAGTGGACCCCCGCTTAACGATCACCTCCAAATGCGACCAATTATGTAAGTGTATTTATGTAAGTGCGTTTGTACGTGTATGTTTGGGGTTCTGAAATGGACTAATCTACTTCACAATATTCCTTATGTCAACAAATTCGGTCAGTACTGGCACCTGAACATACTTCTGGAATGAAAAAATATCGTTAACCGGGGGTCCACTGTACGTCACTAAGTGAGGAGAAGCTGTACTGCAAAAAGCCAAATCTATTATCAGATTTTTGCTATATACATGTTATCAAGAACAAAAGAAGGAAAAAAAAGCAAGCATCAGCTTGTATACTTTGTTACAGTGGGAAGGGGAAAAAGAAGGTCAGATAAATGTGCACTGGTTGGTCAGGCAAGATGACACGTAAGATTATCACAGTTCTTCATAGCTTAGCTCTTGTCACTTTGCCATAAGGTGGCACAATAATCAAATATTAAATTCTATACAAGCATAAATATGCCTGGTATACACAACATGTACAAAACCTGAACAATGATCCTCAAAAATCACAGAAATATTTGACAAAAACAAGGGGCACTTTATAATGTGCCCCCCCTGTGTCCATATGTCAATTTGCATGTGGCCAGCAGTAACAGCCTGGAAGATCAGGCCCTGATCTATCAGAAGGCCTGGTCATAATGGGATGTGGGGGCACTGACCCCCAGAACACCATCCAGGTATACCATGGTCATGTATAGAGCTGGATCATGAATGACCGACAATCTACAGCGACTTTTCCACCAACCAATCCAACGCACACTCGTCTAAAATCCCTCTTCCATGCTACAAAAGAATGTACATATAGTAGTTCTACTTTTCTCCCAGTACCCCATTTTAAACTGGCAATATTGCTTGCTCTCTCTCACACACACTCACACAGGAGCTTGGACTCGACCCCTGCAACCTCAACTAGGTGAGTACACACACGTACACACACGTACACACACGTACACACACACACACACACACACACACACACACACACACAAAATCTGCACAGAATGTTTACTGCACTCATGCAGTTAAACAAACTCTACTGATAATGCTGAAAATCCCTCAAACTCTACTGGAATGCAGATAAGAATTAGGTATCATAAATTATACCAGGAAAATACTGAGGACTAGCTCCTAATCTGTACTCTGAAGCACTAATACTTTACAAAAATATAATGTCGTCCCGAATAGGTAAAACTTGCGATTTTGGTTTAAATAGCAATGCTCTTCTTGCTGAATAAGGCAAGTAAAAATTTGTGTAAGCAATAATTTCGCAAAAATCATTCTGAACCTAACAAAAAAATATTACAAAAACTGAAAGCACAGTAGTGTGTGCTAGTTCTAATGAAAAGTAAGAATGCTATAGGTATACTGTACCAAGAGAATTCTGTATACAAGACTTTACTACTGTAACTTAAAGAACAAAAAAGGCACAATACCATGACTGGAACAATACACAAACAACCCGCATATATGTTTCTCCAACGTGCGGAATATTTGTGTATTGTGTACTCTTCCTTTACATGAAAAGGAAAATTACCAGCTGATCCATAATTATGGTAAGAAGAAAGTATGATATGTGTTATGATATGTGGATGCTATGTGCCTTAGGTCAGTAAATTTATCTGGTGTATTAAGGGAGTCACGATGTGCTGTGAAAGGTCCTCGGTCCTTAGGTCACGTATTCAATATGGGCATAGTAACCACAAGGATCAACTACGTGCCAAACTCTACTCTTGTAACCTTAAGTGCTCCTCCTTATCTAGCTGTACCTGACATGGGCTGATCTATGCATGAGATTTAACATCAGAAAATCTAACGAGAAAAATATTTCACATCCTAAAGACTACCACAATGCTTTCTTACCATAAAAAGAAACCTTAGCTTCCTCTGCATCCTTCGAGACCTGCTTTGTGCTGCTGTCCTCTTTACTCTCTGTTGATGCTTGGGTGGAGGTGCCCTCTACTTTAACGTCTGCTGTATTACTAAACTCATGTCCAGAAGTTTCTGGTTTCACAGAAGGACTTCCATGGCCACTTACTGCAGGTGCTGCTGTTACTGCTGATGCACTCTTGGCCTGCATTGCAAAAAATGCTGTATTCAGTACAGTAACAGATTTAGAGAAAACAATTTTATATTGTCCTAATTAATGATACTCACAAAGACTACAAGGTGTTCAATAAGCGTATGTAAATTCCTCATGGTAATCCCTGCCACTGATGAACTATGCTCAGTGAAAATCTAATACATAAAATGCTTAAAGGAATTATGAGGTGTCCCATAGCTTGACTGCTGGCACACTCAGCTCACACACTGAAGTCCATGGCTTGATCCACTGTATGGGTGGAAACATTAGGATGCATTTCCTTATGACACCTACTGTCCCTGTTCACCTATCAGTAAACTAGGTACCTGAATGCTAGTTGATTGGTATGGGTGGCATCCTAGAGACAAAGCTGACCCAATGTCACTGATGTCAGCTAGGCCTGTATACATTGTATATGTACTTGTAGAAATAAACATTATTATTATTATTATTACGAGAAATATTCATTGTGATACAGTGCCCAACTTCAACCCAGCATTTTCCCTCATGAACCATTTCAAATTAGTATACACACCTAGCTAATTCAATTCATTAAGAGGCATATAATATAAAGAAAATAAACTAAAACATCACTAATTGGGTTATCCAAATATGAGTAAATGGACTTTAAAATAACCTTAGATGTAAACAACTATTTTCACTAAAACAATATCTTTATCTGCCTTAAAAACAGTTCAGATTACACCATTACTATAGACATTTTTTCTAGCAAGTTTAGCATGTCAGAATACATACATGTACTGGGCTAAGCAAGTTTATTTAGGTACAGGTCCACGTAAGTACAATTATCGTACATAGTAATGCATGTGTAAATTACCTAGCACAACCCCCCCCCCAAAAAAAAGGGGGGAAAGATGACTTATTTCCACTGTGGTCCTTGTTCCTTTTGAAATCACAATTTAATTGTGGCTTCCACTTCATCACTTAATATTGAAGCTACATAACCATGATCTACCAAGAAATTTCAATGTATAAAGAGTGACAAATAAGCAATGAAGAAGTGTACAGAATATGTAGGATTGCAGAGAATTCAAGGTATGTCAGGAGTTCAGTGTAGAGTGGATCTAGACACGTTATAGGGTAGTACCATACTACAGTACATGATGGTTCAAACATCTCGAGACAACCCAGTAGCTAGCTAATAAAGTGCCACTGTGAATGCCATAATTAGTAGACAGCATGGCCAACCTATCCTCCAAGCACAATGCTTCTTTTCGCAAGTGTTACAAAGTGCCAATTTGTAAAACTAATATCCTAGCCTAACCTAGCTAAAATTTATGTAACACATACATACTGTAGTAAAGATTACTACATTCCCACCCAACCTATTTAATATTAGCCTAAATTTAGTTTGTAATATTTAATATCAAACATTAATTTCAAGAAGTTCAGATTATTTTTGTGGGGCTAGAGGGAAAAAAAGAACACAGTTTAGCAACACAATCATTAAAATTCTGAAAAAGATATGACAATCATTCCTCAGTAACAAATGTAGAAAATGGTTAAGCTATAATAATTACAGTTATTGCCAATAAATTTAAATAAAATAATACCGTACAAGTCCATTTTGATCAGCGGAGATCTGAGTCGTCGCTTGTGGTTAATATGAATAATTTAGCAGTCCAACCTATGTATTTATATATGTATACATAGTTACCCACAGCTCTCACTCTAATGACAATGCCTGGGAGTTTGTTTGGCTCATCTGCAACTCTACTGCTAAAACAGTACCTTGCTATATTCTTTCTAAATCTAAATTTGTCCTCCCCAGCAAGACCCCCAGCACCACCCCCAGGAATACAGAAGCACCTCCCTAGCACCATCCCAGCACCACCCCCAGAAACACACAAGCACCACCCCAGCACCACACCCAGGAACACACAAGCACCACCCCCAGGAACACACAAGCACCACCCCCAGAAACACACAAGCACCACCCCCAGGAACACACAAGCACCACCCCCAGAAACACACAAGCACCACCCCAGCACCCAACCCAGGAACACACAAGCACCACCCCCAGGAACACACAAGCACCACACCCAGGAACACACAAGCACCACCCCAGCACCACACCCAGGAACACACAAGCACCAGCACCACACCCAGGAACACACAAGCACCAGCACCACACCAGGAACACACAAGCACCAGCACCACCCAGGAACACACAAGCACCACCCCAGCACCACACCCAGGAACACACAAGCACCACCCCAGCACCACACCCAGGAACACACAAGCACCAACACCACACCCAGGAACACACAAGCACCAACACCACACCCAGGAACACACAAGCACCAACACCACACCCAGGAACCACAGCACCACCCAGCACCACCACCCAGAACGCACCACACCACCCAGGAACACAAGCACCAGCACCACACCCAGGAACACACAAGCACCAACACCACACCCAGGAACACACAAGCACCAACCCACACCACACCCAGGAACACACAAGCAAGCACCACACCCAGAAACACACAAGCACCAGCACCACACCCAGAGAACACACAAGCACTCAGCACCACACCCAGGAACACACAAGCACCAACACCACACCCAGGAACACACAAGCACCAGCACCACACCCAGGAACACACAAGCACCAACACCACACCCAGGAACACACAAGCACCACACCACACCCAGGAACACCAAGCACCAGCACCACACCCAGGAACACACAAGCACCAGCACCACACCCAGGAACACACAAGCACCAGCACCCACCCCCAGGAACACACAAGCACCAGCACCACACCCAGGAACACACAAGCACCAGCACCACACCCAGGAACACACAAGCACCAGCACCACACCCAGGAACACACAAGCACCACCCAGCACCACACCCAGGACACACAAGCACCAGCACCACACCCAGGAAACACACAAGCACCACCCAGACACCACACCCAGGAACACACAAGCACCAGCACCACCCAGGAACACACAAGCACCACCCCCAGGAAACACACAAGCACCACCCCCAGGAACACACAAGCACCACCCCCCAGGAACACACAAGCACCACCCCCAGGAACACACAAGCACCACCCCCAGGAACACACAAGCACCAGCACCACCCCAGGAACACACAAGCACCACCCCCAGGAACACACAAGCAACCCACCCCCAGGAACACACAAGCACCACCCCCAGGAACACACAAGCACCACCCACCCCCAGGAACACAACACAAGCACCACCCCAGGAACACACAAGCACCACCCCCAGGAACACACAAGCACCAGCACCACCCCAGGAACACACAAGCACCACCCCCAGGAACACCACAACACCAGCACCACCCCAGGAACACCACACAGCACCACCCCAGGAACACCTCCCCAGCACCACCCCAGGAACACTCCCCAGCACCACCCCAGGAACACCTCCCCAGCACCACCCCCAGGAGACACTCCCCAGACACCACCCCCAGGAACACCTCCCCAGCACCACCCCAGGACACCCCCCCAGGAACACCTCCCCAGGAACACACCCCCCCAGGAACCACCCCCAGGAACACCACCCCAGGACACCTCCCCAGGAACACCTCCCCCAGGAACGCCTCCCCCAGGAACACCCCCCAGGAACACCACCCAGGACACTCCCCAGGAACACCTCCCCCAGGAACACCCCCCCAGGAACACCTCCCCAGGAACACCTCCCCAGAACACCACCCAGGAACACCTACCCCAGGAACACCACCCCCAGGAACACCACCCCAGGAAAGCACACCCCCAGGAACACCTCCCCCAGGAACACCTCCCCCAGGAACACCCCACCCAGGAACACCACACCCCAGGAACACCACCCCAGGAACACCCACCCCAGGAACACCTCACCCCAGGAACACCTCCCCAGGACACCTCCCAGGACACCACACCCCCAGGAACACCTCCCCAGGAACACCTCCCCAGGAACACTCCCCAGGAACACCTACCCCAGGAAACACCACCCCAGGAACACCCCCCAGGAACACACCCCCAGGACACCTCCCCAGGAACACCTCCCCCAGGAACACCTCCCCAGGAACACCTACCCCAGGAACACCTACCCCCAGGAACACCTCCCCCAGGAACACCTCCCCCAGGAACACCTCCCCAGGAACACCTCCCAGGAACACCTCCCCAGGAGCACCTCCCCAGGAACATCCCCCAGGAACACCTCCCCAGGAACACCTACCCCAGGAACACCTACCCCAGGAACGCCTCCCCCAGGAGCACCTCCCCCAGGAACACCTCCCCCAGGAACACCTCCCCCAGGAACACCTCCCCAGGAACACCTCCCCCAGGAGCACCTCCCCCAGGAGCACCTCCCCCAGGAACACCTCCCCCAGGAGCACCTCCCCCAGGAACACCTCCCCCAGGGTGCTGGCCAGCAGGACATCATACCTTACCCAACGTGTCGGGAAGGACAGCTCTCTGGTGTCTCATCCAGGACTGGAAGTCAGTACAGGCACGACATGTATTGTCTGCCCCTCCTGCTGCAGCAGCAGCAGGAGGGGCAGGAGCAGCAGCAGGAGCAGCAGCAGCAGCAGGAGCAGTAGGAGCAGTAGGAGCAGCAGCAGCAGTAGCCATCATCAACACTATGTAACACAACCACAACACTCTTATGAAACACTCCAGACTGAGTGTGTCTGGGGAAATCCAACACCTGACACCACAAGTCTTCTTCAGGATACTTCAGTCACCTTCAGGATACATCAGTCACCTTCAGGATACATCAGTCACCTTCAGTATACTTGCTGGTCAGTGTGACTGACAGTCACCGGCATCAGCTGTTAGTGTCTGCTGGATCAACAATATTATGATGCAATTCACTGGTTTAATATCATCAAGTTCTATACTCAGTGTTATATTATTTTTATTTATTCATTTATTTATATGAATTATTATAATTAAAAAGAAGCGCTAAACCACAAGGGCTATACAGCTTTATATGAATTAAAATAACTTTTTTTTCCAACGGGATGACATTGGTTAATATTTTTCCACCAGGCTTATTTTTTTTTATTTTCTATCATTAATGATGATCAATCATCATCATCATGAATATGTTAGTCAATATACATCACATGTAACTACGATCTTGCTTTAACTACCATCTTAAAGCACTGTAATTTTACTAGCTCATTGCCTGTGTTGCGGTGCCGTACGACCCTAGTGGGTTTAGAGCTTCGTTTTTATAATAATATTGCCTGTGTTAATGAGTGTACCACTGAGTGACTGACAATATTATTATTATTATAATCAAAAAGAAGCGCTAAGCCACAAGGGCTATACAGCGCTGCAGGGTAGGAAGCGAGGGCATCAGGTGGCAAAAGGGAGGTGGATGAGTAATAGGTTACGGATAACAGCGGGGTAGTGGATGGTGAAAGGGTAAAGGGCAGCAAGAGACTGAACTAGAAAGGGCTGAGGGGAGTGCGTAAGGTATCATCATCAGAGTTTGTGGAGTAAATCAGTCGTTGTCAAGAAGTCAATGAGAGTGTCAGGATTAAAGGAGGGTCCATCAGCAAGAAGGGAAGGTAAAGAGAGAGTAGTAGAACGAAGACGGCATTGGAGGTAAATTCTGCGTGCTCGTTGATAGAGAGGGCAGTCTAACAGAATGTGGCTAATCGATACTGGAACTTGACACTGCTCACAGAGAGGAACAGGGTGCCTCTCCATGAGATACCCATGAGTAAGACGAGTGTGGCCAATGCGAAGGCGGAAGAGAGTGGTCTCCCAACCTCGGCACTGATGACAAGAAGACGGCCAGTAACCTATGCTCGGTTTAATACAATGAAGTTTGTTACCAAGCAGAGTTGACCAACGTTGTTGCCAACGGGCGTGAAGGTAGGTAGCTATTGCAGCAAAATAGTCCAGAAATAGAACACCTCTATAGGAAATTGGTAGGTCATGTACTGCTGACCGCGCAGCAGTGTCTGCCTGTTCATTGCCCTGTACGTCGACATGACCAGGGACCCAACAAAAAATAATATCTTTATGCTTCGTAGAGATACGGCATAGCCAAAGTTGGATACGGAGAACTAGGGGGCGAGATGTATCAAATTTTCATATAGCCTGTAGAGCACTAAGGGAGTCTGAGACTACCACAAATGATGACACAGGCATAGATGTGATACGAATAAGTGCTGCAAGAATGGCATACAATTCAGCAGTAAAAATGCTAGCCGAAGATAGTAAATGCCCCCGCACAATGCTGTCCGGAAACACTGCTGCGAATCCGACGCCGTCTGAAGACTTAAAGCCATCTGTGTACACAGCGGTGGCATGAGAATGGGAGTGGAAGTGATCAAGAAAAAGAGAGCGGGAAGCCACTGTAGGCAGTTGAGTTTTCGAGTAAGGGAGTGAGAAAGAACAAACCCGAACAGCTGGAACTTCCCAGGGGGGTAGGGAAAAGTGAGATGCTACATGAACATATAAAGGTGGTAACTGAAGGGAAGACAAGAGTGAATGTAGGCGAAGAGAAAAGGGATGGAGCAAACAGGGGCGGCGAACGAATAAAGAATGTCTACTAATATTGGTGACCATTCTATAAATGGAAGGATTGTGGAGATCGTGAGAGCGTACATAGTAGCGAAGGCAATGGGCATCATGGCGATCAGACAAGGATGGAACATTCACTTCTGCATAGAGGCTCTCAACAGGGAAAGAGCGAAAAGCACCAAGGCACAAACGTAATCCTTGGTGATGGCTAGAGTTAAGGCTAGAGAGAGTAGCAGGAGAGGCCGTGGAATAGATCTGGTCACCATAATCGAGTTTTGATAAAACGAGGGCTGAATGTAGGCGAAGCAGAGTTCGACGATCAGCTCCCCAGGAAAGATGAGCAAGGGTTTTAAGAAGGTTTAGCCGGCTGTGACAAGTTGCCTTCAGAGAGGTAATGTGAGGTTTCCAGGATAACCTACGGTCAAAGAGAAGGCCTAGAAACCTGACTGTATCACGTTCGGGGATACGGGAGCCATAGAGATACAAAGGATGATCGGAGATGACAGAGCGTCTAGTGAAAGTAATTTGGAGAGTTTTGGTACTTGAAAATTTAAACCCATGCGTGGTGGCCCAAGTGGAAACATGGTCGACCGCATGCTGGAGAGAAACTGCAATGAGATGACAGTCAGCACCTGCACAAGCAATAGCGAAGTCATCAACATAGAGTGATGACCAAATATTGGGTGGAAGAACAGAGGCCAAATCATTTATAGCAAGGAGAAAAAGTGTTGTGCTTAGAACACATCCCTGAGGGACACCTTCAGCTTGGACGAAGTCCGGGGAAAGAACATTATTGACTCGAACACGGAAATGTCTGTCAGTTAAAAAGTTCTTAAGGAAGGATGGTAGATTGCCTCGGAGGCCTAAGGAGTGGGCCTGGGCCAAAATATTATACCTCCAAGTTGTGTCATATGCCTTCTCAAGGTCAAATTATTATTATTATAATCAAAACGAAGCGCTAAGCCACAAGGACTATACAGTCTCAAGGTCAAAAAATATGGCAATAACAGTGATTATTCGCAAAGGCATTACGAACATACGTATCCAAGCGTAGTAAGGGGTCTATGGTAGAACGACCCTTACGAAAGCCATATTGACTAGCGGAGAGACTGTTGTGTCTCTAAATACCACATTAAACGTCGATTTACGAGACGTTCCATCACTTTGCAAACTGCACTAGTAAGAGCGATGGGACGATAGTGGGAGGCATCATGTCCTGTAGTACCCGGTTTGCGGAAAGGGAGAACAATGGCAGATTTCCACAGCTGGGGAAGAACTCCTTGTGCCCAAATAAGATTGAAGAGGTGTAAGAGGACTACAAAGGCTGACTGATGTAAATGTTGTAACATACGAATATGAATGTCGTCAGGCCCAGCTGCCGGTGATCGGCAAGCTGAGAGCGTTGCCTCCAGTTCTTGAAGTGTAAAAGGCACATTATACTGTTCTTCTCTGAGAGAAGAAAAGTCCAAAGGTACTAACTCTCTGGCAGACTTTGAAGAAAGAAACGAGGGGCATAGATTGAGCCCCCGGGAAATATGGACCAGATGTGTGCCACGTTCAATGGCAACGTTGAGATGGTTTGCTACATCAACACCAGCGACCCGTAGAACAGGAGCCGGGTCAGGAGAGTATTTACCACTCAATTTCCTCACTTTTTTCCAGACTGCACTCATAGAAGAAGCAGAGGTGATGGTGGAAACATAGTCTCGCCAGCAAGTGCGTTTAGCTTCACGGATGACACGGCGAGCGATCGCACGCTTCTGCTTAAAATCAAGAAGTCTCTCAGCGGTTCTATTGTACCAGTACCTGCCCCATGCAGTGCATTTCAAACGTACTGCACGAGCACAAGCAGACCACCAAGGCACACACTTCTGAGAATGCCTGCCTGAGGTTTGGGGTATAGAATGAGAAGCTGCAGTATAAACCGACATCGAGAAGAGGTGTAGGAGCTCATCAATGGAGGATGAAGAAGGAACCTCACTAAAAGCAGTGAGTTGCGAGTGAAGATCCCAATTTGCCCGATCAAATTGCCAGTGAGGGCTACGGAAAGGTGGTGAATAGGAAGGAGAAGTAAGAATGATTGGAAAATGATCGCTGTCATGTAAGTCAGGTAGAACAGACCAGGTGAAGTCTAGTGCAGTGGAGGAAGAGCAGACTGATAGATCGATGCAAGAGAGAGTATGAGTACGAGGATCAAAATGGGTGGGAGTACCCATATTTAAAACATGGAGGGGTGAGAGGCGAGAAAAGCCTCCAACTGGATGCCACGTGAGTCACAATGAGACCCCCCCCCAGAGGAAATGGTGGGCATTAAAATCACCAAGTAACAGAAGTAGTGGTGGTAAGGATGAAACAAGAAAGGTAAAGTTTGGGATAGAAAATGCTCGAGAAGGAGAGAGATATAAAGAACATATTGTAAACCACTTATTCAGGTGGATACGGGCTGCAGTGTAATGCAGCGAGGTATGGACAAATAGTCGACAGTACGGAATATCATTTCGTAGAAGAAGGGCACTTTCATTAAAGGTCCCATCTGAGAAAGGATCCGAAGAATACAATAAATTATAGCCTGAGTGTAGTGATACTGCTCCTGTGGGGAGCAGCAACAGGATAATGCTGCACCACCTCTCGGGGCCCTTAACAACAACAACAGTTTGGTGTGTGTCATGGGCGCCAACACATGGTGTGTGATTCTCTTCTTTTACATCAATATATTAGTGATGCAGATTACATGGCGAGTTTAAATATGTGGCCTGTAGTTATAACTTTTCTCTTGACATATGCAAGACATCACCATCCCTGTTGAAGCAGTTATTAGATGTACTAGTCATTATATTTTGTTGTTGCAGAAGTACTATGAAGATTCTATGTTCAATAAAGCCTAGAGATAAGGCCTGTGTTTCTATCACAACACTGACATAGGTTGGAAAACAGCCGAGTGTAATTTTGGTTCTTGTAAGCAAGCACCAACAGGGGAAAACCTGGAAAGCAACAATTGAAACTCACCCCGATTACCCCTGAGGCCGCGGATATTCCACTGTAAATAGGCCATGATTGGCGATGAAGAAAATACCAGGAATCCGTAGGGAAAGGCACCTATGGACTAGAGGGGTTAGAAAAGTCAATGTGTGGTGGCATTGGAAGACTTTCAAGCAGCGAAGGAATGGAGTGTTGCGAAGAATGGGGTTGTGAAGATGGAGGAGAGGGAAGAGAAGGAACCGGAAGTGAATCAGTGTCCATTGAAGGTTTAGTCTCTGCAATATATTCTGAAATGGCTTCAAGTGTTTCTGAATTCAAAG